GACTTTTTTTTTTGGCAGGGGTGGGGGGTGTTGGTACTGGGGCTTTAACTCAAGACCTCAAGCTCACAGTTGGTGCTGTACCACTTGAGCCACAGCTCATCTTCTGGCTTTTTGCTGGCTTTTTGCCTGCTCTGTCTGGCTTTGAACTTTGGCCCTTACACCTCAGCCTCCTTGGTAGCTAGAATTACAAGCTTGAGTCACCAGCAGTTGGCACAAAGGCCTTTCTGACCCTTAGTTTTCTCATCAATAAAACAGGAAGTTAATTTTGCCTCTCAGAGTGGCTGCTAAATAAGAGGTCCTATTAAAAAAAAAAAAAAAAAAGCTTGGAAAGGTGTCTGCCCCCCCAAACTGTTGTTGCTGTTGCTATTTATTACAGATCTACTGTGTTACTACCATGATTATTTCATGCCTCCAGAAGGTCACCAAGATAAGAACATCCTGCGGCCCCTGGATTGGATGGGGAGGGCTGGATGGGTTCCAGGGCACGCAGGGGGCCCTGGCCTTTCTTCTCCCCTGGCTCTGGATCTCCCACTGCTGTGTGACTGTGATGCCTCTATCCACAGTACGTGCATGAGGGTGGTGTAGAGGATCTAGTGAGGCCCCTGCTGGCCATCCTAGACAGGCCTGAGAAGCTGCTGCTGCTGAGGGACATCAGGTAAGGAGGGGCTTGAGGGGCGGGCTCAGGGACAGGAAGGGGATTCCTGATACCTCCCCCAACATCCCCAGGGCTGAAGCTCCTCCTGATACCTCCAGAACTGAGCCCTGGTCAGCCTGCATCCCTTGCCTTCCCCCAGGAGTGTAGTGGCCCCCACGGACCTGGGCCGCTTTGACAGCATGGTGATGCCTGTGGAGTTGGAGGCTTTTGAGGCTCTCAAGAACAGGGCAGGTTAGTAGCTGGGGACAGTTCTAGATCCTGAGCTCTGAGCCAGGAGTAGAGGGGGAAGGTCTCATGAGAGAGGGCAGCAGAATCTGTGAGCCTCTTAATAGGCCCACAGGGAGCTGGTGAGGCGTGCCTGGCCTCTGACCTACTCTCCTCTCCAACCAGTGTGGCCTCCTGCTTTGAGACCAGCTCGGCAAGACACACCGCCCAAGCGTCACCTCATCACCCCTGTGCCTGGTCAGTCAGAGTCCTAGAGCCCAGGGAGGGGACCCAACCTTGGGGATACTAGGACAAAAGAGAACAAACACGATCCCTACCCCCGACATGAGGTCTTCAAAGGTACACTGAGAGTTCCCTAGGTTCCCTAGAGTATAGCAGTGTGCCCCAGAACCATTATTACATCTCATCACCACCTCTACTATTTCTTCTAAGTGTTTTTAACTCACTTCCTTTTAAAATCTACTCTCTCAGACATGTCAAAGAAGAACTAAGGTAGGTGCTGGTGCCTCATGCCTGTAATCCTAGCTATTGAGGCTGAGATCTGAGGATTGTAGTACAAAGCCAGCCTGGGCAGGAAAGTCCATAAAACTCTTATCTCCAATAAACTACCAAAAAAAAAAAAAAAAGCAGGAAGTGGAGCTGTGGCTCAAGTGGTAGAGCACTAACCTTGAGCAAAAAAAGCTCAAGGACAATACCCAGGCCATGAGTTTAAGCCCCAGGACAGGCACAAAAAAAAAAGTAGGGGGCTGGGAAGGTGGCTCAGTGGTAGAGTGTTTGCCTTGCATGCATGAGATCCTGGGTTCGATTCCTCAGCACCACATAAGCAGAAAAAGCCAGAAGTGGGGCTGTGGCTCAAGTGGTAGGGCACTAGCCTTGAGCTGAAGAGCCAAAGGACAGCACTCAGGCCCAGAGTTCAGGCCTCACAACTGACAAAAATAAAAGTAGAACTATATGACAGTGTAAGATTCTATTATAACCCCTGGGCTTTGTCTACCTTCTCCAGTAAGCAGTGTCCTTTCTTTATTGCACTAGGCCTGAGGAAACCAGGCCTCACTGTCACAAACCCTAGCCCCACACAAACCACAGCAAGACTAGAAAGTAGTCTGGGCTGGGAGTTGAAGAGGGGGCCACCTGACCTTGGCCCTGTTTCCCAGACAGCCGTGGAGGTTTCTATCTTCTACCTGTGAATGGCTTCTCAGAGGATGATGGAGAGCTGAGGGACAGGCTGGGGGACCTCAAGGTTTCTCTGAGCGCCTCTGGCCCCCGCCACCATCACAAAGGAATCCCTCCTTTACAAGATGTGCCTGTAGATGCCTTCACCTCAAGCCGAAGTGCACACACACCTCCTCCTCAGCCACCCCCAGTGGCACCCCGGCCCCCAAGGCCTAATTGGCTGTTGACAGAACCTGTGAGCCAAGAGGACCCTCAGCAGAGCCAGGGCCAGGCCCCAGTCCAGAGTTGCAGCCGCAACCATAGCCGGGGTCGAGGCAAATCTCCAGGGCGTAGGCGCTCCCCCTCCCCAGCACCCATTTCCAACTCCAGCGCAGTCAATGGGCGCTATCACAAGCCTCGGAAGGCTCGGTCTCCCCTACCACGACCTCTGGATGGGCAGTCAGTCAAGATGGGGGCCAGACCAGGCCCCTCAGAAAATGGAACTGGGGGGACTGAGGCAGAGGCCACAAAGGCCCCTATTGGGCAGCTGAGGACCGTCACGCTGTCGAAGATGAAGCAGTCCTTAGGTAAGTCCAGATGGAGCTGGGTGGGTGGGGAAGGTGGATTCCTGGGTCTAGGTGAGGTTGGGCTTGATCTCAAGTCTGAGCCCAGGAAAACAAATCTGGGGGGTACTAGCTGGGGGCGGGGAATCTAGATTTGGAGAAGGTTGGGATTTGGAAGATTTGGGAGCTGAGATGGAACAGTAACAAAAATGCAGGGTTTGGAATATATTGTGGGCCCTGAACTTGGGTATGACATCCTAGGAGTCTCTGGGAACTCAGAACTTTGGAGTGTGTCACTGTGTTTTTGGTCATCCCCAGGCATCAGCATTTCTGGAGGCATTGAGTCCAAGGTGCAGCCTATGGTGAAGATAGAGAAGATCTTCCCAGGGGGTGCTGCCTTCCTCAGTGGGGCCCTGCAGGTGGGTGAAGCTCCAGGCCACTCCTAACTAAACCCCAGAGTTGGAAATCTGGCTGGGTGTAGGGCTGCTCCTTGCTCACCTTCCAGCCAGACATGTTCAGGCATAGGACTAGTTGTGGGAGGTGGCTTGGGGGTACTGGGGTCAGTATGAGTAGGATGAGCAGGCCTAGAGGAGAATCTGTCCCCTGTGCTAGCCTGGGCCTGAGCACGGCCCATCCTGTTCCACCTCTGAGCCCTAAGGGACAAAGGGCCATTGTCTGTGCCCCACCCTGCCCCCATCAGATCCAGGCACAAAAGTCCTATTGTCCATCTCCTGCATTCAGAAGGGGGAGGAGTGACTTAGCTGGCGGAGGTGAGAGGCCGCCCCTGAAGGTTTGGTGTTAAGTGGTGAAGATGAGATAGAACAGATTATCCCACCCTATTCCAGGCTGGCTTAGAGCTTGTGGCAGTGGATGGAGAGAGCCTGGAACAGGTAACGCACCAGAGAGCGGTGGACACCATCCGTCGGGCTTATCGAAACAAGGCTCGAGAGCCCATGGAACTTGTGGTCAGGGTACCTGGAGCTGGCCTGCTGCCCTTACCTTCTGACCCATCAGCCATCACTGATCGGTGCCTTCCAGACCATTCCTCTGCACAAGGATCCCTTGATGCCGCTCTACTTCCCCTCCAGCTCCCAGAAGCTCCTGGGAATGACCAGACCGAGGCCAGGCTCCTAAAGATTCCCAGCCCAGTCCCTTCTCCAACTCTTCACACTAACCCCAGCCTCAACCCACTCAAGGATTCCCATGACATTTCCCACTGACCTGATCATCCCACCAATCCTAGGTCCACCTGCGGTCTACAGATTTTTTTCCTGTGAATCTCCCGGGGACTGAGGCACTGCCCAGGCTTGGCATGCCCTGCCTATCTGGAGCTCTACACTGGTAGCTCTGATCTTCCCACTTTCTTTCCTCACAGTTGTCTGGCTCTGCCCTTTCAAGATAAGCTTGCTTGGTGTCCCTGAACAATGTGCTAGCCGGCAATCTGTGTCAACTGTACTCCTTGCTCCCCAAACGTTTAAGATAAGAAGGGGCTGAGAAATCTAAGGTCTGGAGGCTTCTCGTGGTGTCTCTCCCACTCTCCCATTGAAACAAAAGATGCAGAGCCTTCAAGGGGTCCACACATGCAGCCCCAAGCAGTATTCAATGTGTGGGATGATGGAAAACTTTTCTAGTTCTTTAAACACAGAGAAATAATTCATATTGTGGTTCACCAGACCTCAGACTTTGAGGTCATTGGTCCTCTCAGCATCCTCCTTCACCCTCCCCCCCTCACATTCAAAAGGGAACAAACAAAGAGGTGGAGATCTAACAGACCACCAGATGTTTACCCAGATGTTCACCTTTTTTAAAAACAAAAAAATTTTTTTTAATTTTTTTTCTTTGGGTTTGTACAAGAAATTTACAGTGTGAAAAATATACAAGTGAAAACGAGGCCATAAACCTGGGTGTTGGGTGGGTCTGCTTGGTCACAAACACAAATAAACAAGACATTGCTGAGTTCTTCCTTTGGTCTGACTTCAGCCCCCCTTAGCCCAGAACAAGGATTTCAGAGCTGGGATAGGGGAGTCGGCCCCCAGTCCCAACCCTGTTCCCCAACATGGGCAGGGTAGGGGCAGGCACATCGGGAGCAGCTGGTGCCATCTGGCTCTCTCTGGCTTTGGGAGTGAAGGGAATGTGGAGATGAGGGAGCCCCTTCCTCTTCCTAGCTCCCCTGGCTAGGGTGGGCGGGCGGGCAAATAGGACAATGGCTAGCAGTGGCATTGGCAGCATCTGGGGAGTGAAATGGGCAGAGTAGGTAGGAGCTTCTGGGTAGCAATGAGCACAGGCCTTCAAGGGGTGTGATCTTGGCTCTCCAAGTCACAGGGCCACGTTAATGCTTGGCAGAGGCCCAAAGGGCCTGCATGGGGCGGGGGGGGGGGGGGAGAGGGGGGGAGTGGGGGGGGTAGAGGAGTGGCTCTGGGACTCTTAAGTTGGAGGATGCTCAGTGGGGGCCTGAGTGGACCTATGGCTCCCACCTTCTTGGGCTGTGCTCCTTGTGGAGATGAAGCTCTAGATTTCTGTGGCAGTGATCTCCTCCAGGCAGATGCAGGGGGTGGGCTCAGCCAGGCCCAGGTCAGCAAGCTCACGGGCCTCCAACTCCAGACTGAGCTGCTGCAGCTCCTGTTCCAGCTGCCGGTTGCGCCGGTACATCTGGATGTAGTTGTGCTGCAGTTGCTTCTGGTACCGGATCACCTGCTCCTTCTCAGCCTGCCAGGCCATCCGCTCCCCCTCAAAGCTGTCCCTCTGTTCTTCACCTCGCCTCCGCTCCCGCTGCAGCTCAGTGCGCAGCCTTTCCACCTGCGCCCTCAGGCTGCCCCCTGCCCCGGCGGCTGCCCGCTGCACCTTGGCTTCATCACTCTCTGCCAGGAGGAATGGGTCAGCAGCAGCAGGTGGCACAGGAGGCTCCCGGAGCCCGGCTGCCTCTGTGTCCAACTGGCCAGCTTTCTCCCTAAGTCGCTCAGCCTCCTGGCGGTGCCGCTGTAGCTCCTGGGAACAGGTCTCCAGCTCGAGCTCCCGGGCTCGGGCTGCCTCCTGCAGGCCCCTGGCCCTGCCCTCACTGACACGCAGGGCAGCCCGGGCCTCCCGCAGTGCTACCCGCAGAGCCACCAGCTCGCTGCCCTTCTGAACCAGCTCTGCCTGAGACTCCTTCAGCTGCTGCTTCAGTAGAGAGATTTCACCTGACTTCTGGCATACCTGGGGATGAGAGATGGTTAGGAAGGATGGTGAGAAGAGTTCTCTGGCAGGCTGAGCCTTGGGCATCACGCTAAGCAGAAGAATGGCAATCATTATCCTCACTTTAGAGAGATGCAAATGGAGGTGCGTAACCCTAGTGACAGATCTAGTCATACAGCCAGTAGCCTGTAGTCCTGGCTATTCAAGAGGCTGAGATCTGAGGATCACAGTTTGAAGCCAGGCTAGGCAGGAAAGTCCATGAGCCTCTTACCTCCAATTAACCAACTGGAAGTGGAGCTGTGGCTCATGTGGTAGACTGCCAACTTTAAACAACAACAACAGCAACAAAAGATTAAGGTACAACATCTAGGCCCCGAGTTCAAGCCCCAATACCAATACAAAATGAATGAACGAATATTAAAAAAAAAGAGAACACAGAACTGGACCTTTTTCTTTCAGAGCTGGTCTTATCAAAGAATCCTGAAATCCTGGGGAAGAATACCACGTGGCTCTGGGGATGAGTGGGGCAGGTGTTGTGGGAGGGGGCGCAATTAAGGTAGTGTCCATGTGTCTAAGTAAGAGGCACGAGTGTCTTGGGTGTGAGTCAGTCTGCCTGGGTTCACATTACAAGACCTAACACAGGATGTAAGGAGACCCTCATCCAGATAGGAGGTCAGAGGGGCTCATCTCAGAGACGAGGAAGGATAAAGCCTCTGAGGAAGCTTGTTCAGTGTGTCTCGGAGTGACTCTCCTGCCTGCCTCCCTCCCACAGTCCAGCTCACCTCCCACTTGGTCTCCTCTAGCCGTGGCCCAAGCTCTCGCTGCTCTCGCTCAAAGGTAGCACAGCGCCGCTCCAGCTGTTCGCGCTCTTGCAGCAGCTGTGCAAAATCATCCTGCAATTGCCGCTTCTCCTGCTGCAGCTGGAACACTTGCAGCTGCAGCAGCTGCTGAGTCCGCTGTGCCCTCTGTGTGGCCTGCTGGGCCTGTGCTGTGCAGTCCTCACGTTCTCGAGGCCAGTGCCTTGGCCGGAATTCCTAGGGTGAGAAGGTAGAACCCCCACAAACCTCAGCCCTGGCTACCCCCACACACTCATTGCTCTGGTGGCCTCCTGTCTGGGCTCAGGGAAGGAGAGCATCCACAAACCTAGTGACTAAGTGCCTGCTACCGTCAGGCACTTACATGGTATGTTGAACACTTCATACCCTTTGCCTGATTTAATCCTCATAAGTGGAACCAGAAAAAATCAGTAAGGTTAGATAACTTCCTTGAGCCCCAAAAGCCTGGTACAAGGCAATGCTAGGCTTGACTCTTTATACTCTCAGACCAAGGCACACAGCTGAGGGGCTGGGGGGGGGGGGGGTAGATGTCACACTGTGATTGCCCACCCGCTCTGTCCCCTATAGAAATGCCTTGCATGATTCCCCGTGCCTCACCCGCCCCCAGTACTACCCCTGACCGCACCTGGCCTGTGGCACCCTCGCTCTCATCCAGACTGTCTCGCAGCTGCTGTAGCTCTGCCTCCCGGTCTCGAAGCTGTCCTTCCAGAACACAGTGCAGAAGGGCTTCATCCGAAGGAGGGGGAGGTGGTGGCGGTGGGGGTGAGCGGTCCCCACAGGAACTATCAGGGGAAGCCCGAGGCCCACTGCCCAAGAGTCCCCCAGGCACACGGCCCCCCAAGGAACCTGTGCTCTTGCTGGAGGAGGAGCGGCCACTGTCGGAGTGGGATGGCCCAGTAGGGGCCCCTCGGGCTGGCCCAGGCAGTGCCCCCCGCCCGTGGGAGGAGAAGTGCATGCCCGGGGAGCTGGTGGCTGGCTCAGCACCCCCCGTGCTGTAGGTGGGCAGGCTGGATAGTGAATTTCGGCCAGAGTCAGACAGCGTCCCTGAAGGGCAGCCGCTGGTCCAGCCACTCAGTGCTAGGGGCTTGTCAGCAGCTGAGGAGGAGGAGGAAGAAGAGGAGGAGGAGGCAGGGCCTCCAAACAGCTGTGTCAGGCTTCCCTGGCTTCCAGACAGCCCGGCAGCTCGAGGACCCAGGAAGCTAGGCAGGGTCGGTGCCCCTCGAGGTTTGGGCAACACTGGTTTGAAGGCTGTTGGGCGAATCAGGATTTTCTCCATGTTCTGAAACAGGGTGCCATGCGACATTGAGAATGACCTGCTTTCAAAGCCACCATACTTATTCCCTGCCCGCCGCCCCCCCCAACCCCAGAAGTAATTGCTATCATTGGCAGAGGGCCTCCTCAATTTTATGTCCAACAATTCAAAAGGTCTATTTGTAATCATTGCAACAGTCATATACAAGCAAAATACTATGACGATCTCCAAATTACACATGAGGAAGAAATGGAGGCTTGGCAAACTTAAAGACTTTGTCTAAAGTTAAAAGCTGCAGGCTAGCTGGGCACTGGTGGCTCACACCTGTAATCCTAACTAATCAGGAGGCTGATCTAAGGATAATGGTTCAAAGCCAGCCTGGACAGAACTACTTGTTGTGAGACTCTTATCTTCAATTAACCATCAAAAAGCCAGGGGCTGGGAAGTTGGCTCAGTGGTAGAGAGGCCCTGGGTTCGATTCCTCAGCACCACATAAGCAAAAAGAAAAAAAGCCGGAAGTGGCGCTGTGGCTCAAGTGGTAGTGCGCTAGCCTGGAGCTGAAGAGCTGAGGGACAGCACCCAGGCCCAGAGTTCAGGCCCCACAACCGGACCCAAAAAAAAAAAAAAACAAACAAACCATCAAAAAGCCAGAAGTAGAGCTGTGGCTGAAGTGTTAAGAGTCCTAGCCTTGTATAAAAAACACTAAGGGACAGTGTCCAGTAACAAGTCCCAGGAACAGCAGGCATGCACGCACACACGCACACACGCGCGCGCACACACACACACACACACACACACACACACACTTGTAGATTTTATATATATATGTGGGGCCTGAACTCTGGGCCTGGGCACTGTCCCTCAGCTCTTCAGCTCAAGGATAACACTCTACTACTTGAGCCACAGCGCCACTTCTGGCTTTTTTCTTTTTGCTTATGTGGTGCTGAGGAATCGAACCCAGGGCCTCATGCATGCAAGGCAAGTGCTCTACCACTGAGCCACCTTCCCAGCCCCTGTAGATTATATATAACTGGTATTATATATAACTTTAGCAACTCAGGAGGATTGCAGTTTAAAGCAGCCAGGGCAGAAAAGTCTGGGAGACTCTTAATAAACAGCAAAAGCCAGCAGTGGAGAGGTGGTTCAAGTAGCAGAGTGCTAGTCTTGAGTGATGAGTAAAAAGACTAAGGGAGAGCTCAAGGCCCTGATTTCAAGCTCCAGTGTTGTAATAATTTAAGCTACTAATATTTACTGAGTACTTGCTAGGTACTAGTACTATGCTAAGCGTGATTATTTAATTCTCAATACTAGCCTACAAAGGCTAGCCTACTACTATGACTATATACAAAAAAAAAAAAAAGTGGGGGGGGGGGGGCTTAGTTTAAATGGTTTCCCTGAGGTCACACAGCCAGTGTGAGGTACATAGGGGATTAGAACCCAGGGCTGGTGAATCTAGAGTCCATAATCTTTCCTGTATATAAACTTACAAATTCCAGTTTCCCAGGGGACAACTGGTTCCACTTAGGTCCCCCAAAAGGGGCCAGGCCTTACCTTCTCCAGCTTTCCAGAGACAGGGATGAGCTTGGGTGGGGGTCCCCGGAGGTGGGCATTGTGTGCCTGCTGCTCTCGGGTGTCCTCAATGTCACTGCTGGGGCTAGGAGGTGACTCTGTCCGAAAGTCTTCATTGATGTAAGTGAAGCTTGTGGCAGGGACAGTCTTTCTGGGAGGCACAGCTGGGCAGAGTGGCTCCTGCACCTCATAGCTACCCCGTAGCAGTCCATCCTGCTGGCGGAAGAATGTGGGCCCAGGAGCAGTGTGGTGGCGAGAAGGAGCTGGTCCCCCCGGGCAGGGCCGGCCCGAGATGAGACTGCTCACGCTGCCCATGGCTGGAGCTTGCGGGACAGTGGCAGCCTCAGGAGTGGGCTCCAGTGGGACTGGCAGAGTGTGAACAATGGCCATGGTGGCAGCGGCTCAGGCCTGGCCAGGGGCCTCTGGGGCAACCTATGAGCAGGGAGGGAAGTGTTGTCAGAGTCCCACCTATACAAACACCTCTCCTGTCCCCAGGCCCAACACCCCAACATCAGTAACAAGCCCCAATCTCTCTCAAAAATTCCCCTCCAAGGGGACTGGCATGAATCTCAATTCTCTCTGGGCCCCAGACCACACTGCCCAGTTGTGGCCTGCACAGGGCTGAAGACTGACTCCACCAAGCAGAGGTAATAAGGGTATGGCAGCCTGGGTAGTTATTCAAGGCAACTTGGCAGTGGAGACCCAGACCCAAGCCCAAACTTGCACCCTCAACAGAGGTCAGGACTCAGGTTAGGCAGGGAGCCCTAGCTACAGGTTCCCAGCACAGGTCCCTACTCTTTTGGGACAGGTAGCCTCATTACAGGGCAGTCCAGGTGGGCAGAAGTAATGTTAGGGATGCAATCACCAACTCAGATGGTAATTAGGGAACAAAGAGCCAAGGTCAGGCAGTGCTCTGTCTCCAATTTCTAGGCCTCAGTTTCTCCCAGACAGAGAGGCGGCAAGGCTGGAGCTGGCCCAACAAGAACCCCGCAGCTCTTAAGGAGCCCCTAAGTGCCCTTGGGGGTCTCCATTCTCTCAGAGGATGCAGGCTTCTGCTTGTTTCCATGACAATTCCTGGCTTTGCCCACCCAATCAGTTGGGTCTGCAGGAGCCTGCACAGGCCCTGACCTGCTACTGACCTCCAGTAAAACCATCCTGCAAGGCTGCTTCCCAGAGTAGCCCCTAAGGGATGCAGGCAGGAGCCCACCACCACCTCAGCAGCTGCTCCAAGATCTCACTGGCTTGGATCTCAGACAAGAGGGCTCCTCCTCCCCTGGCCTTGCGCCTTCCTGGAAGGGGACAGCAGGCCTCCACCCGGAACTCCCTCCCAGTTCTGAGGCAGCTGATGACCAGGACTTAGGCATCTGCTGAAGTCATCATGCAGAGAAAGGGCCAAGAAGTGGACAGAGAATTTCATGGGAGTGGACTGTGTACATTTACATACTTTTGTGAGTATATGCACAGAAGCCTGAAAATGAACACTGTGCATGTACATGAAAATGTGTGTGTAAGTCTGGTGAGGGAGTGTATGCATGTTGGGATAGAAGTGCCAGTACATTCATACACACATACATATGAATTCTGATGTGTAGATTTTACAAGACCATGTGTAAAGGAGCAATCGCTTTTAAAAAGTATGACAAAATTCTAGATATGTATGTTCTAAGTACATTTGTTGTGTGTGATGGTGACCATGACTAAAAAAAAAAAAATGTGAGTCAGGTACTGGTGGCTCATGCCTATAATCCTAGCTGAGTACTCAGGAGGCTGAGATCTGAGGATTGCCATTCAAAGTCAGCCGGGATAGGAAAGCCCATGAGACTCTTATCTCCAATAAACCACCAGAAAACAGGAAGTGGTTCTGTGGCTGGAGTGCTAGCCTTGAGCTGAAGAGGTGAGGGACAGCACCCAGGCCCAGAGTTCAAGCCCCACAACCAACAAAAAAAAAAAAGGAAGAAAGAAAGAGGGGCTGGGAAGGTGGCTCAGGGGTAGAGCACTTGCCTTGCATGCATGAGGCCCTGGGTTCGATTCCTCAGCACCACATAAGCAAAAAGAAAAAAGCCGGAAGTGGCGCTGTGGCTCAAGTGGTAGAGCGCTAGCCTTGAGCTGAAGAGCTGAGGGACAGTGCCCAGGCCCAGAGTTCAGGCCCCACAACCGGACCCCCAAAAAAAAAAAAGAAAATAAAGAAAAAAGGAAAAAAAGTGTGGATATAACAACGACCGGACCCAAAAAAAAAAGAAGGAAAAAAAGTGTGGATGTAACAGTAAATTCATGCACGTGAGTTTATGTGTAAACTCTGATATGTATATCTTACACAGTGTGTGAACAGAAGGTGTGTGCAAATATGTACAGAGGAATCTGTACAATGTTTATGGGAGAAGGGGGGCTGAGAGGCATACAAGGCCACCTGGGTGAGTGGAAGGCTGGCTTTTTTTACTCTGGGGGATGGGTAGGTGAGCCCCATCTGTTCCCCTTTTTGCCTGTACTTCCATTCAGTCCACCCAAGTGTTAAAAGACACTTGAGAAAAGCAGATCCAGACTGAGGGAGGAGTTGCTGGGACCTGGGGTAGGGTACCCAGGCCTCCATAAGGGGTCCTGGCTCTGAATAAAGCTGATAGGGAACACTACTCCAGGGCATGGGGCAAACAAGGGAAGGGGCTGGCATTCTTGGGTACTCTTACGCACTTTAGAGAGCACAGAAAGTGAGAGCCAAATGGAAAAGGGCAGCTGCAGACAAGACTCTCGGAAAGACAGGAACCCAAAGACAAGAGACAAAGAGAGGCCTGGAAGCTCAGGCAGGAGGAGCCAGAGGGAAACCCAGAAGCCGTGGTGGCTGAATTCGGCTAAGGGCCCCTAAATTCAGACGGATATAAAGCTGGGCCTGGAGAACAAGGCATCTGGAAGGCCAGGCCTAGCCTGCCAGGCTCTGGCTCCTGCTCCAAGAGCCGGGAGAGAGGAGGGGCAAGCGGCTCCATTTTGAGAATGCGTTGGTGGCTGTGGGAAAAGGGAACCCCTGGCTCTCCCCAGCACTCCCTGAGGAATCCCTCTGGTACAGGAAAGCCCTCCCCTCCCCCCGTGGTGGGCAGGGGGAGTGGGGGACTCAGCCAGAGCCAGAAAGGAGCCTGGCCCAGGTCCCAACTCTCACAGACCTCAGGGTGGGGAACTGGAGAGTTGGGGAAAGTCTCTCCCCCAAACTCCAGAGGCCAGCCTGGAATCACGAGTTCTTATTCCGCAACAGGAAGCCGCTTCCCCCCCCCCCCACTTTCCCCGACCCCCAAGAGTCCACCCCCTTTTCATGAAGCAGGGGGGCTCGTGGAACGCCGCTTCCCTATGGGACCGCATCGTGTAAAAGTTGAGGCGCCCCCAAGCCCCAGCCCCCTCACCTCCACCGCGTTGCTCCATGCTCAGCCCTGGGCCGCCCCGAGCGTTCCACAGGCGCGCCGCCCGCTCCAGCCCGCGCGCGGCCACACTCCGAGGGGGAAGCGAGCGCGGCCTGGCCCGACCCGGCCCCGCCTCCGCGGTGCCCCCTGCCCCGGCCAGCCCCCGCCCGGCCCGAGTGGGCGGCGCGCGCGGCGCGGGGGAGGGTCTGCGGGGCGTCCCCGCCCCGGGGCGCGGACACGCGCAAGCACCCCACGTCACGCGTGTCGGCCCGGGCGCACGCAGGGGGCTGGCACGGCGGCGCCCGGGGCCCCTTCCCTGCCAGGCCCGGTGCTCATGTATCGGGGTGCTCGGATCGGATCGGGACTCCGAGGGCGGGTCACCCTCTGCCCGAGCTGGGGCCCAGGGGCCAGCAGCAGCTGGTCATTGTTGAAACACAAAAGGCCGAGGCGCGGCGGCGCTCGCTCCTCCCCTCCCCTTCTTTAAACGAAGCCTTCCCGGCCAGACCCACTCCAGCCTCCGAGTCCAGAGAGGCGACCGGCCGAGGGTCGGTTTCCCCCTCTCCGGCTACCAACGCCCCGCAACCCCGCACAAGTCGGGGCCGAGGAGCTGTAGCTGCCTGCCCCACCCCCAGGCTTGGAGGCAGCACTCTAGGTTTGCTCACGCGGCGCCACCTGGCGGTCCCGGGAACCACACATCAGCTCCCCCCCCCACACCCCCTTTACCACTCCGGGCACCCTCATCCCTCTCCAAGCCGGGTGCCCTCAGCCCGCAAGCCCAGGCCTGTCCTTGGATCGCCTCAGATCTCCCCAGCCTGACCTCCCAGTCATCTGCTAGAAGAGAGGTCAGTGCTCAGAGAGGAGCATCACCCCAACAATCTCGGGTGAGTGGTCCAAACCTACAGTCCAAACCTACACAGCAGACAGCATCCCATTGTCTTTCCCAGAATCACAAATATTCCAACCCTCTCGAAAACAGCACAATCTTAACACCCACTCGACCTTTCCCACATTCTGTCTCAAGGCAGCCACAATCAGTCTCATCCGTCACGTGATTCCAAGTTCCTTCATTCTGTAATCTCCTAGGCCAAATCTCACAGTCACTCGCTGGTGCACGCCTGTTGTGCCCTCTTTCACAACTGTTAGGTCTTTAAAAACCATTTTAAATAGGCAAGTCTCAGCCCTCTTTTCAAACACTGCCTCATAGGTAACCCCCCCCCCCACACACACACACACATTTCACAAATTATCACATTTTCCCTGAGAGATTTTCAGTGACCTGGTCAGGTCAGCTAATGCCTGTACCCCTGGGCAAGGCCAGCCTCCCTCCCCAGTAGCCTCCCCCTGAGGCTCAAGGCCTGCCAGAGCTGGGCTCAGCCCCAGGAAGGAGCATTCCCCCCCCCTTCCAGGCCACAGCCTGGCCGGCTCTCAGCTCTATTTTTAGCTCTATGGAAAGGGTTGTTTTTCTTTCTTTTTCCCTGGAAAGGGAAACATAGCCCAGCCACACTCAGGCTCAATTCCAGACCCTCAGCCTCACAAGGGCAGACAGAATCTCTCTCCCCAGTGGAGACCCCCATCTCTGGCCTTGCCCTGATCTCTGCCTCCTAGGGCACCAAAAGCCTCCTCCCCTTTCTGGCAGCCGGCCCAGAAGCTCCAGCAGCAGCTGGGCTCAGCATGGGGAGGGGGAGGGGACAGGAATGGGGGCGGGGTGAGACTAGAAGAGAGGCTGGGCTACAGCTCCCTCATGGGGGGGGGGGGCGGGTAATCTTCCTTGACCCCCTCGGTTACTGGGGAGTATTTACTCTTATGTATTCCCTTTGGGGAGGGGAGAGGGCCCCTCTTACATTGGTGGGCTCCTGGTGCTACGCTGGGAGGAGGAGCTCCTGGTCCTGCCAGGGATGGAGGTGGCTGGTGGCAGGAAGGGGATTCAAAGGCAGCTGCTCCCTATGCTGGGGGCGAGGGATAGGGGCAGCTGTCTACTGCTATCAGAGGCCTCCCTCCAAATACCTTCAAGTAAGAGGGCTCCGGAGCTGGAAGACAAGGAGCACAAGAAGCCTCACCCCAGCCCAACAGTCTCTGGGCCTCTCTAGCCACTCCGGCTCCAGGAGGCGTAGTGTTCCCATTCCTGGGAGAGTTTTAACACTGCTTCAGGCTTAAAATGGAATACAGCCCTGCACCGGACCAAGCACATTCGTCCTGGCCTGGGAACGGGGTTCCCTGACCTGTGATGGGATTGGGATCCCACAGTTCACCAAACTACAGACCAATCACGTGCCCTGCGCCTCTGTTTACCTCTTGGTCTACACCTGCAAGCAGGCAGCCGGGAAGTAGGAACCGGAGACGCGTCCCACCCGGCCCGCCCCGGCCGGCAGTCACGGGGTGGCCTCCCGGAGCCCAGCCCGCCGGGGGCTGCGCGCCCGGGGACCCTGCAGCTGGGAGGGTGGGGGTCCCTCACGAAGCGCGTCTTTTTCTAGAGCACGTGGGTCCCAAAGGCGTGCGAGGGGCACAGTGCACGCGTGCATGGCGGTCTAGCCGTACAAGTTTCTCCGGTCGCTGGGCTGTTCAGCCTCCCCGCTGCGCTCCACCAAGTGGGGACTCCCTCCTCGCTCCAACCCCCAGCTTCTCCAGACACGAAAAGTTGGCCCGGAACGGGGATTTCCGAAAGGCAAGTTTCTGCACTCCGGTCAGGCCCCCCACTCACACACTCACCCAGTGCCGCCGCGCCCCGGCCAGGGTCCCGCTCCAGCGCGCTCACTTTCTCTCCGCGAAAACTCCGGCGCCCCGGCGGTTCCCGGCTCCCGACTCCCAGCGCCAGCCCGGCCCGACTCGGTGCAGCGGGGCGGGGCAGCCGAGACCGCGCCCCCAGCCCGGGGAGGGGAGTGGTCTGCGCCCAACACTCCCAATGCCGAGCCGGCTGAGTACCCAGCTCCAAAGTAGCTCGACACCGAGGCTGCCCTTTGACTTCACAGCTCGTCGGACTTGCCTTTCGACTAGGGAAGGGGCGCGCGGCACGTGGCCGAAAGCTAAGCTACCAGCTCCCCTGAGCAGCTCTAGGACTCGACTCCGCCACCCTTTTCTCCGCGGCGAGGAGACCAATCCGGTTCTCCTCCAAGAAAGACAGGGAAAACCCCTAGGAGCAGACAATTAGGGCTCTAACTTCACCAAAACAGTCCCCCTCCCCACCCCCGCAACTCCCAAAGAAGATTTGGGCTTCAGTTTGCCCAAGCAGAACCAGTACCTCCCCCTTCTTATGTAGGTGTATACCACCCACGTGAGCTGGCTGCTAGTCCTGGCCCCCCACAGGGCATGGCTAGGCTTCTTTAGACTCATAAAAAGTCCCACCCACAAGCACAAACAGGAAGTTGGTTTGTACTTCAAGGAGGTACCAAGGGCTCACCCTCCCTCTGGCACTTCAGGCAGCCTTGGGAAGGCCCAAGTCAGGTATGTGGGCCATATTTGCAGCCTGAGTCCTTGGGCTGCAGGAGACTGGTGAGTTTAGTGTCTTCTCAAATCCATCCGATGTAGAGGAAGCTTCTGGAGGACCAAAGCTGCCCCTTACAACAATGTATGACGCCCCTTACAACAATGTATGACACACGCATTGTCAGCCTTGAGGACAGGCTTGCAGATGCAATCCTACCCTGCTTGGCCAGGCCCTTCCTGAGCTCTCAAGATTTTTTTAACGAAGGATTTTAGTACAACAGGGTTAAAGTTGGGGAAAATGGAGAAAAGAAACATTTCCTGTGTTCCATGCAGAAAATGGGAGTTAATGATTCTTAAGGATTGTAGGTTCTTTACCATTTGAACACAATTATCAATCCTATACTCTTGTTTCAAGCCATTAGCTGGGTACATCAACAGTGGCTCCCAGAGTCCTTATGCAGAATCTAGGGATTTCCTCCAGTCTACCTTCTAAGTTCTTGGGATTCCTGAACACACTTTGGACTAATCTTAATGCTGGGAGTTTAAAGCAGGTATGGAGTGGAATGTATTTGTGTAGTGAGCAGGGAACAGGGCTGTTAGCTTCTCCTCACCATTCTGAAGCATGCCATTGGAGGTGGGGGAGGGTCTACCAGAGAGGAGAAGCAAGACTGGTTCTCTCTCTGATTTAGAACCTCACCAGGTCTCCCTACTGGAAACTCCTAACAGGCTTTCTGCAAACACATCATTCTAGGAGGAATGTGAAATTCATGTTCTTAAAGGTAAGACTAATCTGGTGGTGTGCATCTGGAAGGAATGGCTGACTTCCACATTACAGATGCTGGATGAGGCCTAGAAACAGCCAACGGCTGGCAATGATTACTGTGGGAATTAGACAGGCCTGGCTCCAGCCAGTCTGGGAGAGACCCCCAAGAAAGCAGGCCCTGGAGGAACTACCCCCACCCCAGGTTCTTACCCAAGAACAGCTTTGCAGCAGCTTGGCTACAAGGTCTAAGAAGATATGTGTGGCTATACTTTTCAAAAGACTCCAGACCTTTCCACCTTTCTAGAGAGCAGTAAACGTTCATCTTTACCAGAACAAAAGGATTCTTCAAGCACTAGTCTCTTCTCCATTTATGTTGAAGTTGGGACTAAAATATCAGAAGAAATCAAAGTCATCATTTGAAAATAATTGACATGATCTGCAGGTCTTTTCTTTTTGTTTTTTGGCCAGTCCTAGGGCTTGAACTCTGGTTGTGGGCACTGTCTCTGAGCTCTTTTGCTCAAGGCAAACACTCTGCCACCTGAGCCACAGCACCACTTCCAGCTTGTGTATATGATACTGAGGAATTGAACCCAGGGCTTCATGCATGCTAGGCAAGCACTCTACTACTAAGCCATATTCCCAGCCCTGCAGGTCATCTTTTTTCACTTCCTAGCGTTTATTAAAATGAAGACTTAGCGGGCTGGGAAGGTGGCTCAGTGGTAGAGCGCTTGCCTTGCATGCATGAGGCCCTGGGTTCGATTCCTCAGCACCACATAAGCAGAAAGAAAAAAGCCGTAAGTGGTACTATGGCTCAAGTGGTAGCGTGCTAGCCTTGAGCTGAAGAGCTGAGAGACAGCGCCCAGGCCCAGAGTTCAGGCTCCATGACCGGACCCGAAAATAAAAATGAAATAAAATGAAGACTTCTAGATCCTTCCTCAAATTCTGGAACTAGAAGTATATGCAGGACAGGAGAGGATCAGAAATGGAGTTGGGCTCTGTATTTTTCTTTTTTACTGATGGTACTGGGGTTCAAAGTCAGGACCTCATACTTGCTAGGCAGATCCTCTATCATTTGAGCCACATCTCTGGCCCTCCCCACCCCTCATTTTTGAAACAAGTCTTGCAGTAGTCTGGGCTGGCTTCAGACTCTTCATCCTACAACCATGTGCACCAGCTTGGTTTATTAATTTTCTTAACAAATCCCCAGGAGTTCTGGCGTATATTAAAGAGAACCGTGGAAGAGGGTACTAGAGGGAAATGGATGGGAGTACAGATAAGAATAAGTTGAGTCTTGCAGGGCATTATGGTATACATGTAGTAGTAGCATTTAGGAAGAGGCAAAAGGATCTAGAGTTTAAGGCCGGCCCCTGTATAAAGAAAAAAACATACAGTTAGCACACCCCCATCTCTCCTAGGCAAGGAAAGATATGAAAGGAAGGTAGGATGTGAAATTATACCTCAAGGCTCAAAGGCCTGGAAGTGGGGGAGGGACCCATCCACTCCCAATTCGGTGTGGAAATCCAGTTATAGACTGGGGAGACACCTGGTGGACACATAAGAAAGAACACACACACACAAAAAGCAATTTTTTTTTTTTTAACTAAAATTAGAAATGGCTGTATTTATAAAAAGTCAACTCCAGCTGTTTGAGACAGCATATATGGAACCACTGTCCAAGTGGCAGGCACCTTTGGGCTTTTCCATGGCTCTACGGCCAGCAGTATTACACAGCTAAGCACCAATGCCAGCAGGCTCTACAAAAGTGGAGAGCAGAAAAGACTTGGTACCCACCATGTTACCCTTTAGCTCCAAAAGCCTAAAGCCTGGAATTTCAACAAGTCCCCTATTTAAACTCCAACTTCAGGAATTTCAAGTGTGCCTTGCTCACTGCCATCTCAGGGCTCTGTACTTTGCTCTCTGCCTGGATCCCTTTCTCCAGATGCTTACATGCTTGTTCCTACATGTCACATGCCCTCTGTTCCGAAACACCTTTTCAGACTATATAAACAAGCCTGTAAGCACTCTTACCACATTACAGTTTTACTTTTGGTCAGTGCTTTGTGTTCTTGCTTGCTCATGGCTGGCACTCTACCACTCAACTTGTTCTGATCTTAGCCTCCAGAGTAGCATGAGATAACCAACAACCAACACTTGTCTTTTTTGGTGTATGTCCTGGGGCTTGAACTCAGAGCCTGTAAGCTGTCCCTGGGCTAGTGCTCTACTATTTAAGCCACACCTTCAATTCTGGATTGTTTGGTATTTAATTGGAGATAAGAGTCTCTTGGACTTTCCTGCCCAGGCTGGCTGTAAACTCAGATCTTAGCCACATAAATAGCTAGGATTACAGGCATAAGCTATCAATGTCCGGCTTCTGACACTTTTCTTTATAGGCTTTATTACTAAAACTATATTTGTTCTTTGACTTGTCTCTTCTACCATGATCTGGGTTCTGTGGATACAGACCTTACCTGTCTTTGCAGTGCTGATATACCAAACTTCAAACAAAGCCAGGCACACAGTAGGTCCTCAAATAGCTGCTAAATTGAATTTTCTCATTACAGAACTCTGCACTAGACTGAGAAGGACCCACAGTTGAGAACTACATGAAAAAAGAGCTCTAGCAAAGGGCCAAAAAGTCTGTGCCCTAGCCTGTCCCATCAGGCTCATTTCAGTGAGCAGTTCTGCACTAACTTGAAAACTTAAGAGTTATCTGGCTGGTGGGAGTTCGTGTCCTGGACTGAACCAGTTTCAGAGTTCTGGGACCCAGAACCTTTTTTTCCAGAAGAGGGCTTTTTGGCCACAAGTCCATTATCATCCTTGATCTTCTTCAGTCGTGCCTTGCTCTTTGGTGGGACAGAGAAGGTAAGCGAGGTCTTGTTGAATTCAAGTGAGAAGACACCTACATCTCCATCAAAACGGTTCTTGGATACCTGCAGATACCGTTTACCCGGCCCAGTTACCAGCTTCCTGTCCTGCAGAATCAGAACATTGTCAGCTTCTTGGCTTGCCTAAGGGATAAGGGGAAGGGGACAGAAGGAAGAAGAAAGGAAGAAGCAATATGATCAAAGCCGTAGAAAGGAAGGCTGTGAGTACATAGGGGAGTGGCAAATACAGGGAGAGGGAAAGCACTACCCCGTCACTGGCAAGAACAGGGAGAGGGAAAGCACTACCCTTCCACCAGCCTCTTTGAATAATTAACTACAAACTATGCTAGGGCCACTCATCTCCCAGGTCCATGACAATAAGTCTGCTACTGCTTCAGACTTTGTCTATATTGCTCTTTGCTTGCAACATCTCTTCTCTATACTGGGCTACCACACTCAACATAGGTGCTTTACAGGCCTATCTAAATGTCACACTTCATAAGAGAGGTCTTTTGTTTTTTGGGTTTTTTTTGGGGTCCGGTCGTGGGGCCTGAACTCTGGGCCTGGGCGCTGTCCCTCAGCTCTTCAGCTCAAGGCTAGCGCTCTACAACTGGAGCCACAGCGCCACTTCCGGCTTTTTTGCTTATGTGGTGCTAAGGAATTGAACCCAGAGCCTCATGCATGCAAGGCAAGCGCTCTACCACTGAGCCACCTTCCCAGCCCAGGTCTTTTGTTTTCAGTTGTTTTTCCTTTTTTGTTGTATTAGGGATTAAATCCAGGGCCTTGGCTTGTTAGACAAAAATCTCATCACATCCTTAGCCACATCCTTAGCCCTATGGGTTTGCTATTTTGAAATTGTTTTTTCTTATTGTGATTCTCCTATTTATGCTTCCTACGTAACTTGGTGTTTTGTTGTATGCCAGTACTGGGGCTTGAACTTAGGGCCTCATGCTCTCACTTGCCTTTTTTGCTTAAGCCACCAACCTACCTCTCTATTCTGGCTCCGCTTGTTACCTGGAGGTAAGAGTCTCACAAACTTTTCTAATTATTGGCTTCCAACCATATTCTTCAGCCTCCTGAGTAGCTAGGATTACAGACATGAGTCCCTGGACCCTAGATTGTTTCCTATATAACTGGGATGTTAACCATGTAAGGCCACATTTGACTTTCATTGGTTGACATGAGGTCTTGTGAACTTTTGTCCAAGCTGGTTTCTAACCTCAAATCTCCTGAGGAACTACGACTATAGGCATGAGCCACTGTACCTGCTTCCCTTTCATTTCTACCATATTTTTGCTAACTTTGCCCAGGTTGGCTGCAAACTCTAGACCCTCCTGTTTCCATTTCCAAAGTAGCTTAGCTGGGATTGTAAGTATGGGCCACAATGACTGGTTTTAGAGAGGCCTTCTTTTTTTGGAGGGGGAAGGCAGGTTGGGGACAATAGGAATTTGAACTTAGGGACAGCGTTTAAGTGTTCTACGACTTAAGCCATACCTCTAGCCTTTCTTGCTTCTGTTTTATTTTCTAGATGGGGTTTCTGCTTTTGCTTGAGGCCAGCCTTAGACTGAGATCTTCCTACCTACCAAATCATGAGTAGACAGGATGACAGGCATATGCCACCATATCTAATTTTTTTCTTTTCTTTTTTTCTTGGTTGTAGGGCTTGAACTCTGGGCCTGGGCACTGTCCCTCAGCTCTTCAGCTCAAGGCGAGCATTCTACCACTTGAGCCACAGCGCCACTTCCAGTTTTTTGGTGGTTTATTGGAGATAAGAGTCTCTCGGACTTTCCTCTCCAGGCTGGCTTTGAACCGAGATCCTCAGATCTCAGACTCCTGAGAAGCTAGGGTTACAGGCATGAGCCACCGGCGCCCGGTTAGGGACCATTCTTGATGGTCTTAAAGTACTACCATTTTTCCACTTCTACATTATTCTTTCCTAGCTTCGTGTCCATTTAATTATGACACAGTTTGTGCTCCTCAACCTGAATTTCTTTGCCCAGCCCAGACCTGGCATGTAATAGGCACCCAGTGTGCCATTGGAAATTTCAGGCTTGGGCTGGTCCTTCAGCTTAAAAGTCCCTCCTATTTATTTAGCTAACACCTACTCCAGGCCTCAGTGTAATCTTTGTTGACACTTCCTCTGCGAAGTCTCCCCAGATGTTCCAAACTAACTCAGACCTGTTTATCCTTTGCTCCCCAAATACCTGTGCTATCTATTCTTGGCTCATCATAACGACTTGCAATCACTGTTCCTCTCCTAGAAGACATAAATCCTGAAGGGTAAAGAACCAACTATTAACAACCTTTGTGTTTTGGGCACACGTATCCTCATGTCATAGCTCTAGTGGCACTGCCTCCTGCCTGTTCAAGACAGTCAAGATGGTTTAAGATTGACTGAGAAGGGGCTGGGAAGGTGGCTCAGTGGCAGAGTGCTTGCCTTGTATGCATGAACCCCTGGGTTCGGTTCCTCAGCACCACATAAGCAGAAAAAGCCAGAAGTGGTGCTGTGGCTCAAGTGGTAGAGTACTAGCCTTGAACTGAAGAACTGAGGGACAGTGCCCAGGCCCAGAGTTCAGGACCCACGGTCAGATGGAAAAAAAAAAGATTGACTGAGAAATGTCCCCAGTCACACCTGCCCGCCCCCTCTATTCTCCAGCCTGACCTTCTTTAAAGCCACTCACTTTGGCTGAGCCAAAAATGGATGCTGTCTGTAGTTCCTTGTCATCATCTTCCTTCCGGGGGTGAATGACCAGTGTTACATGGCAGCTGTTGTCTGTTGCAAATTTCCGAAAGGCCCCCACAATGTAGTCTTGAGCTGCAATCCTATCCCCAAACAATGAAAAGAGGTTATTGGACAGGTAGGACAGGAACATGCACACACTCTTGAGCAATTTACATTTCCCCACAAACTATTCCAACCTCACTCTAAACCTGAAGACTTACACTCAGGTCTCTGTCCATAATTCCTGCTATCATGTTCCCATTCCCCTGCCTTGAAAATAAAGTGTATGTGGCTAGAGGCCAGCTTCCTGAGAAGACAAGTATGTTCAAGTTAGACAAGAGGAAGTTGTTACCTGTCTGTAGACAGCTGCTCATGACCCATCATGAATTGCAAGTTGTCGATGACCACATGACAAACATCATAGACATAGACCGCATGTTGCATTGTGTCTATTACAGACCTGGGAAGAGGCAATGAATTGAGAGTCTATTATTACAAGTGGCCCCCAGGTGAGTTGCTATTCTTTGAGAACTCCCATTCTTTGAAATCCATCTATTTGAAAACTCAAAGCCTACTAAAGGAGACCTAGAAGGAGTTCCACCAGCGCTAGGTAGGGAATCAAAGGTGCTAAATGTTGGTTAGGCTCTGAGGATCTCACCTGATGTTCTGCTGTCCGTGGAAAGTCATGAAATAGAGGGGCAGGTCCTCAAAGCGGTCAGCCCACTCTTCATATTTGTCCAGTTGCTCTTCCAGGCGTCCCAAAGCAAACTGGGTCAGCATGACTCGGGCTAGTCTCACGTTGCTGATCTCAAAGCTCCCCCACAGTGTGTTGACCCCCTGGGTACACAAATCCAGGGCATACTCACTGATGAACGTCGTTTTTCCACTGCCTGTTGGCCCTGCAGGAGGTAAGAACACAGCCCTGGGTGAGGAGCAAAGTCTGATCCTTGAACCAAGGCAGGTCAGGGAAGCCTTCTTTTCAACATTCTCAGAAGCCCAAACCCATGCTTTTGTACCTGGTCCCCTGACCCTTCACCCCAAGCAGTGATTTCCCAAAGGATCACCTGTGAAGACTGTCAGCTCGCCCTTCCGATGCCCCTTCAAGAGACGATTGAGGTCTGGGAAGCGGCTCCAGCGGATGCCAGCTGTTTGGTCCACATTCGACAGTTCTCCCAGTACCTCTTCTCGGAGCTGCCGGAAAGATACAATAGACTTGTGCCAAGCAGGGAGGGCAGTCCGAAGAATTCGAGAAAGACTTAAGCCTTGGTTCAGGGCCTCCAGGGGATGCGGTTGTTGGTTCCCAGGTCGCACCAAGGAGCATCTCTTGGGGTTCAGTTTTCGAGCAAATAATTTGGCAGCTTCCCAGGACCGGAGGTCATCCCCGAGCCAAAACACAATACGTCGGAACTGTTCAAGGTAAGGGAGTAATGCAGGGGGCAGGCAGACTGTTCCTCGTGGTAGGGCCAGAGTAGGAAGCCCTGTGGCCTGGCTCAAGGCCAAGCTGTCCAGTTCACGACTTGTCAGGACTACCTCGACATCTCGACGGCTGATCAGTGGTAATCCAAACAGGTTGTGGAAGGCACCAGGCCGGGGAATAGTGGTCTCCACATATCGTACTCTCTCCCCTTGGCCTTCAGCTCCTAGTAGCTTCAAGCCTCTTAATCCTAACCCCCCAGGGGAGAACCAAGGGAAGACCAGGCTTCGGGTAGGTCTCAAATATCGAACACTGAAACGTTTGAGTGTGTCGTCTGTCACCTTGGTGAGGCCAAACATCACACGAGCCAGCTGAGCCTCCTCTGGGTCAGGCAGCTCCCCCAGGGGTACTGCTCGATTCCAGATCCTCTGGATCTCCTCACTGTCCTGAGCTTCTGGGCCTTCAGTAAGCAGGATCCCCTCCCTGGCCTTGTCCCCTCTTCCTTCCACGCTGGCCTGGAAATCTTCCCAGCTTCCCTCTGCTAGGCTGGTCATGCAGAGAAAACGTCCTGTGGTTTTATCAATGAAGAGGCTGAAGGAAGCATTAGTATTAGTCTGATCTTTGACCTCAGAGGATTCCACAAAGGGACTGGGTGCCCGAAGACAGCTGTGACCATCCTGGAAGGGGATCCCATGTGTGCGCAAATACTGGCGGATTTCGGTTGTAGTTAGAGGTAACACTGGCACCTCCAAGGCTGGGAGAGCTTCCTTCCTGTATCGTCTGCGAGGAGGTCCTGGGACCAAGCTGCGGGGCAAACCCCTTCGACCCATCCACTCCCCTCGCAAGGACAGCAAAATCCGAAGGGGGGATGCACCTCTGAAAAGGACCCACATCCCTACTGCGAAAGCCTGCTTTTGGTGGCTTTCATTAGCGCAGACCCTAGCATTTCAGAGCCCTCACTCTCTCCAACTCTCCCCCGTCATCACCCTACTTGAATCCTTCTCAATCTCTCTACATTGCTACTTCACGTCTCTGTCCATCCACACCGATGTCCCGCTCTAACGACTCCCCAGGTCCTAAATGGATTCGGCCACTGCCTCACGTCTGGGACCCTCTCCAGGTCCCTGGACGCCACGGTTTCTCTGAATCATCTCCTCATCTCTCGCACCCCTCTACAGACCCTCCTCGCTGCCCTCATCTCTGCGGCCATCTGCATATTCTCAGCGCTAGGCCCCAACTAGGGACCCTCCTCGCCGCGCGGCTCCAGCCGCCCAGAGTCCTTCCACGTGGTTAGGGAGCCACAACCCGACTCCCGTCACACCTCCCCGGGTCTTCCCTCCGCTCGACGACAAGCGGCCCCAGGGTTCCACACCTAGCCTCGCGCCCCCACCCGCGTCTCTCCCCCTTTTCGCCCGAAACGTGGGTCACCTGCACGCGCCACTCAACTGTGACCTCGGAAGCAAAACTCTCCGGTCCGCGGATGTCTCCGGAACCGGAAGTCCCGGATTCGTCCCGCCTTCGCTCTCCGCGGCTTCGCTGCCGGTGAGACTCCCGTCAGGAGCTATGACTGCGCGCGGGACCCCGAGCCGTTTCTTGGCCAGTGTCCTCCACAACGGGCTTGGTCGCTACGTGCAGCAGCTGCAGCGCCTCAGCTTCAGCCTCAGCCGCGACGCACCCTCGTCCCGCGGCGCCAGGTGAGCCCAGGTGGGTTGGGAGGAATCACGCCACTCCCGGCATTCCTCGCTCCGGACTTCACCCTGCTCACCCTTCCTGGGTCCCTCAGGGAGTTCGTGGAACAGGAGGTGGCCGACTTCGCCCGACGGAACCCAGGGATCGTGATCTACGTGAACCCGCGGCCGTGCCAAGTGCCCCGAGTAGTGGCCGAATACCGTGAGTGGGCCGGGCTAGGGCCGGAGGGCGGGATCCGGGCTTAACCCACCAACTGCTGACACCTGATCCCACCCGACCTACCTCTTTTCTCCCACCTCCCCATGGCCACAGTTAATGGGTCCGTGCGGGAGGAAAGCCTAAACTGCAAGTCGGTGGAGGAGATCACCGCGCTGGTGCAGAAGTTGGCGAACCAGTCGGGTTTGGACATAATCCGCATCCGCAAGCCCTTCCACACAGACAACCCTAGCATCCAGGGTCAGTGGCACCCCTTCACCAACAAACCGACGACCTTCGGCGGGCTGCGCCCCCGGGAGCTTCAGAATACTGCTCAATCCCAGTGAAGTTACCCAGCGCCAACCCCTCTGGACTGTTGAGAGAACCACCCCAATAGAGGTGATTCTAACTCCCCGATTCTGAGATCAGGAACATAAATGGAACCCACCAGTGGACTTAGTGCAAAGATCTTGCTTGGGGTAAAGAACTACCCGTTTATCAGTGACCTTGGGAATTCTTGAAGCCCACATAACCTTGTTGATATCCTTAAAACCCAGGATGAGAAGTTATGTACAAGATTCTGTTATTTGAAATGTAAATTGATAATAGAGATTTGGAACACAGAGGTCTTCAGACTGGCTTCCTAAGACTGTCCTGCTCTGATGTCCTGTTGCTAACAAACGTTGACCTACAACATACAGTGAACTCTGCTGTGGCCCAGCATTGGGCTAGGCACCTTCTAGCTTTCGTACAGATCAGTACACTAAGATCATTAAACTTACCCAAAGGCAAGCATCACGTCAAAAGCGTGTGCGTGTTTTAAGCATAAGCCCCATTTTCTTTCTTTTTTTCTTCATTACATTGCCTGGGAGCTCTTTTTTTCTCAAAGCAGCACTCTGCCACTTAACCACAGTGCCCCTTCCACTTTTCTGGCAGTTAACTGGAGATAAGGGTCTCATGCACTTTCCTGCCCAGGGTGGCTTTTACATCAGATAACCACCGTGTGTAGCTAGGTTTACAAGCATGAACCACCAACACCAGGCCCCAACTTTTCATTGTCTTAAAATAAGCAGAACATAGAATTCTTCAGTGTGGTCAATGTCAACAGCAAGGGAATCATCAGGCCTGATTCTTAGACCTGGTGTCTGATTACATGATTTCTCTGGTCCCAACTGTACTCTCACCCCAAGACCTCTTTTCCAAAAATGAACCTTTTATCTCCCTTTGACCAGGAGGTGGGAGGTGCTGAAAATTTTCTTAGGAAAAAGCAGGAGGGCTGATAAGTATCTTGTAGGGTGCATGGTGGTACATGCCTGTAGTCACAACTACCCTGGAGTCTGAGCAGGAGGCTCACTTAAATACAAGAGTTTGAAATCAGCCTGGGCAACCTAGCAAAATCCTCATCTCAAAATAAATAAATTGATATAGAAATGGGTGGAGGATGGTGAGGAAGAGAGAAACCTCTATTTGATTTGTTTGTTTGTTTTTTTGGGTCCGGTCATGGGGCCTGAACTCTGGGCCTGGGCACTGTCCCTCAGCTCTTCAGCTCAAGGCTAGCGCTCTACCACTTGAGCCACAGCGCCACTTCCGGCTTTTTTCTTTTTTGCTTATGTGGTGCTGAGGAATCGAACCCAGGGCCTCTGGCATGCAAGGCATGCGCTCTACCACTGAGCCACCTTCCCAGCCCCAGAGACCTCTATTTGAATTCTTAGAACTGCTGTACTTTTCTTCTCATATTTTTATCACCATAGTCAGTGAATATGTGAGCCTTAACAGGGCCTGTGTACCTGCCTACCTAGCATAAACAAGGTAGAAGCTGACCCCAGTTTTCTCTGCAAATGGTTGTTTGGGGAGCAAAGCCAACCCTGGATTCAGAAATCACTATAGCACTATCTCCATAGGGTCAGAGCCTGGTTGTTGGTGATCAGAGAATGCTAATCTAGATTAAGCAGACTACTCAGAGCTGTGGGGAGGGAAAGGGCATTTATTAACCAACATCGGGAGGAGCTGAGCCCAGGCTCCCCACTCTTTTACATGCCTGTTCCACCCACCTGAGTGATGAGTGTGGGCATTCCTGAAGAAGTGTAGCCGTTCTCACAATAAATACATTCATTGTGGGGTGGAGGTGGGAGAGGTTTGGGCAAAGGGCAGTAAAAACCCGTGGGATTCCACGTTCTCAGCTACAAAAATAACAGTCTGTCCTCACCCAAGGGAAATGGGGGAGCTCAGTCAGGATTGATTGTCCCATAGGAGCCTAGAGACTTTGGAGGCCCCTGGACCCTGAAAGTGCCCCGGTGAGGTAGGACAGGGGTGGGAGCCAAACATCCAAACTCCCAGCCTCTGCCCTTTGCATAGTTCCAAGAACGGGCTTCATTTGCCAGGTGAGATGTCAGATCTTGTCTCCCCTTGCTCTGGTCTAGGGGAAGAAATACTTGATTCCCAGAAGGGAGGCTGGCTCATTGAGTGCAGTGTTGGTCACCATCCTAAGGAACGTCTGAGGATAGCTAGATGGGAGAGACTCTCCCTTTGAAATATTCATGGACCAAACCTGACAACACAGGTCTGAGGCAACTAGGGGAAGCTCAGAAGATGCACGTGGGTGGGAATGTAAGCATGTGTGTGATGTGGGTGCATTCCACATATGCATTCGGAAGGGATGCCAGTCTTCGATGTGACCAAGGGAAGTGGAAGGCTGACTCACAAAGGCTACACAGGAAGGAAGAAGAGGGGAATGTGGCAGTCTTACCTCCTAGGCTGGCCTGTTCCCAAGCTCTTGCCAAAGATGTTATCTATGGGCCTGAGACTGAGGGAGAGTACTAAATAGGGACTGGACAATTTGGGGGTTACCCCAAATCCAGAAAGGATGAAAACAGAATACAGCAGAAAGGGAAGGTTGCTGCAGCCCAACTGATAAACATTCTTCCATGTGCACATGTGAATGTACGCAGGGCTCAGGTGGCTGGCAGAGGTCTTGTCTGGATTCAGGACTATCCAGGACACAGGGCTATGCAGAGGGTGGTGACATTGAGGCCATCTGGACCTGCAGAGCCCTACCTGGGAGGAAGAGGAAGGTTGGGCAGAAAATGGGACAAGAGGATGGACTCCTCTCCTCCCAAGCATTTAGGTTAAGGGGATGGAATCTAGGTCTAGATTTGCAAAGCACCTGGTCCTGAGGGAGCACCTACCTCTGAGGAGCACCGGTGGGCCTGGGCTGCTCACATGTGGGTCTTGGAGACTGAGGAGGGGGCTTTGGCTGGCCATGACTTAGCCAGCCTACAGAGACATCAAAAAATGGGGAGAAAGGCAGGGAAGGGGGTATGTGAAGGAGGGTGTCTGTTGGGGATGCAGCAGTCTGACCCAGGCAGACAGGCTGGCTCGGGAGAGCATTTGTTAGGGAGGCTGGGCTCAGACAGAGCTTTCATCCAGCTGCTCTACCAGCTGCGTGTGCTTCCTCTTCTCCAGGATGCGGCTCAGTTCTTCTGCGAAGGAGCAGGGTCCTGCTGGAACTCCATTGTTGCTCTGCCTCAGGAGCACATAGCTGTTGCCATTCATCCTTCGAAGCCGGCTGGGCAGTGCCACAAGTCCATTGGTCAGCTCAGCTGGCGGAGGGAGTGGTGGTGGAGGGGGTGGGGCTGGGGCACCTTCCCCAGGGATGATCTGGAGGCAGCTACTTTCCAGGCCCCCAGGCCCCTCCCCGTCGTCACCATCATCTTCCTCTCCAGGACACTGGCCTGACACTGTTTGCAGCTGCACTGCCGAGCCACCTGTCCGGCCAGCCCGACCCAGTGAGTATTTTCGTCGACGTCCTTGTCTACCTCCCTTCAGACAAGCCACATAGAGAAGGGAGGAAGCTAGGATGAGGCAGAGGCCACCAAGTGCAGCAATGGCTAGCACATAGAGCAGCCTCATATCAGGTGCCAGCTGTGCCCCATGTGTGGCAGGGGCCTGTGGAGCTGGGGCAGGAGTGGCTGGCCGGACTAGGAGGCTGTAAGAAGCCAGCAGGATACGGAGGCCATTCTCTTCAGCATAGCAGCCATATTTGCCACTGTGTTCAGGCTGTGTGTCTGTCACCAGCAGCCCATCGATGCCTATTCGGTAGCCATCCTGCCCGTCACTCAGACCCTTGCTCCCATTGAGTAGCCACAAAGCCTGTGCCAGGTTGGATGGCTGGTCACAGGGCAGGAGGACATCATCACCCCGGAGCACAGAACGCGTCTTCAGTGGTGGTGCTGGTGGCCCTGGGGAGGATGGCAGACAGGTCAGTCCCTACCTATCCAGGGGTTATGGCAAGCCAGACTGTTCCAAGTCCCAGCACAAAGCACAGAGACTGGAGTCCATGGCAGGTTACCAAGCTTTCTGAAGTTTACATTGGCCTTTTCCAAGGCGCAGGTAGTGCCTACATTCTCTGTCCCATCTCTCATCTCATCTCCTGCATCTGCAAAGGACTCCTAATCACTTGTTCAGCACACACCTCTCCCCTGGGTGCCAAACTTGAATATTTGCCATGCACTGGACTTCACATGAGGTCTCAGGCACCTGACTAAGGCCAAAGTGCCCTTTGCAACTATACCAGGTCCTTTCTTTGAATTGCTGTTACTGTGAATGCTGCTACTACTTAGCTGCTTAAATCCTGGAACCTGGGAATCTCCCAACCCCTCACCTTTGTATCTAGTCTCCATCAGAATCTCTCAGATCTATTCACTTCTCTCCTCCCACAGCTACAAAGGCCCTGATCAAATCCATTCTCCATAAACTGATGAGATAATCCTTTAAAAATACAAATCTGATCGTGTCACTCCTTGACTCACACTCTTCAGAGGCTTCTTCTGGTGCTTTTCAGATAAAGACAAAATTTCAGCATGGTCCCTGCCCACCTCTGTCTTCTGATGCTCCAACACAACAAGTTCCCCCTGCTTGCTGGTCCCCATTCCTCCTCTGTGTCTGCTTGGTTAACTTGTGGGAGCCAGCACAGCATAGTGGTCAAAAGCACAAACTGGAATTAGACTGCTTAGGGTCAGGTTTGAATTCTGACCCTGCTACTTACTAGCTGAGTTAAGAGCAGTTTCCTTATACTTCCTGTACCTCAGGAAGATTGTCCCTCATGGTAATAATAAGGGTACCTCTGCCATAAAGTGCTCTGAGACTAAATATGTGTGTTTAGATCAGTGCTTGGGACTTAGTAAGTAATCAGTACATGTTAGCTATGACAATTAACTTTCGTTTTTCCTTCAGATATCAGCTTAGTCATGAAATCTTCTTTGGGGAACTACTCATTACTCCCTGTAAATATTGTTCTAATTGTAATTATTAGTAGTTATAGTTAATTATTTTTGTGATCATTTAAATGTCTACCCTCCCCATGATACCACTTAGCTGTAAGTTCCAGAAATAACAGAACACTTGGCCTCTTTATTAAAAAAAAATCTATGACACTGGAGGTGAAACCCAAGGATGTGAACGTGTTAAGGTATGGCTACCCTGAGCTACACCCCCTCCTAACACTTTGAACCTGTTCCCGCATTTATAATTTGGGCAGTATCTGTCTGGCTCTTACCCTGGGTCAGGCCCAGTGCTGGCTCATTGTTGCCAAAGCACATAGGTGTAGCCACTAATATAGAATATGCCCTTGCAAGTGACAGTATGTGGCAGAGGACAGGCTGTGCAGCCAGACACACACGTCTGCAAGTGTCACTTACCTGTATCCCTACTGCCCTCACAGCCTCGATTTCCTCTCTCTATGTCTTGTATCAGTGCTGTCCTGGGGACAGAAGATCAGAGTTCATGAGCAAGGGGAACTAGGCTTCAGTTTCCCCAGTGAAAGAGTCCGGAGGGCAGTACAACTAGCCACCACATCCCCTCTGGCTTGGTAGGCCTTCCTCCTCTACTTATGCCACACATGACCCTCCCCACTCCCAACCTCTACCCTGGGACCTGTTGCCTATGGTGGTGGCCACCATGCAGCCATGGGTGTTGGGGTCCCAACCGCAGTAGGGGTCCCGGGCCAGGATGCAGTCATAGCAGGAGCGGTAGCGGAAGCAGCTGGATAGTGGTAGCTGAATCACTCCACTGGAAGCCCCAATGTAGAGGCTGTGCTGGGAGCCAGAAATGACAGTTGGTCAACAACACCCCTATTCTAAGTAATAGACAACACTGTACACAGCCCCTACCCAGCCTCCCCACGCCCCCTCATCTAGCAAAGGCAAAATGAGGGTCAGAAGACACAGCTACCTGCATGGGAGAGATGATTAGATTCTCCACAGGCTGGGGCTCCCTGAATACTTGTGTCTCTTCAATAATATGCATCCCAGAGCCCAGGACTATGGCCTTGTGGATCCAGCCATCAGCTGGCAGGGGAAAGGACAGAGATCAGACCCTAACAATGAGGTCTGCTCTCAGCACCCCACAAGAGGGCCTTACGGGAATTAGCTAAGGAATCACAATGTTGGGAACAGACAAGGATTCAACTAGTAGCACTCCCTCAAGACACTAGGAGCTGCGTGCTGGTGACTCACACCTATAATCCTAGCTACTCGAGAGGCTGAGATCTGAAGATCTCAAAGCCAGCCTGGACAGCAAAGTCTGTGAGACTCTTATCTCCGACCAACCACCAGGAAACTGGAAGTGATGCTGTGGCTCAAAGTGGTACAGTGCTAGCCTTGAACACAAGAGCTCAGGGACAAAGAAGACATTGGGAACTCCAGGCTAGTCATGGCAAGAATCACTAGGCTCAGAAGCAATAAGGATGAGGGATGTGGGTCAGAAGCACCTGTGCCCAGAAAGAGCAGGTCATAGGTAGGTCCCGCAGGTGTGGTGACAGGTGTGCCTGTGAGGTGCGTGTAGCGCACATTGCGCTTGAGCAGCAGGGGCCGTCCACGTGTAGGCACCACGGGCCGAGCCATCAGTGGGTGCAACTTCACAAAGTCCAGGATGTGGGACGGCAAGTCTTGGGATGAGTTGTAGCCTCGACTGCGCAATGAATCTGTGATGCACTGGGGTAGGGAATGAGGTGGTGAACCTCAGGATTGGATCACCTTCTTCCCTCTCCGCAAGGTTGGGCCCTCCTTCCCTTCCTAGGGACACTCCACTTAGCAAGGGCCCCAGGCATGAGTACTCACTGAGCCAGGCCGGGGCTCAGGCACCGCACCCTCATAGCGGCCCCAGCGCCGGGCACCATCCTGGTACTCCATGTAGGGACCTGCGAAGACAGCCTGTACCTCAGTGAGGTCATAGCGGCAGATGGCTGAGGCCTCCAGGGTCTTCCTAGGAACGGAACATAGATGAAGGGACTGAGTCACACTGAGTGGAATCTGCCTTCAGCTCCCGCTCGGCCTGCAGCCACTGTTTCCTTGATGCATCTCTACTGAAGGCCAGTAGGTGCTGTCCATGGGTCGGTAGGCCACTGAGTAGCCAGAGAGCAGTTTGAGGTGCTTAATATTTTTACAACAGTCCTCTTCCAACAGACCCTCTCATCCTCATTGACCTCTGCTTGTGCCCATGTTGCCCCCAGGCCTTGCCTTCTATTGCCCCTCTACTTACCACTGGGTGGTCAGTGTGAAGGCTGCATAGAAGTGTGTGTGGGCCGAGGGGTCGGTGTCCATGCTGCAGACCCCACGCAGTGTCTCATACTGGGGAATGTGGCAGATGAGACGGGCCTTGAGGAAGGATGTCCACTTCTTCTGCAGGATCTTCTTCCCTCCCAGATCTCCCTGGGGAGGTAGGCACTCAGGGTCAGGGTTCAGGGACCAGGTCAGAGAACCAGCCCTGACCTCATCCCCAACCTCAGCCCAATCCACCTTGCACACACGGGCCACGCGGGCCACACGGTGGTTGCTGCGGCTCTGAGTGAAGCTGCTGGAGCCTTCCTCACGCTCCATGAAGAAGTAGTAAATCTTGTCATCATCACCCACCGCACTGGCCTTGCTCTCCCTCACCAGCACAGAGAACACAAACTCAGCATCTGTGGGTGAAGCAGTTCCAGTGACTTTGGAGACAGACTTGGGGACCTCTCTGCTCACCCACCCCACACCTCCCTTGACAACACACAGGAGTGGAATGGATAAGCTCACCTGGGGACTTGAGGATGGGACGGTCAGCTGCCCCAGGGAATAAAAATGAAGAGATAGACCCCCTACCCCCCATCATCTTGTGCTCCATCCTCCTAACCATTGAGCCAGTGCATGGGTGCCTCCTCCGTCCTCAGAGAATGTGGGTGGCGGCTCCGGCGGATGTCAGGAATGCTCCGGAATTCATACCGCGTGGCAGTGTAGAGGCCTCCATCTGAGGCAAGGACATGTAAGAGGGCATGTGACCAAGTGGCCAGGCCTCTGTGTGTGTGTGTGTGTGTGTGTGTGTGTGTGTGTGGTACTGGGGATTGAACTCAGGGCCTCAAGCTTGCAAGGCAGGCAGCCTACCACTTGAGCCACACCTCAAGCCCTTAGAGACAGCCAGTCTTAGCAATCTACATCCTTGTGGGTGAGGGGCCAGGATAGAATAAGGGCCTGCTCACCAATGATGAGGCCTGTGAAGCCACGGGCTGGGTCATAAGGACACTTTTCCTTCCCTTCTTCAAAGCTGGTTGGCAAGGTGAAGGCCTCAGCATTCTGGAAAACAAGTGTCTCAGTCTGTCACAGATACTGAGAACCATCAGGGGCTGCAGCCCCAAATCAGTGAGGGCAGGCATACTCACAATGGCTGCACAGAGGGGCTGGAAGGCATGAGTCCCACATGCATAGAGGTGGGTAGCATTAAGCCGCTGTAGAAACCGCACATGATTGAAGCACTCGGTCTATGGAAAAGGTGGGAGAATCATATGAGTCCCTATTACAAGGGCCTGGCTAGAAGCCTTCCCTAGTCTAGCTTTGGAGTTTGGCTCTTGTCCCTAAGATGCTCAATTCATTCGCTCTTTCTTTCTTCCTTTTCCTTCCTTCCTTCCTTTCTTTTCCTTCCTTCCTTCCTCCCTCCCTCCCTCCCTCTCTTCCTTCCTTTTCTTCCTCTGTCCTTTTTTTTTTTTTGTCGGTCATGGGGCTTGAACTCTGGGCCTGTGCGCTGTTCCTCAGCTCTTCAGCTTAAGGCTAGAGCTCTACCACTTGAACCACAATGGCACTTCCGGCTTTCTGGTGATTTATTGGAGTCTCCTGGACTTTCCTACCCAGGCTGGCTTTGAACCATAATCCTCAGATCTCAGCCTCCTGAGTAGCTAGGATGATAGGCATGAGCCACTGGTGCCTGACGCCCAGTTCCTTCCTTCCTTCTTTCCTTCCTTGCTTCCTTCCTTCCTTCTTTGCTTCCTTCCTTCCTTCCTTCGCTTTCTCTCTTCCTTGCTTTCTTTCGGTCCAGTCGTGGGGCCCTGGGCGCTATCCCTCAGCTCTTCAGCTCAAGGCTAGCGCTCTACCACTTGAGCCACAATGCCACTTCCGGCTTTTTCTTTTCTTTTTGTTTGTTTGTTTTTTGGGGGTCCGGTCGTGGGGCCTGAACTCTGGGCCTGGGTGCTGTCCCTCAGCTCTTCAGCTCAAGGTTAGCACTCTACCACTTGAGCCACAGCACCACTTCCGGCTTTTTTTCTTTTTGCTTATGTGGTCCTGAGGAATTGAACCCAAGGCCTCAGGCATGCAAGGCAAGCGCTCTACCACTGAGCCACCTTCCCAGCCCATGCCCAGTTCTTTCTAGGACACCCAGGGCCAGAACACAAATATTTCCCGGAATATTGTCATTGGCATCTCAGTGTCACAACCCTCAGATGACCTCTCACTAGTCTGCTAAATTCCCCTGTGTCTCAAGTAGTAACCTCCACACCCCATTCTGGAGAATGCTTGTTTCCCATGGAGCTCTTTCTTGGCAATGCCTCCCCATCCCAGAGCTCCCAGAAATCTAGTGTCAGGCTCCAACTCGCTCTCCATCTGCTGTCCCAGACACAACACTCAGCTTGTCAGAAAACAAGCTCACCACCTCCTCCCTAACCTGCATCTTCCCTCCTAAACCTGCTCATCCAGTCTTTCCCACCTCACTCACTGCATCCATCCTGCTCTCAGTCCAGACCAGGAGTCAGCTCTGCTGCTTCCCCCTCCCTCATCCCACACCTGGGCCCTCTGCATGATTCATTTATTGTCTTAAATGGCTCTTGAACTTGATCTACTGCACCACCACCCAGTCCAAATTACCAGCATCACCTCCTCCTTGGACACCTCCTCTGCCACTTTCTCTTTTTGATGGTGGTGCTAGACTGTGAACTCAGGCTTGCCTAGCAAGCACTTTGAGCCATGCCATTTATTCAGTGAATGAGGAATATTTGTGTATGGTATAAAATTCAAAAAATACAAAGGGACACGTTGCAAACAACATTCCATTTATCCCTGTCTCCCAGGTGGCCTGCAAAAGGACTACTACCGGCACTGTCTGGAATTTCCTTCCAGAGACATTTCACCCATCAGCACACAGCTCCCCTCTAGCCCACTTTCCAAACAGATCTCCACATGCCCCTTTTCCTTCACCCCATTCTAGCCTCGCTGGCCTTGTCAGCACCTCAAATGTCCTAACCTGCTGCATTCTTCCCTTCTTTGCTTTGTTAATGATTCTTCCCATTACCCAGGATTTAACTCCTGGTCACTGACTTACCTTTGCAGCCCTCCCATTCATCCCTCCTCTTTCTTAGCCTGCTTAGGCCTCCTTCCTTTGGCCCATAGGATGCCCCAAACTTTCTATTGCTTTTTTTTTTTTTTTTTTTTTTTGCCTTCAGACTCAGCCTATTAACCCACCTGTTGCCTGGGGCCAGATAAATACTCTATATTTCTTAGGGAAACATCTTTCCATAAGATGGTTACATTTTACAAAGGAGGCTTGGGAGAAATTCTGTACTCAAGGAGTATGTTTGGAAGTCATAGTAAAACATATCATTATTGGGGAACTTCTTAGAGAATGCCACCAAAATTGGCCAGTAAACCCCTCTTTGAAAACTAATTTTTTTTTTTTTTGTCGGTCATGGGGCTTGAACTCTGGGCCTGGGCGCTGTCCCTCAGCTCTTCAGCTCAAGGCGAGCGCTCTACCACTTGAGCTACAGCGCCACTTCCGGTTTTCTAGTGGTTTATTGGAGATAGGAGTCTCACGGTCTTTCCTACCCAAGCTGGCTATGAACCGCAATCCTCAGATCTCAGCCTCCTGAGTAGCTAGGATTACAGGAGTGAGCCACCGGCACCCAGCGAAAACTAATATTCTTCAGGAAATATTCTAGGAAAACTTGCTAGCCAAGTGTGGTCCAAGAACTAGCAGCCAACAGCTTCACCTGGGAGCTTATTAGAACTGTACAATCTTGGTCTCCTCCTCCTAAGTCAGCATCTGCATTTATAATATGCTCGATAATTCATATGTACACTAACTTGAGAATTCTAAGATACCAAATAGTGAGGATGCCAACTGCCACAGAAAAAAATCCAAACCCTCTGGTAGGCATTTATGGTCTTATGACCTGGGTTCCACCTATCGTACTAATCTTGCTTCTATCCACACTTGATAGTAAAAGACAGTTTTTGATGGAAACTGCTGGAGTACCTTTTTTTTTTTTTGGTTGGCCGTGGGGCTTGAACTCAGAGCCTGGGTGCTGTCCCTGAGCTCTTTTGCTCAAGGCTAGCACTCTACCTCTGGAATTCCACAGTTCCACTTCCGGTTTTCTGATGATTAATAGGAGATAAAAGTCTCACAGAGTCAGACACTGTTGGCTCATACTTGAAATCCTAGCTACTCAGGAGGCTGAGATTGAGAACCGTGGTTCAAAAGCCAAAGTCTGTGAGAGTCTTATCCCCAGTAAACCACCAAAAAACCAAAAGTGGCATTATGGCTCATGTGGTAGAGCACCAGCCTTAAGCAAAAGAGGGACAGTGGAAAACCTGAAGTGGAACTGTGTGGTAGAGCAGCTAGCCTTGAGCTGAAGAGCTCAGGGACAGTGCCCAGGCCCAGAGTTCAAGCCCATGACTGACAAAAAAAATCTCACACACTTTGCTGCCTGGGCTGTTTTTCAACCTCAATCCTATCTCAGCTGCCTGAGTTACTAGGATTACAGATGTGAACTACCAGTGCTCTGTTTGGAGTGCTTCTTTTTTTTTTTTTGGGTCCGGTTGTGGGGCCTGAACTCTGGGCCTGGGCACTGTCCCTCAGCTCTTCAGCTCAAGGCTAGTGCTCAACCACTTGAGCCACAGCACCACTTCCGGCTTTTTTCTTTTTGCTTATATGGTGCTGAGGAGCAGAACCCAGGGCCTCATGCATGCAAGGCAAGCGCTCTACCACTGAGTCACCTTCCCAGCCCCTTGGAGTGCTTCTTTAAAGGCAGCTTTCCACTACCTCCCCAGACTCTTTGAATAGGAATCCAGGCTAGTAGACCCTGGAATGTGGATTTTTAAAATGCTCTTGAATGAGTCTGTTACACAGCCAGACAAAAAACCACCTGTGGACACCCTAGATTTTCCTTTGTGTGTATGGGTAGGGGGGTTATACTGAGGACTGAACCCAGGTCTTTGAACGTGCTATGCAAATGCTCTACCGCTGACCGACATCCCAGCCCTTTTCTGAGACAGAGTCTCCACATGTAGCCCTCAAATTCATGCTCTGGCCTTAAACTCATGATCCTCCTACCCCTGTCTCTGAGAGCTGGATTACAGGTATGTGCCTCCATGCCTGGCACACACTATTCTTTCACAGAATACCAAGTGTTGACCTAATCGTCAACCAACGTCTCATGTTTCTCATCTGTAAAATGGAGGATAACAACACCTTACAGGGTTATTTTGGAACTTGGCAGGTAATAGCTAACTCTACACTTACTGGAGGTTACTTATTGTTATCACAATTATACTTTGGAAGCCCAAAGGGGATTAAGATACTGTGACTGGACAAACTAATTGGCCACAAGATGATTGGATTAGATGGGCAATTCCCAGGGCCTGCCACTCCAAGTAGCAGTCACAGTGGGGGAGGTGCAGTAGTGTCTGTATCACCTCAGCTGTGTCACTCCCAACTGAAGAGGATGAAGGAAGTTGTTGGGGACAGGGCACACCACATACCTGGTTGTTCTTCCCTTTTTGATGGCATTTTCTTTGCATCTCTGGGGAGGCCTCCCAGTGGATCTAGCAGGGGTAAGTAAAGGGAATGAATGGTTGGTTCATTGATTTTCCAAACCAATTACTCATAGAGCCAGGCAATCAGGCTCCAGGGTGCTGGGGAAATTGGGATAGGGTAAATTTCAGGAGAAACGCTGGATACAAGGGAGGCCTGAGCTGGGAAAGGCAGTACTGTCCAGGGGTAATGGAAGGCTGGCAAGGTTTCCAGGATGTAGAGGTCCCCAGGGAGCTGGATGAGGCTGGGGTGGGGGGCCTGAGGATGGCCCAGGTTCCAGGGGCTGACCTCTTTGTGAGCCCCATCTCCTATGTCATGGGCACTGAGAGAGAACAGGGCGCCTCGAGCTCCCACCATCAGCCTTGCTGACGCCTCCTCCAGAAGCAGTGTTGAGTAGTTCTGGGCTTGGCCCTTGAAGTGCCGCATCCCAGAGAGTTCTGGGAAGATAGGAGCAGTAAGCTCAGAGCTGTTCTCTCCCCCCCCCCCCCCCCATCCTGGCTTCCAAGGCCTTTCAGAGTGAAGGGTCTCACCTTCATAGGAGATGGTCGTCCGTGGGGTAGCATCTAGCTCTCGGGATGGTCTCCGCAGGGAAGGTCCAGGGACTGCCACTGCTGTGAGGAAGCTGAAGAGGAGCGGCCAGAGCCTCCCCCACATCTTCCTGGGAAGGTCCAGACCAACAAGACCCCCACGGGCAACCAGGGACAGTCACAGGTGGGGATGGGGAAGAACAGTCACAAGGGGTCAAAGTCCAAGAAGGTCACGTGGAAGGTCAGGGGTCATGAGACCACGGGGGTCAAGGAGTCATGGGGCCAGGGAGGATCCTGGAATGGGGGGGACATGGAGCCACCGGGTTGTGTGGCCATGGAATCACAGCTAAGAAGTCAGAGGGAAGGAGGGATTACATGCCTTTCAACATCAAATGCAAGCTCCATGGTGAGCGGGAGTTGTGTCATGAGGGGGTTACAGGTTACTATCAGGGTCACCTTGCCTCTGACAGCAGAGCTAGTCTTGGTTCTTTGAAGTCTGTTTTCTGAAGGAAAGCAAATAAGACATACAATCAAAACATGGAAAAATATCCTTGATCTGTGTTTAAGTGGAAGAAGGATAACATTACCCAGACTTCAGGGGGCACCAAAAGGTGGACACCAGCTTCCACAGAATCTCTCACTCTAGATTGACTCACAGGAATGGACTTGAGTCATTCTGTCTTTCTCTGCTCTGATACAGGAGGCTGGGATAGAACTTGCTCTCCTTACCAAGACCCTAGACTGCCCCTCCCCCAACCCAAACTCAATGTAATGGCCTCCAATGGCTAGGTCAGCAGTCTGCTAGGCTTCCATCTCTGGGCTTTAATTCTGGGAGAATGCCTGCTTCTCCAACAATGGAGTAGCAGCTGCTCCTCCTGCCTGCGGGGGTGCCATATGCAGGAAGGCCTGGGCAGAGTTGCTTAATGGGCCTTTGTTATTTTTGTCCTGTTTTCCTTTTGTTTTTTTCTTTTCCTTGGCCTGAGAGCTCCCTCTGGAATTTCTCTTTAATTAGACATTTCTCGGCATTCTTCTCCAAGGAGGCACACATCTCTGCCTTGCCCATGTGAGTCCCAGTCTGTACTGTTCCCTCTGGCTAGGCATCCCCACCTGTCCCTACCTGCTAGTAGGCAGACACAGGCACACATGGGTGGAGGCAAGGTATGGGTGTCAAGGTTCCTTAGCTGAATTGGTGTAATGTGTATGCAGGAGGCTGAGATATGCAAGGCCAGATACATGAGACTTAGGCAGTATGGAGAAGGTGAACAATGGGACCCCTGAGGTCTTGCCACTTCCCCTGACATATCTTGGGAACTATTTCCAAACAGTTGAGGATGAGGTGGAGGTGGGTAACAGGCCTCCCCAATCCATGCAGCAAGCCTCTGAAGGGACTCCAGAAGGCTTCCTGGGCTGGCGTGGGTGTGGAGGAGGCCTGACCCACTCCAGGTCATCAGACACCCATAGGCAGGATCAGAGGGTGTCACTGGCCTCGCCTTTCCCCTCCAGGTCAAATATTAACTATCTGGCCTTGAAGATAGGAGAGGAAACAGGAGTTGGCTGGAGGGATAACAGGAATTTGGAGGGTTTATTCAAGAGGCAAAGGTCAGCAATAACATGGCAGAGAAGCAGGCACGAGAGGGGGAGAGAAGGGTCTCTGGAGCATAGAACTGGTTCCTGGTTTGGACACCAGGGCAGCAAGGGACTGCCCATGCCCCAGCCCTCACTGTGAAGGCACACCTGTTTACCTTTGGGGCCTCCTATTTGCTCAGCACAGAAAGGGGGAGCCATATAGCTAGGAGGGATCAGTCTCTAGGATTGGGCAAGAGGAACACACCCCAGATTAGAGGAGCCATTCACAGTGTGGTGCATGGCACACTTACACAGGTTTCTTCTGAGTCACATGGGTCCAGAGGAAAGGAATGTACACACACACACACACACACACACACACTTTCAGAAAGGACTGTGAACACATTCACAGGAGTCATTCACACACTCACATGCACCGGGCAGTCTACTCACATGTGTGTTTACAGAGATGGCCATGACTTGTAGTCATACATATTCACATAAAGGTTATATCCCCAGGTCTAGTAGCTCAGCAGTTCCCAGAGCCTCAGAGGTGGACAAGCTGGATTATATACATGGGTTTACATGGACTATATACATATTCAACAGGAAGGTCCCGTATACACACACATAAATGTGTGCACACATGCACACAAACCACTGATCAACTATGCATAATAATGCTCATACAAGAGTCATGAACATGTATTCACAAACACAATTACTACCATGCAGAAACAAGCTCCCATGCATTCTGGGTCAATATTCTTGCTGCAGGCTCGGTGGTTGCCAGTGTCCAATGGGGTGAGATGCAGAACAGAACCCCACCTCCTTTCCTGAAAGTCCCATTCTAAGGCCAGATTCCATATGTGTGTGTGTGGGTTGGAGTGGGGGAGGCTTCTGGCCTGGAATGAACGCATAGGTCAAGGCTATTTTGCAAGGGAGGAAGCAGGTAAGAAACCAAGACAGGAGGAGACTCAGCTTAGCAAAAGGAAAGAGAAGGGGATTTGTAACTTAGCAGTCCTCTACACCACGGAACTACTGTTGTTTGGGGTGGAGTGCTCGGCCCCAACTTAACCTGTTGGGAGGGCGAGGCTAACTGGGAGGGGCAAAGCATCCACCCTCTCCTCCCCCCAGTGGCTGAGGGTTCAAGGTCTCCAGTTCATGCCCCACACTTCCCTCCAAGTTCTACAGTCTGGGTTCTTTCCAAGGCCTGTTCCTGAACTCTGATCAGCTCTTCCCTACTAGACCCAAGGGTGGAAGAAACAGGCCAGAGGGGGGCCTCCCAACAGGATCAATGGAAGATCAATCAGCAGGTTCTCGACCTTCATCCTAGATGCCCACCTGCCTAGTGGAGGCCATCTCTCCCTGGGCTCAGGACGGAGGTCTCTCCTCGCTCCAGGGAGTCCCTCCCTTGCCACCCACTCTCCACCTTCCTGGAAAGTCCACGATTCTCTCCTTTTATATCTAACCTCACTCTCCACGGCTGCAGCCCGAGGACAAGCTCTCCTTCGATCCAGCCGGACGCCAGGAGACATGACCCAGATCTAGGGGAACACTGTTCGCCACACGGGTCCCCGCCCCGCTCCAGTCCCCCCCCTCCCAACCCCCGACACCCTTGGGGTGAGGGGCGGTCGGTGCCCTGCGCGACCCTCAGGCCTGGCGCACGTCCTTCTAGAGCCTTTATGCAGGACCGGGGGTCTTGGCAGTGAGAAAGGCCTGGCCCAGCTCGGAGGGTGGAATGGCCACAAGAAAGATGTCGCCGGTTTTAGGCCCCCAGCCCCGCCACCGCCCGCACTCCCCGCCTCCCTCACCTTTGCGCTGGGATCCGGGGCCATAGAGACGGTGAAGAGCGGCTCGGCCACCCCACAGCACCAGCTGCGGGAGGAAGGGGCCGCGGTCAGAGGCGGGCGGGGGTGGAGGCGGAGCCGGGGGTGGGGCGGGGGCCTGGAGGCGGGCCGTCAGGGCAGGGTGCGGAGAAGGGCGCTGCTCCCTCTTTCGCGCCCCCCACCCTAGCACAATAGAGGCGGTTTGAGGGTGAGGCTCAGCCCTTCGGCATCTGGGGTCCCCTGTTCCCGGCGCAGCGGCCCGGCCCCGCCCCCTGGTGGGACCTCACAGCCCGGTGCGCACTCCACAGGCTTGAAGCCTGCGCGCCCCTCCCACTCACCTATTGCGGGGTGGCGTGGGGGGGCGGTCGACGTACAAATCTGCCCAGTGGTACTGTCGTTCCCAGAGGGCCATCTGGCTTTTTGTATAACCTGCATCTCACTTCTCTCTTGGCCATCCCCTCTGGCCGAGGGTGTGGAGGATCGGGATGAGGTCCTACAGTAGGTTTAAGATCGCAAGGGTCCGGGTTTCCCAGCTCAAAGGCCTCCGCTGCTGCTTGGATGTTCAGCTTGAGGTCTGAGTGGCTGAGATGGGGGCTTGATCTGAATGTACTAAAAAATGCTTTTTTTTCGTTGTTGTTGGTTCTGGGGCTTGAACTCGGGGCCTGGGCATTGTCTCTGAGCTCTTTTGCTCAAGGCTAGCGCTGTACCACTTTGAGCCACAGCTCCACTTCCAGTTTTTGAGTAGTTCATTGTTAACTGTCTCACAGGGGCTTTTCTGCCAGGTCTGGCTTCAAACCATGATCCTCAGATCTCAGCCTCCCAAGTAGCTAGCCTAAGCCAGTATCCAGCTAAAATATGCTTTTCTCTTTTTGCTCACTAAATCATAGTCCAAACCCAGATTCATCTCAGGTATCCGGTCACTGAGGCTCCTGCCTTGTCTTCCGGCTTCTCTAGAACATCATTCTTACTCTAAAATTTTGAGTGTACGTTGCCAGGCAAATACCCATCTTCTCTCCTTTCCAGGTTCAATCACCTTACCCAGCAGCAATCTGGAAAACGGTCTCTGAATCAATCAACTCCCTCCTTCCCCCAACTCCTTTAACTAGGATGGTCCCCCTGGCACACTCTCTTCCTCCTTCCTAGAGGATTATTAAAGGGAAGCCAGACCTGCAAGGTGTAATCCTAGATTTCTAGAGTTTGAGATCAGCAGCATCACTAGGTCAGCCCAGGCAAAAAATTTGTGAGACTTGTCTCAAATAAAGAACTAGGCAGAGAGGCCTGTGCCTCTTATTGCAGCTATGTGGAAGCATAAACAGAAAGAGCCTAGCCCAGGCCTGCATGGCAAAATAAATGGCAGAGCAAAAAGGATGAAAAGCTTGGCTCAAGCAGTAGAGTACTTGAATAGCAAGCCCAAGGTCCAGGGTTCAAACCCTATAACCATCAAAAAAAAAAAAAAAGGAACTAACCAACTGTCTTACTGTCTAAATGAAACCTGAACTCAGGCTGCCATGACCTAGTCTGCTCACCCCTCCCCAATCCATGATAATACTGATGCGGGCTCAAGAGGACTAATGTTCCAAAGGAACAAACTCTTAGTAAGTTTGTAGTAGGTTGAGCCAGATTCTAGTGGCATTTTCCTAGGGACCTTGGGAAAGACACTTCATCCCTTCTTTTGGATTCCCCAAAACTCCATTTGGCACTTAAGCTCATGTAAACTCATAGTTTGGACTGCTGTGTGTGACTACAGACTGCTAGACAGCAGGGCCCACATCACACTTCCACCCTCCTGTCAAACACATCTCCCAGCACTCTGCCAACAGGATGTATGTGTGGGATGGGGTGGAGGAGATGACTGGGAAAAATGCTTATTAAAAAGTACACACACTTTAGAGTTCCCAGCTTCAATTCTTTTATTGTACTCACATCCCATCTTGAGGGTCTAGTAGCTCCATTTTGTTGAGGCTCTAAGAAATATCTTGAGTTGAAATTTATTCTTGTGTTTAAAGAAGACAGGCAAGATTGGGAAGGTCTGCGATGGTGAAAGCAGGTCAAGCTACAGGGGAAATATCTATCACTAGCAAATGGAGAACTGTTCAAATTTGTACATAGCCTTGTTTTAGAGAAGTATGGAGAAGGGGCAAGTAAGAGGTTGAGGTGTTTTGTTTTTTTGGACCTGGGCTTGAATTCAGGGTCTAGGTGCTGTCCCTGAGCTGTTTTGCTCAAGGCTAGTATCTACCACTAGAGCTACAGCACCATTTCCGGTTTTCTAGTGGTTAATTAGAGATGGTCTCACAGACTTTCCTGTCCCACTTAGCTTTGAACTGTGATCCTCAGATCTCAGCCTCCTGAGTAGCTAGAATTACATGCAAGAGCTACCAGCTCCTGGCTTAGAGGTTGAGTTTTGATTTTTTTTCCCTAGGGGGAAATAGAAGGAAAAACTCATCTAGCTTCTTCTTTTTTTTTTTTGTTGGTTGTGGGGCCTGAACTCTGGGCTTGGGCACTGTCTCTGAGCTCTTCAGCTCAAGGCCAGTGCTCTACCACTTGAGCCATAGCACCACGTCTGGCTTTTTCTGCTTATGTGGTGCTGAGGAATCGAACCCAGGGACTCATGCATGCAAGGCAAGCTCTATATCACTGAGCCACCTTCCCAGTCCCTCTAGTTTCTTTTCAGGAAGAAAATCCTGAGAAGATGGATTGAATGCAGAATTCAGTAAAAACTTTATGAAAGATGTATCTGTTGACCTGTGGCAAAGTGAGCTGGGGGTTAACAGAGAGGTGTGGGGTAGGAAGACTGCCTAGTACCTGATAGGAAAGTAATTCCAAAAGCCAATAGGTGAAGAGGCTTGGCTCAAAAGTTTTAAGACATGCACAGTGCTGACTTCGCATACCTTTAAATGGTAGCAAGTAGGCCATTGTGGTAGGTTCTGCATCTCACTTAACATTACTATTAATGGCAAGACTTCCTCCTCTGAGGTGCTCTGATGGCAGACTCAAACCCTCATACTTTTTCAAATGAGCAAAATGTAGTTTCAATAAGCTGCAGTGTGGCACTTTCTAAAACTGTCCCTTGGCAGTTTCTTCAGTACTTTGAGTAATACAGGTTTAGTCCACAATCCATTTCTCTCTCCCACTTCCTGTAACATCTCAACCTAACCAAAGCATCAGAAGTAAAAGCAATTAAGGGAACAATCTATAGGAAGCCTTTTGATCAACAATACTCCTTGCAAATCAGATTGATAAAATATGAACAAGAGAAATTACCAACAGTTAAAGATTCAAAACCAAAAAATGTCCCCTAATCTAAATTATTTTATGTCCTAGAACACAAGGCAGGTCATTAGTTGAACAGGCTATTACTCAACCTTGAAGGCACTACCTTGACTTCTTCAGTGTGGTTATAAGAGGATTTCACGTGGAATGCTCTGAGTACTTTCACAAATTGAGTTTTGCTGACTATCCTGGGCTTTGTTCTCAGCCACCCACACACCAAAAGGGGTTTGGCTCCAGCTTCTGTAGCTACTCACTGTAGGGGGATTCCTATGTAAGGAGGAGGGCATGAACTCCTGAAACTTAAGCAGAAGTTCTCTGAGGTAAGAGAACTCTGGCCTGGTCAGGATTTTCTGTTCCTGTTCACTGTGGGGCATGTCTGTTCATCTACCTATGTCTACCCAGCTCTTCCCCTTGGGTGGCATGATCTTTCTTTGGCTATATACATATCTGAGATGCTTCTTCATTTAAGGATGTCACCAGTGCAACAATTGTGTAGTCTCACGGTTGCACTGTGCCTCAGAAGCCTGTTTTGCCTGTTATGTTTTCCTTCCAGCCAGTTTTCCTGGAATCAGACCCAGAGCTGGGTCTTCTGGTTTGCCCTCTCTGGACTCTAGCCTAGGGAATAGTTAGCAAGGAAAAGGGAATGTCAGGACATGTCCACAAATGCTGGAAAAAACACCACCCACCATCAGCCTTAGCAAGCTTGGTTTAAGTCAAACTTACTTTTACCAGTGGAAATAGGGTTGGATAGGGAAGTCTCTGAGGCTCCCAGAGTCCAAAGCAGAGTATTTTTTTTTTTTTCTGACTTGATGTCAGCTCACCTTCAGTGCTTAAGCTCAATTTGTCATCAGAGCCTCAAGGTTAGAGTGAAGTAATGATCAACTATCATTTATTGTGTTCCTGATATATGCCTGGTGCTGTGTTGCGCACTTTTCACACATGGCTCACTTATTCCTCACAACCCCTTAAGTGGGCATCATTATTATTCCTTGTACCAGATGAAACGAAGACTCAAGAGTTTATACAGTTTACCAAGGATCAAAAGGCTGGTATGGTGAATCTGGGAACTAAGGTTAGGCCTATAGGCAAGAAGGCATTCCTTTAAAGTACAAAAGGCTGTGCAGCCTGTTCCCCATTAAGTACTTAAGGCAATGTCTGCTTTTACAGATAGGTCACTCTCCATTACCCCCATCCCTCCAACTCATCAGAGAAAAATGATCATGGGTAATTTCCTCTAACCCAGCCTGTCAGAAGGGAGGAAAAGCCAGGCGCCGGTGGCTCACACCTGTAATCCTAGCTACTAAGGAGGCTGAAATCTGAGGATCACAGTTCGGTTTAAGGCCAGCCCAGGCAGGAAAGTCCATGAGAATCTCATCTTCAATAAACCACCAGAAAACCAGAAGTGGCGCTGTGGCTCAAGTGGTAGGTAGAACATTTGCCTTGGGCTGAAGAGCTGAGAGAGCTGAGGGACAGCGCCCAGGCCCAGAGTGCAAGCCTCACGACAGACCCCCATCCCCACCACCAAAAAAAAAAAAATTGGTTCTGGAACTCAAAGTCTCTGGCAACAATGCCAAGGCCTTCTATTAGTTCCTAAGAAGTTTGTCCTGTATGTTAACCTTTGCCTCTCTACAGTTGGTTTATCCAGAGCCTTATGCATACCTGGCAGGCTGAAGGTGGTCCTGTACTGCAGAACAAGGCATCTAGGTCAAGGGTACTGTTTTCTAGCCCTCTTTGTCCAAAAGCCTATTTCAATCTGAATACTGTCCGGTTAGATTCATGAAAATCGTTTTGTGTTACTCATCTTTACTGAATTCTAAAAATAGGGGCTGACATGCAGGTACTCAGTACTTGTTCAATGACTATGGCAAAAGAAGTACAAATGAGATGACTGAATTTCTGACTGTAAAGTAGAAAAATTAACTCGTTTTGTAACAGTGAACTGTGTATAGTTGTGCTTTTATGCTTTCCAAAGACAGGAGACAAAAATCAAGTGTATTAAGAACCAAAACCAAAACCAGCCGGTCCTGGAGGCTCACACCTGCAATCCTAGCTACTCAGGAGGCTTAGATCTGAGGGTTTTGGTTCAAAGCCAGCCTGGGCAGAAATGTTCCCTTATCTCCAATTAATCACTCAAAAACCTGAAATGAAGCTGTGGCTCAAAATGGTAGAGCACTAGCCTTTAGCAAAAAGAGTACAGGGACAGTGCCTAAGCCCCGAGTTCAAGCCCCACTACAGACAATACATAAATAAATAAATAAATAAAGTAACCTCCCCCTCCCCTCACCTCCACAACCTAGGGGATGGGGGCAAGAGAAGAAACAGAGCATTTAAATACTTCACTGAGTACATTCCCCAACAAAGGTTACCAAACACGTTTAAACCGAGAAAAAGCAGTTTTAATAACACGCACACATACATTCAGAGGACTTTAAACAAGATGTAGTATAAAATTTTAAAAGAAAAAACTAAAAGGAAATCTGCATTTACTACCTAAGAGCTGGTGGATTAACTGGTTGACAGGACTGCCTGGGGAAAATAAACGCACAATGAGATGCTCCTACAATGCTGACGAGTAGAAAATTATCACCAACACCACACTAACGACTGCGTGCTCATCTTCTGTTCCTACCTCTTGCCTCCTTAGAGACAAACCAGCACAGCCATCCTAATTCTCCAACTCAGTTGCTTGTAGGTTCACTTCTTAAAATGATTATTTATATTCAAACGTTACTCTTGGTTTATAGACTCCATACATTATTACTGGCCAGCTCCTACCAACAAGATCTGTTTTGATAAAAACACAAATGCTCCAACAGAGCCTGGATGATAACACATCATTACCTATCTTTTTCTGGGGAGATTTTTGTGAAGTCAAAAGCAAGCTACTACTTGCATTTCAAAATAAAATGAAACGCCAACCTTCCAAAAGGTGACAAAAGGCACCACTGCCATCAGGAGATAGACAGAAAATGTACAAATGATGTTACGTTACTGCTACATAGATGCATTTTGTGAATGGTGAGCCTCTTCACATAACATGATATAGCAAAATTATATTTTCAGTAAGAAAAGCAGGTTAGAAAAGGCAAAGTTACACACAAAGCATAAACACAAGTACCTTAATTTTCTGCTTGCAATAAGGGTAATAAGTTTGACATACACATCTAGAAAATTAGACTAGGTGATTTTTGGCACAGATATACTGCCAAACACACCACCACTCAGTGCAAGCTTTGTTTGTCAAGTTCCAAAAGTGGCCTGACATTCTCTGTGCAATGAACATTTTTTCCCTTGCTTGTACCATCCCATTCATTGGGTAAAAACAGGAGGGAGACAAAGCATGGGGGCTCAAGAGGGAGAAGGGAAATACTTGATTTGGGAGGAAAACCATGGGTTTCTTGTGCTGAAAGAGAATCATAATTTCTATGAGAATCCAAATGGAAATACTGACTGGACCATGACCTGGAGACTGAAGACCACTACCAGTGTCATAAGCAGTGGCCTAAACTGACGCCTGGCCACTTACTTTAAAGGGACAGATGAAGTATTTTTCTCTAATGAAGAAAGAATTAAAAAGTTTATTTTTCCCTTATTTACTGCTAAATAAAAATGTATCAAAGTGGTTTTAAATTTGATGGATATCTATCTGTTGAAACTGCAATATAAAAGGGTCACTTTAAAAAAAAAACCTGAATAACCCACTTATTCCCATCAATGTACACGATTAGAAAATATTTACACACTGTAATTACAAGCAATATAAGCAGTATTTTATACTTTGAGATTTTATACACTTTACACAATGCAAAATGAGAAAAATATGAACACTTATAAAATTACACACAAATAATGTATCTACAAAGTATTAAATTACAAAGTGAAAGCCCCCATTGCTGGGCAGATAGATGCCAGAGTTCAAACTTTCTGTCAAATATAACTCTTTGTATCTATCTCTTTAACCATAAGTGGCATTTTGTATTAATACCCTTGAGAGGTAGTATCAAGATAAATTCTTACCAGTAAACTCAACACAGAATAAAACTTTTGTTGGTCTGACTCCTGGAGTCATTCAGCTTGGGTTCTTGCAAACTAGATTTATCTAATCTTACTTATAAAATCTCTAACTGCCCAATACTTGACATGAGCTCAAAAGTAAATGATAAATTTAAGATAAAATGGTTTTTACTCCTAAGCCTCTATTTAGAGGTAGAAAGTTAGTTTTCAAAAGTGATTTTCTTCCCTCTCAAACCAAAAACATCCATTCCCCTTCATCATCTTCCCCTTCTATAGCTGGACACTGACTGCTCTGCAAAGAGCAAGTCACCCAATCTAGTATTTTACGAACAATAAAAATAGTTTTCTCTTTCAGGAAACAAATCCTAAAAGGGACACTTGGTCAACAACAAAATTTTTCCACTGGTTAGTAAGAGTCCATTACTACCAAAAGCTTCCAAAGACCCCTGGGATAAGACTAATATGTGCACTTTTACTAACCCTCCACCATTTAAACCAGAGGATGGCTTTCCAGTGTTTAAAAGAATTTAGAGCAGCTGTGGTTTTCAAGTGCAACAACTTCAAGATATAAGTACACACACACACACACACACACACACACACACACACACACACACACACACACACTCTTACACACACACACAGTGTCCCAAAGAATAAACACTACCTAGATCTCTGCTGAAATTATATACTCATGGAAAAAAAATTTTTGGGAAAAATTTCCAGAACTTCAAGCTTTTACAATAGAGACTTCTGTTATATAGTTAACAAAGGGAAGAATTCTAAGATTTACCCAAGATTCTATGACTTAACTAGTATTTAAGAAAATATATGCATTTAAAACAAATCCCAAATAAACTACTTATGAATGTTTTGGCATTTTAAAAACATAGCCAATACTTTACAGCTTAACTTCTTCCTTTTAGGGGAATTTGACAATATACCAAACTTCTGTTTCTTAACTGTTTAAATGTTTTCTAATAACCTAATAGATGTCTAACCTTGAATAGTGAGGGAAAATACAGGAGTTATAGAAGAGTCTATGATTTCAATTACTGAACTCTGTTCTAAGCTTTCCCTTTGTTTCCTAAAATAACCAAGAGTAAAAACTTAACAGGAACTTTGTCGTGTTTCTATGTTCAACACAAGTTGATACAAATTCTTTTCTTCCTTAGTTCTTGTGATTATCCAAGTGCCACAAATACTACCTAAAAAAAGATAACTGGCTTATAATTTAACAAGGAGAGTTAATAAGGGTAGGTTAAATAAGTGTCTACTAGCTGCTTTTATCCCACCTCTCCTTTTTTTTATATGACTTGGCTTTTTATATTTCATATCTGCTTCAGAAGGCATTTTTTCATTACCAGCTTTATACTAGACATTCAAGTGGAATATTTGTTGTGTATTCTCATATCAATCCATTGGATTCCATACTAATCTTTTCTATTTTTCTTGGGAAGGCTCTTAACGAATTTCTCTTGGTTCATATCTTTGCTGCTCTTAACTCCTGTTAAGAATCTGGTACCCAGAAGTCATGAAGCTGCCCCTAAAATAGAAAAATGAAAAAGAATATAATGTCAACCTAGGGTATTTCTTATAACCACTCACAAAGAAACATATTTAACGAGATTAATTAATATATAAGGCTGATTAATATAGTTGTATTACTAAATTATTTTGTTTTATGACAAACTGGCACAGATGGCCAGCTTAAAAAATCTACTGAGGCTAGAAATTAAAACAAGCTGGAAGTGGTGTTGTGGCTCAAGTGGTAGAGCTTGAGCTGAAGAGCTGAGGGACAGCGTCCAAGCCGAGTTCAAGCCCCATGACCGACCAAAAAAATAAGGGCTGGGAATGTGGCTTAGTGGTAGAGTGCTTGCCTAGCATGCATGAAGCCCTGGGTTCGATTCCTCAGTACCACATAAACAGAAAAAGCCAGAAGTGGCCCTATGGCTCAAATCGTAGAGTGCTAGCCTTGAGCAAAAGAAGCTTAGGGACAAAGTGTCCAGGCCCTGAGTTCAAACCCCATGACTGGCAGCAAAAAAAAAAAAAAAAAAGCATGAGCTTAAAATTTCTTAAAGACTACTCTAAAAGACTTCTCATGGATCTCATGAAAAGCACAACTACAAAAGAATAAAAATGTTATTAAAAAGTGAGATTGCTAAAAAAAAAAAAAAGTGAGATTGCTCTTACTAGTTAATATTTAGTATTCCTATTATTTGGATCTGAAATATAAGCAATTTCTAGGCTCTGGCTATTCAAAAGTTTCATCTTTAAACCAGTAGTATTGGCATCAGTATCTCAGATCCTACTCTAGGCCCAATAAATTAGAATCTGCATTTCAGCAAGTCCCTAGTTCAATCTTTTTTTAAAGTCGGCCACAGGGCCTGAACTCTGGGCCTGGGCACTGTCCCTGAGTTTTTCAACTCAAGGCTAACGCTCTACCACTTGAGCCACAGCACAACTTCCAGTGTTCTGGTGGTGAATTGGAGATAAGAGTCTCATAGACATTCTTGCCCAGGCTGGCTTTGAACCATGATCCTCAGAGCTCAGCCTCCTGAGTAGCTAGGATTACAGGGGTGAGTCACTGGAGCCCGCTCCTAGTTGATTTTATGTCTATTAAAATTTGAGAACTGTCACTTTAGATAATTCTACATCAGATAGTTATAAACAACAGCACGGCAAACTTACTAGCAAATACTGTTTTTTTTAAAATGGCCCTCTTGGGGTTGGGAAGGTAGCTCAGTGGTTGAGTGCTTGCCTTGCATGCATGAGGCCTTGGGTTTGGTTCCTCAGCACCACATAAGCAGAAAAAGCTGGAAGTGGAACTCTGGCTCAAGTGGTAGAACGTTAGCCTTGAATCGGAGCTCAGGGACAGCGCCTAGGCTGAGTTCAGGCCCTGTAACTGACCAAAAAAAAAAAAAAAAAAAAAAAAATGGCCCTCTTGTCCAAAGACTCCTAAGATATAACACCAAAAGCAGAACTGATAAAAGAAAAACAAAAGTGACTCCATCGTAAACAACATAATTTAAAAATGGGCAAAGGATAATAAGTATTTCTCTAAAGAAGCTAAAAAGGAGTCTTTAAGGCTGGGTCCCACTGGCTCATCCTTGTAATCCTAGCTACCTACTCAAGAAGCTGAGGATCACGGTTGGTCGCCAGTCCTGGCAGGATGTGAGACTCTTTATCTCCAGTTAACCAAGCCAGAAGTAGAGCTCTGGCTGAAGTAGTAGAGCACTAGTCTTAAGTGAAAAAGCTAAGGGACAGTATGTAGGCTCTGTTCAAGCTCCAGTACTGGCACAAAAAAGAGAACAAATGGAAACAGAAAAAAAGAACAAAGGAATCTATGACTCATTTCCTACATGGGGTATAGGAAATGTTTCCTTCATTTCTTCCCGATTTAATCCTGTTACACTAAAATCCTTGCTAAAACTTAAACAAAGAAGCCAAACAAATGGCTAATAAGCACATTAAGGGATGCTCATTATCATGGGGAACTTCTGTGGTCCTAGGAACTTGAAAGATTGAGAGGGAGGGTCACTTTGCCAAGGAGTTTGAGACCAGTCTAGGGAATACAGTGAGGCACTGTCTCAAATGAAGGAGGAGGAAGAAGAAAATGGGGGAGGCAAATGAAGGGGACAGGGAGAAGTAGAAGAGTAGAGAAGAAAAAGGAAAGAGAAAATGAAGAATTAACATTGAATAAAATGTGTATATTTTTTCTACTGAAAAAAGCAATGATGTTCAGTATCATTGACTATGACGGGAATACAAATTAAATAATAGATTTTACCACTTCCTACAATGGCTTTATTCAAGAAAGTAATAATCTAGGTGGGCACCGATACTATATTCCTAGCTAGTTAGGAGGCTGAGATCTGAGGATCGAGGATCAAAGGCAGTCTAGGCAGGGAAGTCCTTGAGACTCTTATCTCCAATAAACTACTCAGAAAAAGTGGGAAGTGGTGCTGTGGCTCAAGTGATAGAGTGCTAGCCTTGTGCACAAAGAGGCTTAGGGACAGTTCTCAGGCCTGGGACCAGCAAAAATAAACAAGGTAACAAGCGTGGGGAGAATGTGTAGACGTCTGAATTCGTGTATATCCTGGTAAAATGTACCACATCCTGGTGCTGCCTCTATGGAAACAGTTGGTCAGGGCCTTCAAATACTGAATATATTACCAGATGATCCCACAGTTCTACTCCCAGATATACTCCCAGCAAAAACATATAAATGGAAGTATTAATGATTCACAGAAGAAAGTCAAATGTCTTTCTAATACGTGGACGAATTAAAAAGTGGCATTCCACACAGTGGATATTGTTCAGCAATATATTAGCAAATCTATTCAAAGTAGATTAGTGTTTGCCCAGGATATAAGGGAATGAAAGTGGTTGGAGAATGGGGGATGAAGGAGAACAGGGAGCAGGAAAGACTGTGGTGATGATAACTGTGAATATACTAAAAACCATCATCTACTGTAGGTATGTAAAATGTATGTATATTTTATCTTAAAAGAACTGTTAAAAATGCTCATGAAGGGGCTGGGAAGGTGGCTCAGTGGTAGAGCACTTGCCTTGCATGTATAAGGCCCTTGGGTTCGATTTCTCAGTACCACATAGGCAAAAATAAAAAATCCAGAAGTGGTGCTGTGGCTCAAGTGGTAGAGCGCTAGCCTTGAGGTAAGTCGAGGGACAGCGCCCAGGCCCAGAGTTCAGGCCGCCCCCCCCCCCTGCCCAAAAAAAAAAAAAAAAAGTTCATGAAATAACATCTATTTGATGTTATGTAACATTTCTTTTTTTTTAATTGTGTCTACGTAACTTTCAATAAGCACAATTATTTCTGAAAATAAATTAATGAATATAAAACAAGAACTGAAAATATACACAAATTAGAGATAATGGGGTTTCAATTTATCTTTTTTTTTTTTTTTTTTTGTCGGTCGTGGGGCTTGAACTCTGGGGGGGGGCGCTGTCCCTCAGTTCTTCAGCTCAAGGCGAACGCTCTACCACTTGAGCTACAGCGCCACTTCCGGTTTTCTGGTGGTTTATTGGAGATAGGAGTCTCATGGTCTCTCCTGCCCGGGCTGGCTTTGAACCGCGATCCTCAGATCTCAGCCTCCTGAGTAGCTAGGATTACAGGCATGAGCCACCAGCGCCCGGCTCAATTTATCTTAAGATAATCAGAAATAATTATACTCAGTTATACTTTTGTTTAAAACTGTATGAAGAGTATTAGTAAAAATGTTAATAAACTTTAGCAAAACTTCAATAAAATGATACCTGAGTAGGCCGACAGGTCTGGATTATTTCCTGCCATTTTCCATGTATCCTGGCAACCAAGTCTTTCACCTTAAAAAATATCAAGAGGAAAGAGATCAGATCAAAGTTTCATTCACACAATCAATTTAGAACTTGCTACAAAATATCTCATAGCTCTAAAAGGTCAGAGCTCAACAACTGAATTCGATTTCTCTCAAGAAAGAAAAAGGGCTGGGAAGGTGGCTCAGTGGTAGAGCTCTTGCCTTGCATGTCTGAGGCCCTGGGTTCCATTCCCCAGCACCACATAAGCAAAAAGAAAAAAGCTGATTCCCCAGCACCACATAAGCAAAAAGAAAAAAGCCGGAAGTGGCGCTATGGCTCAAGTGGTACAGTGCTAGCCTTGAGCTGAGGGACGGTGCCCAGGCCCAGAGTTCAGGCCCCAGGACTGGACCCGAAAAAAGAAAAAGGGCTGGGAAGGTGGCTCAGTGGAAGAGTGCTTGCCTCACATGCATGAGGCCCTGGGTTTGATTCCTCAGCACTATATAAACAATAAGAGCCGGAAGTGGCACTGTGGCTCAAGTGGTAGAACGCTAGCCTTGAGCTGAATTGCTGAGGGACAGTGCCCAGGCCCAAAGTTCAAGCCCCATGACTGACCAAAAAATAAATAAAAAAATTAAAAAGCCATTCAAATTTTATGTACAGACTTTCAAATTACAGAAATAAAACTACCCTTATCAACTTTCCTAATAAGTTATTAACAATCATCCACAAAAACGTAATCCATACTTTCCAAAGGGTTTATCTTTTATATTTTACTGGATTATAAACGCCCAGATAGGAATGTGGAAGGGTGGATTGTTATAAGACCCAAAGCTTTGGCTGCTTCCTACTTTACCACATCTCATCTTTAAAAAGGCTTAAGACACTTGGGCACTGGTGGCTTATGACTGTAATTCTAGCTATTCAGCGAAGCTGAGACTTGGAGGATAAAAGTTCACAGCCAGCCTGGGCAGGAAGTCCAAAAGATGCTATCTCCAATTAACCAGCAAAAAGCCAGGTTTAGCTGGGTACTGGTGGCTCATGCCTGTAATCCTAACTGCTTAGTAGGCTGAGATCTGAGGATTACAATTCAAAGCTGGCAGGAAAGCCCGAGAGACTTAACTAACAGAAAACTGGAAGCTCTGGCTCAAAGTGGTAGAGTGGTTGCTTCGAACAAAAGAGCTCAGGGACAGCATCCAGGCCCTGATACTGGCAAAAAAACAAAGGGTCAAGATAATGTTTTTCCTTTTTTAAAATTTCTTTCTACTTTATCAGTTCACTTGTTTAGACTTGTTTGTGTTTTTGCAAAGTTTTTTTTTTTTTTTTTTTGTCGGTCTTAGGGCTTGAACTCAGGGCTTGGGCACTATCCCTCAGCTCTTCAGCTCAAGGCAAGTGCTACCACTTGAACCACAGCGCCACTTCTGGTTTTTCTAGTGGTTATTGGAGATAAGAGTCTCATGGACTTTCCTGCCCGGACTGGCTCTGAACCGTGATCCTCAGATCTCAGCCTCCTGAGTACTAGGATTACAGGCGTGAGCCACTGGTGCCCAGCTTCTGCAAAGTTTTATGAATGCTATTTATCTTATTTATTTATTTTTTTTGGGTCTGGTCGTGGGGCCTGAACTCTGGGCCTGGGCGCTGTCCCTCAGCTCTTCAGCTCAAGGCTAGCGCTCTACCACTTGAGCCACAGCGCCACTTCTGGCTTTTTTCTTTTTGCTTATGTGGTGCTGAGGAATCGAACCCAGGGCCTCATGCATGCAAGGCAAGCGCTCTACCACTGAGCCACCTTCCCAGCCCTATTTATCTTATATTTAGAGGTTTAACATGGTTTGCAGAACTCCAACTTACCAGAAAAACCAATTTTTACCATGCTAGATAATTTTTGTTGTTGATGGTGAGTCTTGATTCAAGGACATTTCTGCCTGGGCTAAATCTCAGATCTAGTCTCCATCCTCAGATCTTAGCCTCCTTCCTAAGTAGCTAGGATTATGGGCATGAGTCACCAGCATCTGCCATTTTTGTTTTACTTTTATTTTTGCCAGGACTAGTTTGAACTGAGATTCTCTTTATACCTCCTCCAGAGTTGGATGACAGATATATTCCACTATACCGTCTTGAGATAGGGTCTCAATAACATTTGATAGGCTGGTCTTGAACCATGATTATCCCGATCACATATATCTCAAGTAGCTGAGACAATGGGCATGAGCTACTGGGTTTTGTTTATTGAGCCAGGATCTTGATATATAGCCTGAGTTGGCCCAGAATTTGAGATCCAACCTACCTTATGCTCCCAACTGTTGGTATTATAGGTGTGTACCAACTACACCTGGTTCTACTTTACACATTCATGAACCCAGGATTAAAAAACAAAGCTTACCTTAGTTCTGTAAAACAGTCTTGCATCTTCCCTAATATCACACTTAACATGCTTTTCCAAAGCCCCACAAAGTAGAACGAAGTGTTTCTATGTAAAACAAAACAGATGACAATGGAGGAAAACTGAGGCATGGCAAATTAACAAAGAACATACAGTTGAAACAAATAAACTATTTAAAAAATCTGCCATTCTCTAGTTAGCAATTTCTAGTGTTAATCCAAAATTACAGCTGTCTTATTAGTAGTATTTTCCATGACAACAGAATGTTTATGATTTATTGTCAGTGAAATTAAAAAATATGCACAGGAACTAAGCATGTAGTCCAGAAATTTGAAATCATTCTGACAAGATATGGAGTCCGGAGTTGGGAAGTAGCTCAGTGGTAAAGTGCTTGCCTTATATGCAAGCCCTGGGTTCGATTCCTCAGCATCACGTAAGCAGAAAAAGCCATAAGTGGTGCTGTGGCTCAAGTGGTAGAGGGCTAGCCTTGAGCTGAAGAGCTGAGGGACAGCACCCAGGCCTAGCGTTCAGGCCCCAAGACCAAAAACGAAAACACAAGACAGAGACCATGTCTTATAAACCACAATAGCAACACACTACAAACCCCACAGGGTTAAGGATGTAGATTGGTGGTGGATGTACCTAGTCAATAGAGCACTTGATTAGCATATAAGATGCCCTGGGTTCAATTTCCAGGCTTGTTTTTCATAGTACCATAAGACAAAATAAAAACATAAAAATAAAAATTGCTTTCCTGTGCCATTAAGTCACAAACTGGGTTATGATGTACTCAGAAATTTGAAGAGTCCTTCCTCAAACATATTTTCTAATAGAATATTCTAATAATAGCTACTTTTTTTGCTGTATAAAAACAGCTTAGTTTTAAAATGATTTATTATTTTATGGCTTGTAATTGTGTCCTTTTATGATGCTGATAGTAGCATTGAGGATTAAACTCAGGGCCTCAAGCTTGCTAGGCAGCTGCTCTTTACCACTTCATCAACACCCCTATGTCCTTTTATTTTGTGTTTCTCACTAACTTCGATAGAGCTGTCCTAACCTTGAACTTCAATCTTCCTACTACCAACTCCTAGGTAGCTGGAACCATAGGTATATACTATACAATACCTCATTTAGAGACAGGGTTTCACTAACTTTTGCCTGGGCTAAATTTTTTTTTTTTGGTCAGTTGTGGGACTTGAACTTAGGGCCTGGGTGCTGTTCCTTAGCCTCTTTGTACTCAAGGCTAGTGTTCTATTTGACCCACAGCGCCACTTCTGATTTTTGAGTGGTTAATTGGAGGATAAGAGTCTCACAGGAACTTTTCTGCCTGGGCTGATTTCAAAGTACAATCCTCAGATCTCAGCCTCCTGAGTAGCTAGAATTACAGGCATGAGCCACTGGTACCCAGCAGCCCAGGCTAATTTTTAACTGTAGTCCTTCTCTTCCTACATCCTAAGTAGCTGAGATTAAAGGCACAAGCCACCGCATCCCACTTTTTTCTTCCCCTGCTGGTCCTAGAGCTTGAATTCATGCCTGGGCACTGTCCCTAAGCCTTTTTGTTCAAGGCTAGGGTGCTACCACACTTGGACCACAGCTCCACTTCCAGCTTTTTGGTGGTTAACTGGAGATCAGAGTCTCATAGACTTCCCTGCCCAGGCTAGCTTTTTTTTTTTTTGGGGGGGGGTCCAGTCATGGGGCCTGATCTCTGGGCCTGGGCACTGTCCCTCAGCTCTTCAGCTCAAGGCTAGCGCTCTACCACTTGAGCCACAACGCCACTTCTGGCTTTTTTCTTTTTGCTTATGTGGTGCTGAGGAATAGAGCCCAGAGCCTCGAGCATGCAAGGCAAGCGCTCTACCACTGAGCCACTTTCCCATTCCCCAGGCTAGCTTTGAACTGTGATCCTCCATCTTCAACATCTAAGTAGCTAGGATTACAGGTGTGAGCCACTGGTGCCTGGCCACTTTTGTTTTTGATATTTGATCTGGCTGTGTTGCTTTTATTGACCTTTAATCCCTGGGCTATAGTAATCCTTTAGAATCTATCTCCTCAAAATATGGAACAACAAGCATGTTGTGGTATGTAGCCTAGGATTTATTAATAAAGAATCATAATTACTTATATAAAACATTAAGTGCCTTATCTTTTGGAGGTATAGTTTGGTGAATGTAAATGGACATTTTCTGGGAGAGAAGTGTAATAATAACTATAGATATCCTTTAAAAAATTTTTATTTTATTTTTTGTCCGTTGTGGGGCCTGAACTCTGGGCTTGGATGATGTCCCTCAGCTCTTCAGCTCAAGGCTAGCACCCTACCACTTGAGTTACAGCACCACTTCCAGACTTTTCTGTTTATGTGGTGCTGAGGAATCAAATCCAGGGCCTCATGCATGTGAGGCAAGCACTCTACCACTGAGCCACCTTCCCAGTCCAATAGCTATATTTTTACTAACTGAAAATTTAAATATCTTTATACCTAGATATTTAACTCTAAGGATTTGACTAGAAATTCTAGGAATTTGCCCTACAGATATGCTTACACAAACAGGTAGAGATACAAGTAAGTATATTAGTATATACAAAAAAATGTAATGTTCATCAATAAAGGTTCTGAAATACTACAGTTACTTGACAGAAGTGATAATACTTTCAAAGTGAAATGAATGTAAGTCACAAATAATAAAAATAGAAGTAAAGTGTTGTGGGGCATGCCTGCAATCCTATTTGGAAAGCAGGAAACAAGAGGATTGGGAGCATGAACCAAGTATAGTGAGATACTGTCTCAGAAAACCAACCAACCAACCAACCACCCAATCAACCAACCAAACCAAACCAACCAGCTCAACCAACCCAACCCAACCAACAAACCAACAGGATGGTTCAGGAATAAATTGAGGCCCTATTCTCAAAAATAACCAAAGCGAAAAGGGCTAACAGATGGCTTATGTGGTTAAGAACACCTGCCTAGAAAGTATGAGACCTTGAGTTCTGATCCTAGCAGTACAAAGAAAAAAACAAAGCCAGGCACTAGTGGCTCACATCTGGTAACCTAACTACTCAGGAGGATGATATCTGAGGATTGCAGTTTGAAGCCAACTTGGGTAGACAAATCCATGAGGCTCTCATCTCCAATTAACCAGTAAAAAAAAAAAAAAAAGCAGGATATGGAGGTGTGGCCCAAATGGTAGAACACTAGCCTTGAGCAAAAAAGCTAAGCACGAGTTAAGGGTGCTCAGTTCAAACTCTAGGATTACCCATGTAATTGTAACCCCTCTGTATGGCATTTTCACAATGAAAAAACAAAACAAAACAAAGCAAAACCCTCTAGGATCAACACACAAACACAAAAACAAACCGCTACTTTGTATTAAAGCTGGCATGGCAATGCATGCATGTAAACCTAGAATCTGGGAGGCTGGGGCAGGGAATTAAGAGGTTAAGGCTAGCTTTCGCTATAGAACAAAGGCACTGTTTCAACTCAAAACATTAAAAAACAAAGCACTTAAAAAAAATCACTATGATACCCTTTTTTCTAGAGCATACTGGGATTTCTATAGCAAAATCAGCTAACTTTTTTTTGGGGGGGGGGGGGGGGGGCCGGTCGTGAGGCCTGACCTCTAGGCCTGGGCGCTGTCCCTCAGCTCTTCAGCTCAAGGCTAGCGCTCTACCACTTAAACCACAGTGCCACTTCCGGCTTTTTTTCTTTTTGCTTATGTGGTTCTGAGGAATCAAACCCAGGGCCTCAGGCTTGCAAGGCAAGCACTCTACCACTGAGCCACCTTCCCAGCCCCAAAATCAGCTTTTATTGATTGTTTTCCTAAAACTTGTCCATTCATTCCATCCACAACACCTATTTAAAATAGCTGAAAATTACCTACCCGTTGTCCAGAAGAAAAAGAATGAGAACAACTAACTTCACCAACTAAATGAAGAAGAACGTAGGTCAGGTAATATGCCTATTGAAGAAATGAGTAAAATTAATATTCATTGTTTAGCTAGCATAAGTATCATCTCAGTTTACCTACAGGAAGTTGCCAAGGAATGATAAAGAACTGAGCTGGCAAGAAAGGAAAAACAACACATTTAAATCAGACTTTGATTTTAATTTTCGTAACTGTCCTAGTACAAAATCATCCAAATACAAAATCATTTTGGTCCTCAATTACCAACAACTATCCTTTTTTACCTGAACTCTGCATTGTTAAGTTTATTGAAGAATTTCATGACAGCAGTAACATTTACTTCTTTGAAATCTAGACCTGAATACCTGCTTTTCAAGTTCTAGATGAAGACTGTCATCAATAATGCCATTTGGTTGTTCAGCCTTTTTCTTCAAGACCATTTTCTTTAACAAATCAGAAGGCTTCATTTGTACTAGATATCGATGTAGGACTGAGATCTAACAAAGAAAAAGGAGACAATGAACAATAAATACTAAGTATTTTCTTTTCTTTTCTTGTCAGTCTTGGGATTGAACTAACTCAGCGCCTGGGCACTGTCCCTGAGCTCTTTTGCTCAAGGCCAGTACTCTACCACTTGAGCCATAGCACCATTTCTGGTATTCTGGTGGTTAATTGGAGATAAAAAGTCTCAAACTTTCCTGCACAGGCTGGCTTTGAACCTAAGATCTCAGCCTCCTGAGTCGCTGGGATTACAGGAGTGAGCCAATAATGCCAGGATTCTATAGTTGCTTTTTCTTGGGCTAGTTGTCCAGTCTGTACATTCTACCTTGACCTTTTTAGCTGTTTTTTTTTGGGTCCAGTCGTGGGGCCTGAACTCTGGGCCTGGGCGCTGTCCCTCAGCTCTTCAACTCAAGGCTAGCACTCTACCACTTGAGCCACAGCGCCACTTCCGGCTTTTTTTTCCCTTTTTGCTTATGTGGTGCTGAGGAATCGAACCCAGGGCCTCAGGCATGCAAGGCAAGCGCTCTACCACTGAGCCACCTTCCCTGCCCCTTCAATTGTTTTCTAGTTAAAGATTTAGTATAAATGCTTAGCAGACCAAACCATTCAGCTAAGGTCAAGGAAATGCTTTCTCTGAAATTTATTTGAAAACAAACACAATTGAATTTCCTTGTGGATGTAAATCACTGAATTGTGGAAAGAAGCACTGTAAGCAACTGGGTAAGGCTGGAGTTGTGGCTCAAGTGGAGAACCAGTGTAAGTTCTAAAGAAAGCCCAGCAAAAGTTTGAGGCCTTGAATTAAAGCTCTGATACAGTACACATACAAAAAAAAAAAAAAAGGTGGATAGAAAAAAAAAAAATCACATCTAATCTGTGTAATTTGAATATAAAGTAGTAAGCCTGAGGAGTTACTCATTCAAAAGGAAAAGGTAATGAGAAGAGAGAAGAGTCCTGGGTCTATTGGCTCATGCCTGTAACCCTACCCTCTCAGGAGGCTGAGATAGGAGGATGGTAGTTCAAAATAAACCCTGGCAGAAAAATCTGTGAGACTCTTATTCTAGTAAACCAACAAAAACAAGTAGTAGAGCACTAGCCTTGAGCAATCAGCAACAGTGCTCAGGCCTAAGTTCTAGCTCTGGTACTAGCCACACAAAAAAAGAATAGAGAACAGCTAAGAAGTAAATTGCAGGGCTGACAAGGTGGTTTAGTGGTAGTGTGCTTGCCTTGCATATGCATGAAGCCATGGGTTCCATTCCTCAGTACCACATAAACAGAAAAACCCAAAATAGCGTTGTGGTTCAAGTGGTAGAGTGCAAGCCTTGAGCAAAAGAAACTCAAGGACAGTGCCCATGCCCTGAGTTCAAGACCCAGGACTGGCCAAAGAAAAAAAGAAAAAAAAGCAGAAATCCTATCTTCATCTCTTAAAGGCAGTGAATATCACTGCAAGAATTGAGAGTAATTTGCTACTTTGGTGGTTCGTATTTCTAGAATCAAATCTATTTCAACCTGGAGTAAAAAAAAGCCATCCCATTTATCTTTTGTCCTGCAGCATCTTATACTTACTTCTAATATTGTTTTTACTATACTAGTTAACCCTCAGTGGTGATTTTATTTTGTTACAATCACTAGATTATGCAAAGGCAGATCTCTAATCTTTTAATTTTTCAATATTTTAATTTATTCCCAGGATCTATAATGGAGAATTTTGTACTCAATTGCTACTCAAATAAGAACAACACAGGCACACAGATTAGGTTCTATGTTGACTTTCTGAATCAAACTAAGAGTAGATCTTTGAATCCTATCAACATCTCCGAGTAGTTTCCACAGCATATGTTAATAGTGATATATTCAAACTGAATAAGTATTGGAGGTAAATCACATCTAAGTTCTATGATCTAAAAAGACCACTCAACATCAAAATAGGTACAAGATAGTTAATAAATGTAATAGCTCTGGAATTTCTAATGTCATAATACTGCTAAACTTGATAAACTGAATAATCTCATTCAATATAGTAACATGGCTTTTCCAAGAATTTATTCATTAATTTATCTGACTATCCACATCCATCTTATATTTATTGTAAAAGGATTACCATCTTCATTTCATAGATGAAGAAACTAGATGTGGTTAAGTACCATGAAAAAGATGAGAAACTAGTATTGGTAGACAAATCCAAAAGACTATTATCTTCAATTACCTAGCAAAAAGCCAGAATTCGAAATGTGGTCCAAGTGGTATAATACCAATATAAGTTAAAAAACTGAGCAAAGCACCAGGCTCTGAGTTCAAACCTCAGCACGCACACACGCACACACGCACACACGCACACACACACACACAATTACATGAATTACATGGCTGAAAGCTGAGATTTAACCTCAGAAGTTTTGATTAGGATTTATCAATTTTCTCTACATTTCACTACCTCTCCCATTTATTAAAAGTAAAAGTATATTCATACCTGCAGATTACTGGCATTAGGGACATCTTCAGGTTTCTCCTCCAAAAGCTTTGAAATAATCACTAGACTTAGACACTGTCTCAGTTGCCTGGAATTATAATTTAAAAGTATTTAGAACTCAGCTTAATATTCCTTGGAATGTAAATAAACAAGCCAAAAGTTCTTCTAGTTCTAATTTGAAATACAGGCAATGTTCCAAAAAAAAGGCTGTATAAGAACCAACTACTGAAGAATGGTAAAGATTTTTATGTAAAATATTTGTACAGGGCTGGGAATGTGATTTAGTGTGTTTGCCTAGCATGTATGAAGCCCTGGGTTAAATTCCTCAGTACCACATAAGCAGAAAAAGCTGGAAAGAACACTATGGCTTAAGTGGTATAGTGCTAGACTTGAGCAAAAGAAGCTCATGGACAGTGCCCAGGCTCTGAGTTCAAGCCCAGGACTGGAAGAAAAAAAAGAAAATTGAACATGATGTCAGAATTGCTTAAAGCTAAGTAAATTAGCAAGATCCCTTACCTTTTTTTTTTTTTAAATCTTGCTAATTTACTAATACAAAGCATTCTATTTTATTGCTGGAACAATTAAGTTCTCTGCTTAAGAAAGAAAATGAATTCATTTTTAGGGTATGTGTCACCTATATTGTTTGGTTATCATATAAACTCAAAAGTCAAGAGCCAGGCGCTGGTGGCTCTCCAACCTGGAAGAAATACTTCATCAGAATATATTCTAATCCTAAACTTCTAGTCTTCACAACTGTGAAATACAAATTTAATTTCTGGGCCTAGGCTCTGTCCCTGAGTTTCTTTTGTCCAAGTTTCTTTTGTTCACTAGCCTACCACTTGAGCTATACTATAGTACCACTTTCAGCTTTTTCTGAGTAGTTTACTGGAGATAAGAGTCTTGTGGAAGCCAGGCTCCTGGTTGCTCACACCTGTAATCCTAGCTACTCAGGAGGCTGAGATCTGAGGATCGAGGTTCAAAGCCAGCCTGGACAGGAAAATCCGTGAGACTCTTATCTCCCATAAACCACTAGAAAACTGGAAGTGACAGCGCCCAAGCCCAGAGTTCAAGCCCCATGACTGCCAAAAAAAAAAAAAAAAGAGTCTTGTGGACTTTTCTGCCCAGGGTGACTTTGGACAGTGATCTTCAGATCAAAGCTTCCTGGGAAGCTAAGATTAAAGGTGTGAGTCAATGGTGCTTGGCTTAAATTTTTAACTGTTTAAATAAATAACAACAACAAAAGAATATAATATGATCTGAAGAATCAGAATCAGGCCATCCAGACAGATAGATAGGTAGATAGGTAGATAGATAGATAGTTAAGGAAATAAAAGGCTTTGATCTAACTTTGAACTGATAAGAATGTGTACCAGCAGATTGGAGTTTGAAGCCAGCCTGCCATGAGACTCATTTCCAATTAAAACCTGAAAGCCTGAAGTGGATCTATGGCTCAAGCAAAAAAGTTCAGGGACAGTACCCAGGCCCTGAGTTCAAACCTCAGTACTGGAACAAAAAATAAAGAAAAAAAATGAGTGGACTGACTTGGTGATGCAAACTTGTAACCCTAGCATTTGAGAATCTGAAGCAGAAGGACCAGGTGTTTGGGGTTAACTTGGGTTATATAGCAAGTTCTAAGCCAATATGGGCTATGAAGCAAGATCTTATTTCAGCAAAAAAATTAAAGTTACAAAATTATGAATTTAAATAAAGGATCTAAGAGCACTTCATTAAATTTTTCTTGATACATATCTCATTTTCCTATACCTTCCACGTGATGTCCAGTTAGGAACTAGCTGTACCAACCACAAAAGGTTGTGAGGATGACTGGAGAGTTCATTTATGCCCAGACAGAGTTCATGCATCTGTAATTAAAAAAAAGAAAGAAAGAAAAAAAATGAAAGATTTTCTTTTAAAAAGAAGACATCAAATCTACATCTCCCTTCCTTTAATAATGGAAGCACTAACAAAATGGAACACAAGTTTTTTTCAAGATATATGGAGTCTAAAAACTGTTAAATATATACAATATATATTGTTTATCTTAAATTATCTCTATCTATATTTAAATGGTTCCTCTTAGAAAAATAAAGTAAAATAAACACAAATATCACTTTCTAAGTATGAGAGTCACATATAATCATGTAAGTTCCTGATCTAAAATTTTTGTACTTTAGGGATCCTATTTCTCTCCATTTTTTTTTTTTTTTTTTGTCGGTTGCAGGGCTTGAACTCTGGCCCTGGGCACTGTCCTTGCATTCTTCAGCGCAAGCTGAGTGCTCTACCACTTGAGCCACAGTGCTACTTCCAGTTTTCTGGTAGTTAATTGGAGATAAGAGTCTCATGGAGACTTTTCTTCCCAGGCTGGTTTTGAACCACGATCCTCAGATCTTAGCCTCCTGAGTAGCTAGGATTACCAGCATGAGCCACCAGGCGCCTGGCTCCTCCACTTTTTTATTTTGGTGCTTGTACGAGTAAGGCTTGATCTCAGGACCTCCCAATCTCATTTGGCACATTTTTGATTTTGTGCTCATGGCTGCTGCTGTTCCACTTAAGTCAGGATGGGATTTTGTTGGTTAATTAGAATCAGAATCTCTAGGACTCTTCTGCCTGGGTTGGCTTTGAACAGTAATCCTCAGATCTCAGCATTCTGGATAACCAAGATTACAGATGTGAGCCACTGGTGCCAGTTCTGTCTTTTGAGTGCCTGGGCTCTAGTATTTTTTGGGAGGGTTCTGGAGGGATAGTGGAAGCACTAGACTTTGAATTCAAGGGCCTATGGTTGCCACACAGATGCTCTACCACTTAAACCACACCTTTCCCTATTCTACTATTTCCTTTCTGTGCCAGTCCTGGGGCTTGTACTCAAGAGTCTAGGTGCTGTCCCTGAGCTTTTGTGCTCAAAGCTAATGCTCTACCACTTAAGCTACAGCTCTACTTTTGGCTATTTTTTTGGTGGTTAAATGAAGAGTCTTGTAGACTTTCCAGCCCAGGCTGGCTTTCCAACCTAGATTCTCAGAATCACAGCCTAAGTAGCAAGGATTACAGGTGTGAGCAACTGGCGCCCGACAATTCCAGAATTTTTATTCCTTTTCTTTTCTTGTTTTTTAAGGTCCGAGACATGGACTCAAACTTGGTACTTGGATGCTTTCCCTCATTGGCTAACACTCTACCAACCCTGATTCCAGTATTTTAAAAGTCTAGCAGTGGGGTTCCAAAATAATCTGATGATGCCAGGTCCTGGTAGCTCATGCTTGTAAACAGGAGGCTAAGATTTGAGGATGTGGTTCAAAGGCAGCTTGGACAGGAAATTCAGTGAGACTCCGAATCTCTTAACTACTAAAAGGCTGGAAATGGAGTTGTAGCTCAAAGTGGTGCTATCCTTGAGCACAAAAGCTTAATAACAGCACCTAGGCCCTGATTTCAATGCCCTGCTCTGAGGTCAAGTCCCAAGACTGACACACACACACACACACACAACCCTCCCCCCCCAAAAAAAAAAATCTGATAAAATAGAGGAAGGAAATATAGGGATGAAATCAACAAGAGGATTATGACTGGAAAACATTTTAAGCTAGGTGACAGTTCCTAAGGGTTTCTCATACTCCTCCATACTTCTGTGTATGTTTTAAACTTTCCATTAAAAATAATAGAATCTTTTAAAAGGCCTAATAAAAACTATACATGTTTACTCTCCATATGGCTATGGAAGTACAACTCATATTCTGGCTGTAGATATGACTCATATTATCACTTCATTTAAGTGTCTACTTAGATACAACTTCAGAAAAGTTTTTTCGTATGAAATAATAAGGCATTCTTGCCTTACTACTTTCTCTTCTCATGTACTACTTTACTTTTTTTTTGTTGTCAGTTGTGGAGCTTAAACTCTGGGCTTAGATGCTGTCCCTTCAGCTCAAGGTGAGTACTCTACCACTTGAGCCACAGCACCACTTCCAGTTTTCTGGTGGTTAATTGGAGATAAAGAGTCTCACAGACATTCCTGACAGGGCTGACTTTGAACCAAGATCTTCAGATCTCAAGTTCCTGAGTAGCTAGGATTACAGGTGCAAATCAAAGGCGCCTAGCTTGTCCTACTTTACTTTTCTATGTTGCACCTAATCACACTTGATGTTACTAAAATCTACATCTACTTATCACCTAAGTAGGATGAAAGCCACATGAGGGCAAGGACACAGTCCTTTTCACAGTTGAATCTCTAGCACTTACACAAATACTTAATTGACAGTAAATCCATAATGTTATTTACTATAAATGAATAACCCTCTTAGTTCAGTAATTTCCACTTTGTGGATTACCTGTAACCTTAAAGACTGGTATTAAAAATTATTGAAGCGCCGGGCGCTGGTGGCTCACGCCTGTAATCCTAGCTACTCAGGAGGCTGAGATCTGAGGATTGCGGTTCAAAGCCAGCCCGGGCAGGAGAGACCGTGAGACTCCTATCTCCAATAAACCACCAGAAAACCGGAAGTGGTGCTGTAGCTCAAGTGGTAGAGCGCTCGCCTTGAGCTGAAGAGCTGAGGGACAGCGCCCAGGCCCAGAGTTCAAGCCCCACGACCGACAAAAAAAAAAAAAAAAAAAAAATTATTGAAGCTGGGTGCCGGTGGCTCATGCCTATAATCCTAGCTACTCAGGAGGCTGAGATCTGAGGATCTCAGTTCAAAGCCAGCCCGGGCAAGAAACTCGGTGAGACTCTTATCTCCAATAAACTTCTAGAAAACCAGAAATGGAGCTTGGCTCAAGCGGTAGAGCGCTGGCCTTGAGCTGAAGAATGCAGGGACAGCGCCCAAGCCCAGAGTTCAAGCCCCACGACCAACAAAACAAAACAATTATTAAAAAAATTACAATACCACTAGGTACAGATGGCTCATGTCTGTAATCCCACTCAGGAGACTGAAATATGAGCATTAGACTGGGCAGGAATGTCTATGAGACTCCTATCTCCAATTAACCACCAAAAAGCCAGATGTGGAGTTGTGGCTCAAGTAGCAGAGCTCAAGGGCTGGGAAGGTGGCTCAGTGGTAGAGTGCTTGCCTTGCAAGCCTGAGGCCCTGCGTTCGATTCCTCAGCACCATATAAGCAAAAAAGAAAAAAGCTGGAAAGTGGCACTGTGGCTCAAGTGGTAGAGCGCTAGCCTTGAGCTGAAGAGCTGAGGGACAGCGCCCAGGCCCAGAGTTCAGGCCCCACAACCGGACCCAAAAAAAAAAAAAAAAAAAAAGTAGCAGAGCTCAGCCTTGAGCAAAAAAAAAAAAACAACTCAGGGACAGCACCCAGGGCCCTGAATTCAAGGCCCAGAATTGGCACCAAACAAACTCCTCCTGCCCCCAATATTTCCCCAAGTTCTCTTTTTATCTTCCAAAGATCTTAGCTGAACTTAAATATACCTTATTTTTTTTTTGGTCTGAGATGGGAACTCAAACTTGTTACCTGATGCTTTTGCTCATTGGCTGGTGTTCTACCAACTGAGCCATACCTCCAACCCCATTAAATACAATTTCTACATGTACTGCAGGAGTCAAATTTTAATGATTTACAAAAAGACAATACTGACGTAATGTAATTTTAGTAATGTTACCTTTGTGTTCCAATCTCTGATATTTTTCATCAGGTTTATCAGGAGGCTCTGAAAGTCTACTAGAGGAATCTGTGTCAGCTGTTTTTCCAAACTCATTTTAAACAACATTAAAATCAGCAACATTATTTCCCGATCTTGGTAACCTTCTGGATGTATAGATGTACACAAGCCTAGAAACTTTTGACACAAACACACAAAGTAACTTAAAGAAAATATATTTTACCTGAACAGTTACGATTTTTTTTTTATAAGACACAAAAGAAAACTAGACAGGTAACAAATAACATGTCTAGGAAAACGTGGCCACAAAGATTAATGCTAATGGTAGAATGGAGGGACAAGTATTAGTTTTTTTCCCCCCATTTTCAAGGTTTTCCATTTTGGCCATACTGATTTTGAACTAAGGACCAATGTGCTTGCCACACAACTGTTCTAATTACTTGAGTTCTACCCACATCTTAAAAAGTTTAACTATTTTTCAAATAGTTATTCCAAGGGCTGGCCTGAACAGTAATCCTCCTATTTACACTGCCTGTGTAGTTGATATGATAGGCTGATATCACCATGTTTACCATTTTTTATTGATTTAGATAGAGGAAAAGAGGTGCTCATAAGTTTTTTTTTTTTTGCCTAGGCTGGTCTTGAACTGCAATTTTTCTGATCTCTACTTTTCAAGTTGCTAGAATTTTAGCCCAACAAGATTTTAATAAATATAAATAAAAGTGTGTATATAAATATACATATTTGTTTGATTTAGATATATGTATATGTGTCTGTGAATGTATACACACACACTTTTTGTGTATGTGCTGGTCCTGGGGCTTGAACTCATAGCCTGAGTGCTATCTCTGAGCTTTTATGCTCAAAGGTAGCATTCTACCACTAGAGCCACAGCTCTCCTTTGGGCTTTTGGTAGTTAATTGGAGCTAAGAGTCTTTCCTGCTTTTGGCTGGCTTCAAACCAGGATCCTTAGATCTCAGCCTTCCAAGTATTTAGAATTTCAAGTGTGAGCCAACGGCACCCAGCTACACATGTATTTCTATATGCTTTCTCTCTTTATATTCTCTCTCTTTAAATTCTCTCTCTCTCTCTCATACACACACACACCTACCCACCCACCCATATAGTTATGTCTTTCCTGGTACTAGGGATTGAACTCAGGGACTTATGACTTGACCCATGCTCCTGGTTCAATATATTTTTAATGGTTCAGAAGAATCACTTATTTGCTTCTATCATTAAAAATGTTTTCACATTGTTCTTCTTAATCACTAAATTATAAGTAATGCTTCTTTTTTTCATATATTCTAACTAAAAAATTACTCATTTCAAAATGATAATCACTTGGTATAAAGCTAGTAGATTAAAAAAAATAACGACAAAACTGAAATGGCTCTAGCTCTTTGCTAAAGACATACAAAATAGCTTTTTCCTACCTTAACTACATTTAAAATGTTGGTTTCAGGAAGAGTTGAAAATATTGGCTTACAAGATGAATCTTCTTTACTTCCTTTTCCCCCCAATGGTGTCAATATTTCAGAACTAGTAAGGAATAAAGCAATATAAAATTATTTATTATAAGAAACACTTCAACAAATTGTCTTTTTCTTTCTTTAGATGGGATCTCATGTTGCCCAGGCTGGACTCAAACTTGAAATCCTGCCTTAGACTCCAGCGTAAGCTGTTATTATAGGTTCCACCACTATTATAGGTTCCACCACTATGTCTACCTTATTATTATCTTATTTTTTTACATATTATTATCATTACTTATTATCATCATTTTGTTGTTGTGCAAAGGGGTTACAATTCCATAAAACAATTACTTTTTTAAAACTATACCCCACTGACAATTTTATATACAACAAAAGGAATGTGTACCCATTTAAATTTCTTTTCTTTTTTCTTTTTTGTCAGTCCTGGGGCTTGAGTCCCTGAGCTTTTTCACTCAAGGCTAGTAGTGGTCTACCACTTGAGCACAGCGCCACTTCCGGCTTTTTCTGTGTATGTGGCACTGAGGAATCGAACCCAGGGTTTCATGCATACTAGGCAATCACTCTACTCCTAAGCAACACTCCCAGCCCCCATTTAAATTGTTTGATAAGCATATATTACTGTAACTATCATCCAAGACAAGAAACAGATCATTTCCATCAACCCTAGACCCATCATACCAGATCCAAGTCAATTTGCTACCTCCAAGTGGAAGTAACTATCAGTATGATTGATTTCTATTTCTATGCATTAGCTTTCCTTTGAACTAGCTGTTTCATATTATCCTCAATGCTCTTAGTGGCAAAAAGCTATGGAGGAAGTGACTCTGATGACAAAGAACTCACAACCTCGTAAATGGCCTATAAAAATTTCCATAGCAAGCCAGGTGCCACTGGCACACACCTGTAATCATAGCAACTCAGGAGGCTGAGATCTTAGGCTCTTGGTTCAAAGCCAGCCTAGGCAGGAAAGTCTGTGAGACTCTTATCTCCAAAAGTCAGAAGCAGAGCTGTGGTTCAAGTGGAAGAACACTATCTTTGAACAAAAAAGCTCAGGGACAGCATGCAGGCCCAGCCCGAGGCATGGAAAAACAAAACAAAACCTTCCATAACAATATAAACAAATAGTTCTAAGCATTCTAGTTTGAGTTCAGGTTGTCAGTAGCCATGGAAGAGATTTAACAAGTAAAGGCGCTCAGAGACAGGGAGAGGCATAAAATCGGCTTTCAAAACATAGCTGGTTTTGTTAATTTTTTTTTTACTTAACAGTACATTTACATTGTTAGGTTAAAATACAACAACAACAACAACAACAACAACCGTATTGAGGTACAATATGCGATGAAGAGATGCCCTCTCACCTAGCTTCCTACCCATTTCCTCTTCCCACAATTAGCCACTAGTTTTAATCCTTTCTTCTGACAGTATTTTATATATAAATAAATGTGAATATATTACCACTTGTAATGTAAAAAATAATTTGATCTTTCTTCTCAGAAGCTTTTTTGGTGCTGGTTACTGAGACTTAAATGCAGAGCCTCACACACTTGTTGGTGTTTTTGCTCATGGTTGGTGCTTTACTACTTGAGCTACAACTCCAGGTCTGGCCTTTGGTTGGATATTTGGAGACAAGAGTCCTGAAGCTTTGTCTGCCTTGGGGTGACACTAAACCTTGATCCTCAGATTTCAGCTTCCAGAGTAGCTAGGATTACAAGCATGAGGCAACAGCACCTGGCCTCCTGAAACTCTTGGACCTTTTTATTGTCAGGGGTAAGAGGAACCTCTTTTGTTATTCATTGTAAATCAACTTCAATCATACCTGAGTTCTTGCTAATGAGGTGACTACAGAAGGCCAGCATAACCAACCTGTGATTAAAGAGTTGTAACTTAAGGACACACATAGAAGGTAGAAATCTAGTTAATCAACACTAGTGTAATAAATTTTGTATGTTGTATTTATTTCACTACCATACATGATCTCTATAATGAATAAAAACCTCAAATCCATGGCCAGATTCTATTATTTTCACTTATTTATTTGTTTTATTGGCGCTGGAGTAGAACTCAGTCATACACATGGCAGGTAAGCACTCAACCACCTGAGTCACACTTTACTTTCCTTATTTTCCAAGTCAGAGCTGTGCTCTTTGCCTGGGGCTAGCCCTAGATGCTAATCCTTCCACCCATGCCTAAAATGTAACTGGGATCATGAGATATGTTCTTGCTTTTTGCTGGGTGGGCATGGAAATGCTATTCTCTCAATCTTTGCCTCCTGAAAAGCTGAGATTATAGAAATGCTCTACTCTTAGCTTTTCTAGACTAGGTCTCACTATATAGAACAGGCTGACCTCTATAACTAGCAATCCTTCTTTGCCTGTGTCCAGAATGCCCTCATACCAGGTAATACTTGACATGCTTTCTGCTTTTTAGTGAGTCACTGGGCTTGAACTCAGGGTCTGAGCTTTTTCACTCAAGGCTAGTGCTCTACCAATTTGAGCCCACTACTTCCAGTTTTCTAGTGGTTCACTGGAGTTAAGTTTCTCATGGACTTTCCTGCATGGTCTGGCTTCAAACCACGAACCACAGATTTTTTAAATCTCAGCCTCCTAAGTAGCTAGGATTACAGGTATGAACCACCCGTGCTGGGCTTACTTTTTAATGTTTTATTGTGTATATTTATTTATATCTTTGAATTATAAATCTGAAGTATAAGTTCAATAAGTTCAATTTTCCCCCCAGGTCACTGACCTGGCTTTCCAGATTCTAGGTAAAACCAGATACTGAACAGCTTACTTCCCCCTCATCATTTTTTTTTTTTTGGTGGATTGAACTCCAGGGCCTGGATACTGTCCCTGAGCTTTTGTGCTCAAGGCCTGCCCTCTACCACTTGACCTACAGCTCCACTTCCTGCTTTTTTGGTAGTTATTTGGAGATGAGAGTCTAAGAGTCTCTTGGGCTTTGCTGCCTTCACTGGCTTCTACATGCCAAAACCTTAGATTTCATCATTTTGAATAGCTAGATCTCATCATTTTGAATAGCTAGGATTACAGGTGTGAGCCACCAGTGCCCTGCATTTTTTTGTTTTTGTTTTTTTTGATTGGTCATGGGGCTTGAACTCTAGGCCTGGGTGCTGTCCCTCAGCTCTTCAACTCAAGGTGAGCGCTCTACCACTTGAGCCACAGCATCACTTCCAGTTTTCTGGTAGTTAATTGGAGATAAGAGTCTCACAGACTTTCCTGCCCGGGCTGGCTTTGAACTTCAATCCTCAGATCTCAGGCTCTTGAGTAGTTAGGATTATAGGTGTGACCCACCAGCACCTAGCTCCTCCTTCATTTTTTGAATGTGACATTTAGCATATACTAAATCATATTTGGACCTCACACTTTGTTATACTGGTGGAACTTTGTGTCCTCCTATTTGTACCATATTATTATTTTTCTTTTTGTCGATCATGGGGCTTGAACTCTGGGCCAGGGCACTGTCCCTGCGCTCTTCAGCTCATGGCTAGTGCTCTACCTCTTGAGCCACAGCGCTATTTCCAGTTTCATAGTGCTTTATTGGAGATCAGAGACTCACAGACTTTTCTGCCTGGGCTGGCTCTGAACCATGATCCTCAGATCTTAGCCTCCTGAGTAGCTAGGATTAAAGGCATGAGCCACAGGCGCCCAGCTTGTACCATACTATTTTCAAGTTGCCTGAAGGGGAGTCATGACATGTAACTTTCATGAATATTATTTTTCCATATGGTGTTAAAATCAGTTGTATTGTCTCAAACTGTTCTGCACCCCTAAAATCCTGTTGACATTATTAAGATCTCATTACATATGATGCTTTCTATCACCTGAGCCATACCCCAACCCCTGAATTTTCGTATATGAAAGCATGATATAGGCTTTCCATTTATTTAGGTTCTTCACTAATGTTTCATATACATGTTTCTAATTACTTTACTTTTAGTTATTTTCCTTTTCCTTTACTGCCACTGATGTCTTTTTTTTCAGTGTATCTTACAATATGAAGGTTACTTGTTTCTCTTTATTAAGTAAACAGAAATGCTTGCTTATTTAACTGATCTACAGGCTCTGATGTATAGATTAAATTACTTATCAAACCATCTTTTACCAACTCTTTATCAAAATTTTTTTTTTTTTTTTTGGTCATAGGGCCTGCACTCTGGGCCTGGGCGCTGTCCCTGAGCTTTTCAGTTCAAGGCTAACACTTTACCACTTGAGCCACAGCACCACTTCTGGCCTTTTCTGCTTATGTGGTGCTGAGGAATTGAATCCAGGGCCTCATGCAAGCAAGGCAAGCACTCTACTAACTGAGCTACCTTCCCAGCCCCCTCTTTCTCAATTTTTACATCTCACTTTTTTCTCTTATCTAATTTTCTTTGACCAATATTTGCAAAACAATATCAAATAACAATAAGAAGTCTTTCTTAAAAAAAAAAAACTTTTTATGGGAATATCTCTTATTTTCCTGCTAAATATATCAATAACTTTTAGGTTAATATCAACTTAAAATTGACCTAACTTTCACTTAAAAAAATACGGAATATAGAATTCATTAAGTGAATATTTACTGTTGTATTGTGTAAGTTGTTTAAAATGATGCTAACATTGTTAACATTGGTGTTAACAATGAAAAGAAAACTTACTGTTACATTGGTGTTAACAATGAAAAGAAAACTTACATTAGATAGTCTTCATTAAAGTCTGGCTGAAGATTCTCCAAAGGAAATAAAGATCTAAAGTCAATCCCCATATTGAAAAACACAGCTGCTATGTCAGACAAGGATGGAATCCAGGGCCAAATTGGTGAGTCACTGAAAGTATCTGATTAAAAGAAGAAAATTCTTTATTTCACTGGTTTACAAACTCATTTGCAAATAATCTGCATGTAAAACAGATTACTACACTGATTTTTTTTTTAAAGACAGGGCCCAAACTGGCTTTGAACTTGAGATCTTCCTGCTTCAGACCTTCCAAATGCTGAGATAACAAGCATTCATTACCATGCCCAACTTTGTTATTATTACAATGATTCTGCAGAACTGACAATATTAAAAGTATCGTTCATGAAAAAAAAATGTACGAAAATACCTAAGTGATAGACAATAGAATGTAAAAAGAAAGAAGTAATACATTTTGAAATAACTAGAAATGACATAAATCCTAACTTACAGTTAACACAGGAAGATTTTTGTCATCTTTAGTACCTTTAACAGTCGTAAATCCTTAAACAAGTGACTAGGTAAACCACATGCTATAGGTCTCATACTTTTTTTTGTGTGTGTGGCCGTGGGGCTTGAATTCTGGGCCTAGGCGCTGTCCCTCAGATCTTCAGCTCAAGGCTAGTGCTCTACCACTTGAGCCACAGAGCTACTTCTGGCTTTTTTTGTTTATGTGGTGCTGAGGAATCGAACCCAGGGCCTCAGACATGTAAGGGAAGCACTCTACCACTAAGGCACTTTCCCAGCCCTTTCATAATTTTATATGCTTTCAGTCTGCCTAAGTGCATTATCAAATACTACTGCTTACTCATAAGCCAATTAAATAAATTAGCTGAATTTATACATGAATAAACTGCCAACTATTTCCATTTAATATACAGTCACTCATGATTTGGTGAACATTAGGGAAGTGTTGCCATTTTTAAGATCTTATACCCTTTTCCCCATTGCAACTGGAGAAATGTAGATACACATTTCTAAGCAGCACATTTCATTTCTGAGTAGCACATTTTGTTTCATATTTAAAGATATTTGATTTCAAAAGTAATTTCTCCTAATTTTAGAATATGAAATTAAGCATTTAACAACAACCAATAACACATATTACGATTTACTGTCAGTTTAGGTACTTACCATTTCTAATTGTTATTTCCATTAATGTACTTAAAATCTGCACTGATACAATACAGTCTGTATGAACTGACATCATCTGTCAAAAGTAAATGACAATATAAGTAAAAAAGCAGAAAAGATGAGTGCTTATTACTTGCTAGATGCATATAAATATGTTTTAAGCCTGGCAGGGTGGCACATTCCTATAGCCAAATACTTTGGAAGGCTGAGGGAGGGGGATTGAGAACTGAAGGCCAGTGTAGGAAACATAACAAGGGTCTGTTGCAAAAAAAAAAAAAAAAAAAGGAAACATAAGATAATGTACATGCACTTTATTTAACTCTTAAAATAACCCTAAAGTAGTTCTTATGACACATATGAGCAAATAGACTCAAAGAAATTAAATATGTTGCCCAATGTGACACATGTGATACATGGAAGAGGTAGAATTTAAATCTAGATCTGATTTGAAGTCAGAATTCCTTCAACTCTAACACATTGCTTGGTATTTTTTGTTTGTTTGTTTAACTTTCAATCATATTTAGAGAAATAAATATATGAAACCATCAAAAATGTCTTTCTAAGCCGGGTGCTGGTGGCTCACGCCTGTAATCCTAGCTACTCAGGAGGTTGAGATCTGAGGATCGCGGTTCAAAGCCAGCCCAGGCAGGAAACTCCATGAGACTCTAAACTCCAATAAACCACTAGAAAAAAAACCGCAAGTGGTACTATGGCTCAAGTGGTAGAGCGCTTGCCTTGAGTTGAAGAGCTGAGGGACAGCACCCAAGTCCAGAGTTCAAGCACCATGATGGACCAAAAAAAAAAACCAAGTCTTTCTAGAGCATATAACATGAAACTAAAAAAAATAAGGCTGTACTGATCACATTAGGTAAAAATCAAACCATGAACTAGTACAAGTACTCAAAAATATACAAATAGATTAATACAACAATGTTTTTTAATTAAAAAAATTCTTGAGGCAGTGTCTCACTATGTTGACCAGGTTCAAATTCCTGGGCTCAGGGCTGGGAAGGTGGCTCAGTGGTAGAGCACTTCCCTTGCATGCATGAGGCCCTGGGTTCAATTCCTCAGCACCACATAAGCAAAAAGAAAAAAGCTGGAAGTGGCGCTGTGGCTCAAGTGGTAGAGTGCTAGCCTTGAGCTGAAGAGCTGAGGGACAGCACCCAAGCCCAGAGTTCAGGCCCCACAACCAGACCCCAAAAAACAACAAAAAAAAAGAAAACACTAAAAAAACAAAAAAACAAATGCCTGGGCTCAAGTGACACTTAGCCTTCCAAGTAGGTAAGATTACAGGGGTGCCCAGCTTACCAATGCATTTTTTTTTGGGGGGGGATAGTATTGGGGTTTGAACTCAGGGCCTGATGCTTACTTAGCTTGCTTGCTTGCTTGGCTGAGACATGCCTCCAAATTGGCTTTCTGCTGGTTTTATTAAAGATAGGAGTCTTTGCAACTTTTCTGTCTAGACTGGGTTCAAAATGCAATCTGCTGGATCTCAGCCTCCTTGAATAGCTAGAATATAAGTGTGAACTACTGATGCTTGGCTGAAGATTTTATTTTAAAATTAAAAAAAAAAATAAAATTTGTTTTTTTGGGGGAGGGGAATGGTATTGGGGTTCAAACTCAGAGCCTTTGTTTGCTCGGCTTACTTGCTCAGCTGGTACTCTATTATACTACTACCGGAGCCATGCTTCCAGCCTCCCAATGCATTTTAAAAAAGATGCTCCATATCATTAGCAATGAAAACATGAAGTATTATTAGTTGATTTCAAAATTGATAAAAGATCAAGAATGTTGATAATATCATGTTACCAAAAGTATTAGAAAAGAGGCAAGTAGTTTTATGCTTTGAATGAGTAAATCTGGTAAAAATTAAAATTTAGTAATGTTTATGCAAAATCATTGCACTTGCACTTGTACTTTGATCTAGTTGGCCTTTAACATAGGAATTTTGGTACAGAGATAAATGATGTAACTTTTAGAAGACAACTTTTTTTAGGAATAAAATCTCAAGTTAAAAAAACTGATGCCAGGTGCAGGTGGCTCAAGCCTATAATCCTAACTACTTAGGAGGCTGAGATCTGAGGATTGCAAAGGCAGCTCAGGCAATTAACCAATTAACCATTAACTGGAAGTGGCATTGTGGCTCAAGTGGTAGAGCACTAGCCTTGAGCTCAAGAGCTCAGGGACAATATCCAGGCCCAGAGTTCAAGCCCCACAACTGACAAAACAAACAAACAAAAAAAACCCAAACCAAAAAAACTGAATGAGGGCTATGGTGTGCATGTTATTCTAGTATTCAGGAGGCTGAGACAAGAGGGCCTAAAGTTCAAGGGCAGCCTCCTTGACCTTGCTGCTAAATAAAATAAATGAATAAAAATCTAAAATATTGTTATGCTGGGAGTATAGCTCAGTGGCAGATTATTTACTTAGCATGAAGGCTCTGGGTTTGATCCTCAGTATCCTCCCATAATAAAGTTAAAAATAAAGTTATTGAAAGTAATTTTTCTAGAAGACTCATTGTATTTCAATTTCTTTTGTTTTTCTTAAGACACACAGACTATGGCTATAATAAATTCAAGTCTAAAATGTAGAGAAAATAACCTGAGTTTTGCTCTCAATTAGATATAGGACATATGTAACTTCAAAAACAAACCTGTAAAGCTGGCATCAGTGGCTCATGTCTGTAATCCTAGCTACTCAGGAGGCCAGAGATTTGAGGATCAAGGTTAAAAGCCAGCATACACAGCAAAGTCTGTGAGACCCTTGTCTCCAATAAACCACCCAAAAGCCAGAAACAGCTTTAGCTCAAATGGCAGAGCTCCAGCCTTGAAAGAAAAAGCTAAGGTACAGCACACAGTCCCTGACCTGAGTTCGAGCCCTAGTACTGGTACAAAAACAAGCAAACAGAAAACACATGAAAAAGTGTCTTTGCTATGACTGTATTAAGCTTTGTCACGAGGAGATAGCACTACTTAGACTGTTGCACACTGAACAAGGTTTAGATAATTGTCTTATCTAAAAAAGATGTTTTATAGGTCTTTATAGATGTTTTAGAGTAAGCAACACAATAATATAAAAATATACCAAGAAATATACACAATTTAATGTCTATCAACTGAGCTTGGTTCCAGGAGTGGGAACCCTTTTTCTGCCAAGGACTATGTAGATATTTATAACATCATACCTGGGCCATACAAATTTATCAATAGAGGCAGATGGGTTTTGGGCAGCTGACAAGAAGCATGAGTCTGTCCCATCATACCAAATAACTTATACAGTCCACGAAGGCTCTTCACTCCTTAAATAAATCATGGTATAGCCAGAGAAAAGAATACTATAAAGTCATTACAAAGGATAAAAGAACAATGAAATGAAAATGCTCAATAGTTTTTTTTTTTTTTTAAATGCAGAACAAACTAGAAAAACACTGATCAAAATGTTAACTGTTCCTATATATTTGGGGTTGGGATGAATTCAGCCTGCTCTGGAAAAAATTTTAAATGTCTTTCCTATGTACTTAAAGTTTTCATAATAAAACAATTTCCCTTCGAATATGATAAAACCAAAATTATTATTATCATTATCATCATCATTATTATTATTATTTCATTTTGTGCCAGTCCTGGCGCTTGAACTCAGAGCCTGGGTGCAGTCCCTGAGCTTATTTTCCTTAAGGCTAGCAGTTAACCACTTGAGCCAGAGCTCTACTTTCAGGTTCTTTTGGCTATTATATTAGAGATAAAGAGTCTCAGACGTTCCTTGAGATTGTCAAGTCTCAGCCTCTTGAGCAGCTAGGATTATAGGTGTGAGCCACTGGCACTCATCAACATTTTTTTTTTTTTTTTTGGTCCAGTCATGGGGCCTGAACTCTGGGCCTGGGCGCTGTCCCTCAGCTCTTCAGCTCAAGGCTAGCACTCTACCACTTGAGCCACAGCGCCACTTCTGGCCTTTTTTGTTTCTTTTTGCTTATGTGGTGCTGAGGAATCGAACCCAGGGCCTCAAGGCATGCAAGGCAAGTGCTCTACCACTGAGCCACGTTCCCAGCCCCGCAATTTTTTTTTTTTTTTTTTGCTGGTCATGGGGCCTGAACTCTGGGCCTGGGCGCTGTCCCTCAGCTCTTCAGCTCAAGGCTAGCGCTCTACCACTTGAGCCACAGAGCCACTTCTAGCTTTTTCTGTTTATGTGGTACTGAGGAATCGAACCCAGGGCCTCATGCATGCAAAGCAAGCACTCTACCACTGAGCCACCTTCCCAGCCCCCAAATTTATTTTAAGTAGTAGATTTTTTCTGGTCCACTACATTTATACACGCAAATATTTTTATACTTTTTCTTTTAGATAGGGTCTTGCCACGTAGCCCAGGATGGCATCATTGAATTCATGATCCTTATACCTCAGCCTCCAGAACGCATCAATTACATGTGCCATCATGCCCAGTTTATTTTATTATAGCTTAATAAATTAAAAAAATAAAAATAGTGGCTGAGAGTATAACATTAATATAAATTTGAGTATAATTTCCCCAAAGCACTTATTAGTTGGTAAAATCTCTCCACTGTGAAATGGAATTGAAAAGGAAAAGTAACACAATGTCTAACACAGTGATAGTCTAAGAATGATTAATTTGATTTTCAAATATGAAGAGAATAAAAATGTTCAAATATGTTTGCATTGTCATATGTATGATTTTAAAAGCTGTAATTATAGGCCCAACAATAACAAGATGAAAAGTAATATAGATAAATGCAAAATCTTACCTGTAAATTTAATAAAAGACATTATGTAATTATATCTGGCATAGCAGCAAATGAAGTTTTGAGTTACAATAAACAGATATGTGAGTGAGATAGATGAGCAAGTGTGTCATTGGGAACTGTTGGTGAGACAGAATTTATCAAGAACAGGCTGGGACGGTGGCTCAGTGGTAGAGCGCCTGCCTTGCATGCCTGAGGCCCTGGGTTCAATTCCTCAGCACCACATAAGCAAAAAGAAAAAAGCTGGAAGTGGTGCTGTGACTCAAGTGGTAGAGCGCTAGCCTTGAGCCTTGAGCTGAGGGACAGAGTTCAGGCCCCACGACCGGACCGCCCCCCCCCCCCCCAAAAAAGAATTTATCAGGAACATACCCCCTTATAGGAGATTGCAGACACTGACAAGTTGAAGGTCACAAAAAGATGGTAAGAATAGTGAAGAGCTACGACTATTATTTACTCATACCATTACTTTCTTCAGATGGGTTAAAAAAAAATCCTAGTAAGGCAGATCTTTCCTAGAACATATGTCCATTTACTGAGGGGAAAGAATTCTTAAGTACTGTTAACTGTCAAGCTCTTCTTTAATCCAAATCATATATTAACAGAACTGCCTTCATAAACTACTTACTAATAAAACAAAGTACATTTTCTCCTTCCTCTTCTACTCTTTATCTACCTTAGCCTACTTTAATTTTCTTCACAGAACTTAAGAATTTACACATACATTTATACCCTTTATAAAGACACACACACACATAATTCATCTATATCCTAGAATGTGGGCCCTATGAGAATAAATTGATTTTTTTCACTGCTATTCTGTCTAGTGGCTGGCACAGTTGGCCCTCAAAAATGATAACTGTATGAACAAAAATTAACAAATGAGATTCCTTGAAACACTATCTTCCATGACAGAAACACCATATGTTTTTCTGCTCGGTTCACATGTAATAGTCATGGTTCTTTTATATCAATATTTTAAAAAATACTATCTGGGGAAAACTTTTATATATTTAAAAGATTCTTTCATGCTATGAATAATTTCCTCCAAGTATGTGTACTTTTTTTTTCAGTGCAAGTCCTAGGGCTTGAACTTAGGACCTGGGTGCTGTCGTTCAGCTTTTTTGCTCAAGGCTTAAGTTCTACCATTTGAAACATACCTCCACTTTTGACTTTTTAGTGGTTAATTTGAGTTGAGTCTTTCCTGTCCGGCAGGTGCTGGGCATATTTTTATGTATTTTGGATTTTATTAAAGTAGAATATTCAGTAATTAAGAAAAATGTTTGACATGCATAATCTTTCCTGTCTAGAGGAGGTGAAGAATTCCACTCTAACTGGGTATCACTACACTACTAATCAGTAGAGAACCTACTGTAGTATAAAAAGCCTCTCCAGGGGCTGGGAAGTTGGCTCAGTGGTAGAGCGCTTGCCTTGCATGCCTGAGGCCCTGGGTTCGATTCCTCAGCACCACATAAGCAAAAAGAAAAAAGCCGGAAGTGGTGCTGTGGCTCAAGTGGTAGAGTGCTAGCCTTGAGCTGAGGAGCTGAGGGACAGTGCCCAGGCCCAGAGTTCAGGCCCCACGACCGGACCCAAAAACAAAACAAAACAAAACAAAAAAAAGCCTCTCCATAACCTCTTAGCTTTCCCAACATATACTGCACTTTTTGGAAAAGATGTCCTTTTTGTTTTAGGTATTTTGGGGATAGGATCTCATGTTTATGCTGGCCACCTTAGATTACAATTCTTCTATTTACACTTCCCACACAGCTAGGTTGACAAGCGTGTGTGCTTGTTCAGCAATGGCTCAAATGGGGTCTCACTAACTGGAATTACAGCCATGAGCCCAGCATCCAGCTACAACATAAACACTATATTTAATCCTATACTGATTATTCAAATGTCAAAAGCAATACATTTCTACTCCTGTCTAGAGGAACATCAAGATTCTGCTTCGATATTTTATAAGCTGCTACTTACACAACAAAAATATAATTAATGGGGACTGGGAGTGTCACTTAGTGGTAGAGTGCTTGCCTAGCATGCATGAAGCCCTCAGTACCACATAAACAGAAAAAGCCAGAAGTGGTGCTGTGGATCAAGTGGTAGAGTTCTAGCCTTGAGCAAAAGAAGCTCAGGGACAGTGCCCAGGCCTTGAGTTCAAGCCCCAGGACTGGCCAAAAAAAAAAAAAGAAAAAGAAAAAAATATATATTATGGATTTAAGAGTACATATAAATAAGAGAAAGAAATAGATTTGCACAAAATACATGCAAGAATATTCATAATTAATATTAATATTCTTAGTTAATATATACAGTTAATATAGTTACTATATCCTGAAAAATGAACATAGGTACTTCCATAAACATGAAAAAATTAAAAAGAAATTCAGGAATACAAGCATTAGAAAACCATTCTAAAACTACATATTAACAGTTATTTATCAGAGTGATAAGATGTCTAAATATGTAAAATATGACCAACTATTCTGCACAAGATCTGCATTATCATTTCTTTAAAATCTTTTTCTAATCTCATTCTAATCCAATGAAATAATTAGTTGATATAATAAATTACTTTTCTCCAGTAATATACAAAAAATTATATTTAGAAGTTTGGTTTTGATTAGGAAGATACAACAAGGCAATTCCTCAAACATTTCTCTTACCCGAAACAGCCACTTTAACACAGGTACAGGACACTGGACATAATGGTAGGCAGAGGTAAGGAACCCCTGTGTTGTCAAAAAAATCTGATCTGTTTTTCCAGATCTGAAAAAGTAAAAGTAAAATCAATGACTGTCACCCTCATGGTAAAATTCTTCTACCAACACCACCACATCTGACACAATAAGAGTTAAGAAAATTATCCTCAGTCTATGGAGGTGGATTCTATACCAAGATGAGTGGGTTATTCATTAAAAAATCCAACTGGTGTAGCCACGTGCTGGTGGCTCACACCTATAATTCTAGACACTCAGGAGGCTAAGAGCTGATGATCGTAGTCAGCCCAGGAGTAAAGTCCCCATGAGACTCTTGTCTCCAATAAACCACCTAACACCCAGAAGTGGTGCTGTGGCTCAAGTGGTAGAACACTAGCTTTGAGTACAAAGAGGCTCAGGGATAGTGCCCAGGCCCTGAGTTCAAGCCCCACAACCACAAAACAAAACAAAACAAAAACCCAACCAAACAAACAAAAAAACAAAAACAAAAAAGAAAAAAAATTCAATTGGTGGTCTAAAGCTGATTCAGCCTTTTAACTGGGGTCCACATGTATCTGAGGAACAAAGCTACACTGTTGGACAGTGCTAAAAGTTTAAGTCTCAAGATATCTGCTTATGCCACTTAGGGGACATACTTGAAAAAAACTCAGCATCAAAATTAATGATCTTTCTAGACTGGAGGAGCTATTGAGAGAAATCATACTAGGTTGGCCTGGAGATAGATTACTAGTTGTCTATCTCAACATTTAATTTTGCTTTTCTCAAGGCAACCAAACTGATTTTTATTTGGGCTAACTAAAACAAACATCATTTCTCAGCCTCTTTTTTTTTTTCTTCTCTCAGTTTGATATGTGGCTGCACTGACTAAATTCTATCCAACTAACCTTAAGCAGAAATGTTAGGTAGAGGGGCTGGGAAGATGGCTCAGTGGTAGAGTGCTTGCCTTGCATGCATGAGTCCCTGGGTTCGATTCCTCAGCACCACATAAGCAAAAAGAAAAAAGCTGGAAGTGGCGCTGTGGTTCAAGTGGTAGAGCGCTAGCCTTGAGCTGAAGAGCTGAGGGACAGCACCCAGGCCCAGAGTTCAGGACCCACGACCAGAACCAAAAAAAAAAAAAAATGTTATGTGGACTTTCTGGGAATTTAAACATGAAATTTAGTACTTCAATTGTACCTGAAGCACTAGGTGCTAAAAATGGTAGAGAAGAAATAGAAAAGATGAAAACACTCCTAGATTTAAAACACTCCTAGACTTACTTCTTTATTTCTATCACTTAAATAATAAGTATATTACTTTCTTTTTTTCTTTTTTTTGGTCAGTTGTGGGGCTTGAACTCAGGGCCTGGGCGCTGTCCTTGGGCCTCTTTGTGCTCAGGGCTAGCCCTGTACACTTGAGGCACAGCCTCATTTCTGGTTTTTGAGTGGTTAACTGGAGATCAGAGTCTCACTGGGACTTTTCTGCCTGAGCTGGCTTCAAACTGCAATCCTATCTTAGCCTCCTGAGTAGTAAGGATTACAGGCGTGAGCCATCAGCAACCAGTTATAAATGTATTTTTAAGCTCATCCTGGGGATTGTTTCTTTCTTTCTTTTTTTTTTTTTTGGTTGGTCGTGGGGCTTGAACTCTGGGCTTGGGCGCTGTCCCTGCATTCTTCAGCTCAAGGCGAGTGCTCTACTACTTGAGCCACAGCCCCACTTCTGGTTTTCTAGTGGTTTATTGGAAATAAGAGTGGGGGGGGGGGAGGGTGCGGGGGCTTGGAAGCTGGCTCAGTGGTAGAGCGCTTGCCTTGCATGCCTGAGGCCCTGGGTTCAGATTCCTCAGCACCACATAAGCAAAAAAGAAAAAAAGCCAGAAGTGGTACTGTGGCTCAAGTGGTAGAGTGCTAGCTTTGAGCTGAAGAGCTGAGGGACAGCGCCTATGCCCAGAGTTCAGGCCCCACGACTGGAACCCCCCCCCAAAAAAAAAAAAAAAGTTTCACGGACTTTCCTGCCTGGCTGGCTTTCAACTGTGATCCTCAGATGTTAGCCTCCAGAGTAGCTAGGATTATAGTCGTAAGCCACCCGGCTGAATATTTGTTTCTTTTGAGACAATGTCTTATTCCTTATTCCCTTTTGGTACCAGGCTGGTACCAAATCCACGGATTGAGGTTTTAAAGAGTCCAGCCAAGGAAGTTCATAAAATTCTTATCTCCAATTAACCAGCAAAAAGCCAAAAGTGGACTAAGTTGTGGATCAAGTGTAGCCTTGCCCAAAAGAGCTAAGGGACAGTACAGAGGCCAAGTTCAAGGCCCAGTTCTGGAGTAAAAAAAGAATATACAAAGACTAACAGCAATAAAAGGACTAAGAAATGATATAGGTCACGATTCAAGTTAGAAGATTTTAGATTATACTTGTCAAAATTTTTTTAGTTGTTTTTTATATAGTAAAAAGCAAAATGTCTATTTTCTACTTACTTGAGAATAAGCTTTTCTACAGCACTTTGTCCAATAAAACCAGAGTCCCTTAAATCCAAGGTATACTGATTGAAAATTTTTCCAGAATTTAGGAAATTAAATATTTCTTCGCCAGGATGATGATCAGGAATAGCATCAATTGTAACAGAAAATTTTTTTAGAAATTCCCTGAAATACAAAAAGTTATTAAATACTAAGTAGTTAAACTGCATACGTTTTTGTACTAAAAAGATGGGAGCAGGAAAAACTTTACATTCTGCTAATTGTCAAGAATCAGTAAATGTGTCTGTATGAAAAGAAACTATAACCAGGAGAAAAGATGTAACTTCAACCTACCATTTCCTGCTCAACAAACCCCAGGTACATTACTCACTATGCAAACTGCCAGCAATGGCTCAATTATTTTACAAAAATGAAAACTACAAAATGTAAACCTTAAATGGTGTATGTTGTATGTGTATATGCATACGTGAGAACATATGAAAAGTGATATACCTGTGTTCTTCCAAGAGGCCATCCTCATCATCTGTACTATCTTGATCACCAAGTCTGATTGGAGATTTAATGCCTCGGCCCTGCCTTATATCTTCCTGTAGTTGCTTCTGTAGTTCATCTAGCCTGAGATTCGAAAGAATGCCATAATAGTTTATTATTAAAATTAAAAAACAAAACTTTAGTTGATATTTAAAAGCAGCACCGAGAAAAAAATCATTAAGTATCCTGCTATATTACAAATTTGTTACACCATAGGTCTAATCATATGTCCAAATAAATATTATGATGTTTACCAAAACAAAGAAAGTTTACTCTGGGTAATAGGCTTTTGTCTAGCTATCAATATAGTATTAGAATAGTGTTCCATTGCATACAAGACTCAAGTATTTCTTTATAACTAGGACTTCAAGAATGACTCGTCCAATCATCCAGAGTGTGAACAGAAAAACAGCAAAACAACACCGATTTGATTTTTCACTGTGTGTGTGAAAGCTCTAGTGCTAGAGCTTGAATTTAAGGCCTCATATCCTGACTCCGCTCATTTGCTCACAACTGTTTTTCTACCTCTTGAGCCATCGCTCCAGTTGAACTATTTTGTTGGTTAACTGGAGATAAGAGTCTTGAGGACTATTCTGCCCAGGCTGACTCCAAACCGTGTCCCTCAGATGTCAGCTTCCTGAGTAGCTAGGAATAAGGGCATGAGCCACCAGTGCCTAGCAGCAATACTTGATTTTAAATAAGCCTTTTCAGATTTTATGTTCCAGATCCGATGAATTAACAAAACACTGTATTATTTTTTTACAAGAGAGGTAACTTCCCTAAATTCAGAGCAAGAAAAATTATTTTTAGCCTAAGGCTCTACAAAAATCTCTACAGCCATATATATATATATATATATATATACACACACATATATATATATATATATATATACTTGCCACCTTCTATGTAATGAAGTCAAGTAAACTTTACCTCAACTTATTTATTTTTGGTAGTAATGGGGTTTGAGCTCAGAGCCTAATATTTGTTTTAGGCAAGTGCTTTACCACTTAAGCCATGCCGATACCCATAAATCACATAAACTTTTCTTTGCTAGTTTCATGGATATTTCTTGAATTGATAAGGAATGCACTTCCCTTCTTATTAGCAAAAATGGTCTGCAATTAATCACATAATTTTTTTTTTTGTCAGTCGTGGGGCTTGAACTCGGGGCCTGGGCTCTGTCCCTCAGCTCTTCAGCTCAAGGCTAGCGCTCTATTACTTGAGCCACAGCGCCACTTCCAGTTTTCTGGTGGTTTATTGGAGATAAGAGTTTCACGGACTTTCCTGCCTGGGCTGGCTTTGAACCGTGATCCTCAGATCTCAGCCTCCTGAGTAGCTAGGATTACAGGCATGAGCCACCAGTCCCCGGCTCACATAAACTTTTTTGTGTGTCCTGGTCCTGGGGCTTGAACTCAGAGGCCTGGGTGTTGTCCCTCAGATTTTTTTTTGCTCAAGGCTAGTACTCTACCACTTAAGCCTCAGTTCCATTTCTGGCTTTTTTTGGCTGGGGAGGGAAGGTAGTTAATTGGAGTTAAGAGTTAAATGGACTTTCCTGCCTGGGCTGGTTTCAAACTGAAATTCTCAGATCTCAGCCTCCTGAGTAACTAAGATATTATCCACCAGTGCCCAGCCCTGTGAGATTGATTATAGGGAGATCCAAAACTGCATTTGAATTAGAAAATCACTGTTAGATGAAAAAAAAAAAATGAACAGAAAGGTCTGTTGTGTTTAGTAAAAAATAAAAAATTTTGGCCAGTACCTGTGATATAACCGAAGTGGCCATTTATAGTTGAATAAACAAAATGTGGTATACACATAAAACAATGGAATAGTAAACTTTAAAAGGGAAGAAAATTCTGAAACAGTCTTTCCCATGAGTAAAAAAATGAAGACATTATACTATGTGAAATAAACCAGTCATAAAAGGACAAATATGATATGCTCTTACTGATATACGTAGTGCCTAGATTAGTCAATTTCATAGAAACACAAAGTTGCCAAAAGCAGGAAGGAAGAATGGGGAGTTATTGTTTAAAGGATAAGGAATACGGGATAATGAAGAAGTTCTGGAGGTATATGGGGGTGATGGAAGCATGTCAATGTACTGAATTTAGCTTACACTTAACATACATTCTACCCCTGATTCTGATCAAGAATTTCAGTTACTGGATACTAGTTTTGGTAAACACAGAAAAAAATTACATGATTAATGCAAAACACAGAATACTATAAAAAAAAAATCTGGGGCTTTGGGTCCAGCTTATAAACAAGAGCATACAACTGACAACTATTTTAACAGTACTAACATAAAATACATACTAATTTTTTATGATTTTCTCATTTTTTAGCATATTTCATGAATTTTAAAATGTACATTAAAAGCCAGCCAAAGAAACGAGCAGTATGTTAAAAATTTAGTAAATTAATCATAATGCTAACTAACCTTTGTGTATCTTCCATTTCCTTCACAAGACGCTCTAAAGTATTTGTGTAAGTTCCACTATGAACATGTTCCTAAAACAAGAAAATTTAAAAATAATTTGTAACAAAATCTTAGAAGAATTGAGATGTGTTTTAAGTTATTCAGAGTGCTAAAGACTATCTTCTATTTCAATAACCTGGGCCAAGATACACATTTTTTAAAGGAGAATTTTCACCATCATGCTTTAAATCTAGTATTTTGTACTGCAGGCAATTTGATTTTACTATTAGGAAAGACACTACTTACAAAACCCTGCTAGCTTTACAATTTGACTGCAAATACCCAAGGACTCTGTGGCTACCCTATCTTTAATCCTAAATTCTATGTCAGTGGAATAAAACTATCAATTCCTAGGTGTTACTATGAAGAGTAACACCCTCCCCACCAAATTTAAAGACACCTTAGAATTTAGCTTACTCCCAAGATAGAATGAAGCACTTTATAAATAAAATTGCACACCACAATTAACAACATTTCTACACTCTACCTTCATTTACAGCAGTGGTCTCCAAAGCAGGGGGTGTGCAAGGTGATCCATTGGGGTGCAGGAAGAAAATAATAGAACTTCTATTTATATGGAACGTCTATAGAAACTCCAGTAGAACTTAGTCTATAGTAACTTCTATATAACTCTATAGAAAATATTCATATATATTTCCTTTTCCTTTAAAATTTTGTTTTTGCATATACTTTAGAAAGTAAACAGTATTATATTGGTACATGTATATAATCTATAAGTATACATATATATTGGGTACATGCTCAAAAATTTTTTACTAAAAAAAAGTGTGATCAAGAAAGTTTGGAGACCACTGATTTACAGTAATAAAACTAGAGATAAGGGAAAGTCATTACCAAGTAAGAATTATATCAGATTCACTCTAATAATGACTTGTAGTAAATGATAAATTTAAAAATAAATTTTAACAACTCATCCTTTCACTAATGAATCCATTTTTTTTAACTCTATAAGTAACAAAAAAGAAGCCATAAAATGTCTTACTGTATAGTCTGATGACTGAGATCTAAGCCCCTTGGGAAGAGGAGGCTTTTCTGAAGTTGTAGGAGTCTGATTGAAGTTCAAAGCCATTATTTCTTCCAGTGATTTTAATGTTTCCTCTTCCTCATCACTATCTAGATTGTAACCTAAACTTTCTTCATCACTATCAAAATCACCCCTGAATTTTCTTTTCTGTGCACTGCTACCTGCATTGATATTTCCTGAACTGTCTTTATCTGACGGGGCTGTAACTGAAGGTATTGTAGGGCCTGAGACACATGGCACAACTTCCAAAGCAGCTGGGGGAGACTTTGCTGGAGTGCTATATTCTGAATGCAAAGATCCCCCAGAAATTTTCCCTGAAGACATGTTAGAGTCAGCCTTATTAGTCTTTTCTTTGTGCTCCTTGTGTTTGGATGATTCTGTAGAATGCCCAGAACATTCTTTAGATGAGGAGCGATCTTTCTCTTTTTTGGGAACTTGAGTGCAATTTTTAGCATCTAATGGGACTCGAGAGGAACCAGCATTTGGAACATGAGAAAGTAAAGGTAGAAATTTTGTCTCTTCTTTTGATGTCAGAGAGCTTGCAGTTTTAGTCTTCTGAAGGTTGCTAGATTTTTTCATGGTAGATTTTTCCTGAGGTAAAGGTAAGTGGGGTTTCTGTATCTTAGTGTCTTTGGTACTTGTCACACGATTTTGGTCACTATTCCTAGAAGAATGGTGGCCAGAATTTGAAGGTGCCAAGTTTGCAGAAGAGCGATCAGTTTCATCACTGGGTTCCTTTGATATATCTTCCAAGCGTAGCACATCACCAGGTTCCTTCAATGCAATAGATCTTACAAATGTTTTTGAATGTCTGTCAGGACGCTTCTCAAGGAAGGACTCTTTTGTTTTAGATAGTCTAGATTCTCTTGTGCTTTTCAGATCTGAGTCCACAGAGTTCCTTTTTCTTTTGTCAGAAAATTTATTCTGCTTAGAGCCTGCTAAAATTTAATTTTTGTCAGATTAGTGAAAAGTATACTGTTCAAATGCTTAAGTTCTAATAGCTTAGGCTGATACTTTTTGTTATATATGGAATAAACAAAGACAATACTGTCATTTATCAAATGATGAGTTGTAGCACTCAAGAAATTTAAAGCTACTGATAAACACGCATTTTCTTTCCAAAGCTAACATAAGTCGGGCACCGGTGGCTCACACCTGTAATCCTAGCTCCTCAGGAGGCTGAGATCTGAGGATCGTGTTTCAAAGCCAGCCCAGGCAGGAAAGTCCGTGAACCTCTTACCACCAGAAAACTGGAAGTAGTGCTGTAGTTCAAGTGGTAGAACACTAGCCTTGAGCTGAAGAGCTGAGGGACAGCGCTCAGGCCCAGAGTTCAAGGCCCACAACCGACAAAAACACCCAAAAAATCTCTAACACATTAACAAATGTATATTCATATCAATGAAAAGATCCAAAAGGTATTTCACCTTCAAGTATTTTTTCTACTTTGTGCCAGTCCTAGGACTTGAGTATAAGGCCTGTGAGTTGTCCCTGGGTTTCTGTGCTCAAGACTAGTACTCTACCACTTGAGGTCCACTTCTAGAGGATTACCTTGTCCCTGAAATGTAATACTTCTACATCTAAAAGTATAGTATTACTTCTGTATATAAGAAAAGTAGGGCTGGGAAGGTGGCTCAGTGGTAGAGTGCTTGCCTTGCATGCATGAGGCCCTGGGTTCGATTCCTCAGCACCACATAAGCAGAAAAAGCCAGAAGTGGCACTGTGGCTCAAGTGGTAGAGTGCTAGGCTTGAGCTGAAGAGCTGAGGGACAGCGCCCAGGCCCCATGACTGGCAAAAAAAAAGAAAAAAAAAAAAAAAAAAAAGAAAAGTAGAAGTGGCATTGTGGCACAAAGTGGTAGAGTGCTAGCTGAGTTCAAGCTCTATGACAAACAAACAAACAAACAAGATGAGTTTAGCTACTCAGGAGGCTGAGATCTGAGGATCATGATTCAAAGCCAGCCCTGGCCAAGGAAAGTCCATGAGACTCTTATCTCCAATAAACCACCAGAAAAACCAGAAGTGGCACTGTGGCTCAAGTGGTACAGCGCTCACCTTGAGCTGAAGAGCTGAGGGACAGAGCTCAGGCCCAGAGTTCAAGCCCCACAATTGACAAAAAAAAAAAAAAAAGTAGTTGAAGACAGATAACTTATAACTTCTATTTTAAAATCAATTGAGTGTGGTAATGCACTTGTGAAAGTGACAGGAGTATCACAAATTTGAGGCTAGCTTGAGTTGTATAGCTTGAGTTGTAAGACCCTACCTCAAAAGCCAACCAATCATCAAAAATCTATCAACAACAAAAATCTAACTAGGTGCTGGTGGCTTACACCTATAATCCTAGCTACTCTGGAGGTTGAGATCTGAGGACCATGGTTTGAAGCCATCCTGGGTAGGAAAAGTCCATGAGACTCTCATGTCCAATTAATCACGAAAATCTGAAGTAGAGCTGTAGCTTTGAGCAAAAAAGCTCAGGGACAGTGCTCAGGCCCTGAGTTCAAGCCCCAGAACTGGCACATAAAGAAAAAAAAGAATAACCATTGCTGGGCATAGGGCTCAGTAATTCTTAGTGGTAGAGTGCTTGACTAGCATCCATGAGGCCCTAGGTCCTACGTCTGATACTAACACTGCAAAAATCAAGCAAGCAAACAAAAATCTATGACTATGTGACCGTCCCTATTTTCAAAATCAAATTTCCCTAAATCATATTTCTGTATATGGACAGATATTTCCACTCTCCAAAAATTTGATTGTAAATATCCTAAAACAAGAAAAACGTGGTGACAGCTATGTGCAATCCCAGTTCTTAGAAGGCAGGAAGAATAAAAGTTTGAGGCCAGGCTAGGTGCTGGTGGTTCATACCTGTAATCATAGCTACTAAGGAGGCTAGAATCTAGAGGATTATGGTTTAAAACCAGCCCAGGCAGAAAAGTCCATGGGATTCTTATCGGCAGTTCTGCAAAAAGCTTGTTAAAAAAGTGCTCTAAAGGAAGTGGCTCTGTTGCTCAAGTGGTAGAGTGCTGGCCTTGAGCTGAAGAACTCAAGGACAGCGACCAGGCCCAGAGTTCAAGTCCCACAACCAACAACAAAAAAAATTAAAATTAAAAAAAGTGCTCTCAAGAGGTAGAGCACCAGCCATGAGTAAGTAAAGTGAGCAAGCAGAGTTCATGTTCCTGGCAATGAAAAAAAGTTTGAGGCCTGTCTGTGTTCTCTAGCAAGTTCATGGTCTCTCTAGACTACAATAGTGGTACCATGTCTCAGAAAAAAAAAAAAAAAAAAGGAGAAGGATTTAAATCAATAGAATAGAGTTTGCTTAGCATGCACAAAGCCCTAATGCCCTCCCACCAATAAAACAAAAACAGAAAAAAACAACCCCCAAAGCCTATTTGAGAGTTAGGCAATTATTGTTTGGGCAACTTTATTAATAAAATCATCTGGGTATTTTAATTTATAAAATGAAGTTAACCAATTAATAAACAAATGACCCTCAAAGGTATCTTTCACAGATATCTACTACCTAATGAAATTATTCAATGCTCATTCAGTTTTCTGAAGTTAAATTCTCTTTAAAAAAGAAACAGCATGGGGCTGGGAAGGTGGCTCAGTGGTAGAGCGCTTGCCTTGCATGCATGAGGCCCTGGGTTCAATTCCTCAGCACCACATAAGCAAAAAGAAAAAAGCCGGAAGTGGCACGCTGTGGCTCAAGTGGTAGAGTGCTAGCTCTGAGCTGAAGAGCTGAGTGAGGGACAGCGCCCAGGCCCAGAGTTCAGGCCCTATGACCGGGGCCCCCCTCCCCCCCAAAAAAGAAACAGCATTTGGGAGCATTCAAAGCTCAAAGGTAGAGCATGTGCTTATGCACTAGGTGTCTGGGTACCAGGAGTTCAATCCTTAGCACAAAAACAGGTATATTTGGGAAGGCAATGAAAATTTACAAATGATTAAGAGAAAGAGAAGACTTGGAGTAGTTATAGTATGAGCTTGGTTTTAATATGGAGTTACAAAGAAAACTCCAGAGATGATGATTTGAGTTTTATTCCAATTTTCTACAGAAGCCAGATTATTTATGTACAGCTGTAGTATGAGAAATTTCTGCTTTGCTCAGGAATTATTCAGGATGAATTTAGGACACAAAAGTTATTTATAGAATAGCTTTAAAATAAGTTAGCTTATTAAGAGCTATTACTGATTTTTTGTTTTTTTTTCTTCCAAATAAGAGTCTAAAATATACTATCCTTCTACTTTCAAATTCCAAGATCTGGGATTTCAGACATGTACCACCATGCCCCGGAAGAACTTTTAAACTTTTAATATCTAGGCTAAATGTGGTATAATCCCAGCATAGTCAGAGGGAGGAGGGGTATCAATTTTGAGGCCTGCCCAGACTAACAGTGAATTTGTCTCAACAACAACAAACAAACAAAAACTGATGACTGAAACAGTTCATCTTTATATAAAGCATCTTTAATACCAAGAACTATGTCCACAATTCTAAGAATGTAGGATTATTTTTCTTTTTCACTGTATCTTACTATGTAGCTAGACTGTACTTAAATTTAAAATCTTCCTGCCTTCATCTGCTGAGTGCTGGGATTATAGGCTTATGTAGTATGCCTGGTGCTAAACTCATGCTTCTTGATATAGCCAAGGAGCCAAGGATTCAAAAGTAAAACATGAGAATCATATTGTTAAGAATTTTTTTGTTGTTGTTGTTGATCATGGGGCTTGAATTCTGGGCCTGGGCACTGTGCCTCATCTCTTCAGCTCAAGGCTAGAGCTCTACCACTTGAGCCACAGCACCACTTCCAGCTTTTTCTGTTTATGTGGTGCTGAGGAATCGAACCCAGGACCTCATGCATGGGTGGCAAGCATTATACCACTGAGCCACCTTCCCAGCCCTGTTAAGAATTCTTGAAGGAAGGAAGTGGCACTGTGGCTCAAGTGGTAGAGTACTAGTCTTGAGCTGAGAGCTCCCAGACAGTGCAGAAGCCCGGAGTTCAAGCCCCACAACCGACCAAAAAAAAAAAAGAATTCTTGAAGGAAACAAAAAAATTCTTGAAGAAAGCAGAGAGATGGCAAGACAAACCAGATTATGCATACTAAATTCAAGCATTGGGTTTTTTTGTGTATGCTAGTTAGTTAATACCAAGGCTTAAATTTAGAGCCTCCTATTCTTGCTTGGCTTTCTTCCTCATAGCTGCCATTACCACTTGAGTCACAACTCCAGCCCTGCTTTTTGTTACTTTTTAAAAGATGGAATCTCTTAAACTTTTTTGCCCGAGCTGGGTTTGAATCTATCTCCTGATCTCAATCTTCTCAGTAGCTAGGATTATAGGGGTTAGCTACTAGCACCTGGCTTAAGCACTTTTTTTTTTTTTGAGACAGTGATTCATCACACCTGACTCTAAGGACTTTTTTTTTTTTTTTTTTTTTTAAATGTTGTCAGTCATGAGGATTAAACTTGGGGCCTGGTGCTGCCCCTGAGCATTTTCACTCTGCCACTTTGGGCCACAGTGCCACTTCAGGTTTTCTGGTGGTTATTTGGAGATGAGTCTCATGAATGTTCCTGCCTGAGCTGGCTTTAAACTGTGATCCTCAGATCTCAGCCTGAGTAGCTAGGATTGTAGGTATGAGCCTCCAGTGCCTGGCTTTTTTTTTTTAAAGGACCATCTTTTTTAAATCATTTTGCTGACGTCTGAATCACAATTAAGAGGTAAATTAAGGTGACACAATTCACCTGTAGAAGGGGAGCTGTATATCTGCACAAATTTATTTTTAAAAGCAGTGTCATTAAGATGCAAACTTAGCCTATAATCTTAGCAGTCCCAGACAGAGGTGAGTGCAAGTCTAGCTCAGCTACACTGGGAGATCCTGTCTCAAAAAAGAAAAACAATAAAACATGCAAACTTATTTAAGAGTTCATAAATTAAATTTTGACTCTACCTGAAGTAGGTTCCCATGAATCAGAAGAGGATCTTTTTCTTGAGGGATGTCCATTTTCCTATCCGGAAAAGGAGAAAAGATTAAGAATTTTGGGCAAAAGTGAACTTTTTTTGTAATATTGAAATACAGATTTCTCGACTGAAATAAGCAAATCTATATTTAGAGGTAAAATTTAAGTTCTAAAATAAGTTTTTTGGTTTTTTTTAAACTGTATCTATGTATTCCAGCCAGGACTTGCTGGTAATAATGATGGATTACAAGTGTGCACCACCACAAATAGCTTAGCATTGTACTTCCTTGACATCTGACCTTCCTTCATTTGCTCTGTAAGGAGAGAAGTACTTCAAAATTAACAATTTCTTTCACTAGGGGAGAAATTTTTTAGTTTTGCTCCTGAGGCTTGAACTCAGGGCTTAGATGTTGTCCCTGAGCTTCTTAGGCATAACATTAGTGCTCTATCACAACAGCCACAGCGCCCCTTCAGCTTTTTCTAAGTACTTTTTTGGAGATAAGGAGTCTCACAAGACTTTCCTGGCTGTGCTAGCTCTGAACAATTACAGGATTACAGGTATGAGCCACCAGTGCCTGGCTGAGAGGGATGTTTTTATGCTCTAGTTTATATTTTATATAAAAAAAAGTAATGGCTATATTTGTACAATTTTCTAAGTTGCCATCTAAGTTTTCTAAGACCCACATTCAATTAAAACTAATATATAATCTAAACTAGTGATTATGAGATTTTCCATTCTATTTCCACTTAGCAGTTCAGAACTTAAAAAATGACTATACTTGCAAAAAAAAAAAACAACCCAAAACACCAACAAAAAACAATGCTTATTTTCCTGATAAAAATTTTTGAGGAGCTGGGTAGGACAGTCCATAAGACTTTTATCTCTAATTAACCACCAGTAAACCAAAAGTGGCACTGTAGCTCAAAGTGGTACAGTGCTGGCTTTGAGCTGAAGAGCTCAGGGACAGTGCCCAGGCCCAGGATTCCAGGCCAACAACAACCAAAAAGAAAAAAGGAAAAAAAAAAAAAGATTTTTAAGGGCTGAGATGTAGTTCAGTGGCAAAGCACATGCCTAGCAAGCGCAATGTCCTGGGTTTGTACCTCAGTACTGAAAAAGAAAAGACAAGCTGGGCGCCAGCAACTCATGACCGTAATCCTAGCTACTCAATAGGAGGCTGAGATCTGAGGATAACAGTTCAAGCCAGCTGGGGCAGAAAAGTTCCTGTGAGATTCTTATCTTCAATTAACTAATCAAAACCCGGAAGTGGCACTGTGGCTCTAAATGGTAGAGTGCTGGCTTTGAGGAAAAAGAGCTCAGAAACAGTGTCCAGATCGAGTTCAAGCCTCACAACTGGTCCATGCCCCCTGCGGGCCCTCCCCCCGCCAAAAAATATACGGTTAAAAAATATATATTTTTGAGCTGGGCACCAGTGAGTGGTTCACACCTGTAACTTTAGCTACTCAGGAAGCTGAGAGCTGAAGATAATCATAGAAGCCAGCCAAGGTAAAGTCTATGAGACTCTTATCTCTAATTAATGACCTGAAAAAAGATGAAACGGAGCTGTGGCAAGTGGTTCAGGAACTATGCCTGGACCCTGAGTTCAAGCTCCAGGACTGGTACTAAAACCCAAAAAAACACAAAACAAAAAAACAATCAAACCTTTGTTCCTTTTCTGAAAAATTAAGGCCAATAAACACTACTGAGTTCAATGAAGGGTAGTTGGAGGAATCCTAATGTACACAACCTGTACATCATTATTTTCCTTAACATACCAATATGATGCAGCAATTATCTACTACTTTTAGATTTTATATGATACAGTAATGGTAAAGCTAATTCAGCAAAAATTACTGTACATACCAGGTTTGAAAGATTGCTCTTTCCAGGTATGATATCATTCTGTTTACTTTGTTCCTGCCTTGGTTTACATTTTCTTTCTACATTAGAAGATTTTAGGGAAAGACTGCTTGTTTCTGAAAAAGAGTTTTCTGAGTTGACTCTCTGCTCCAGCTGTTCCTTTCTCAACCTCTTTAGTTCTCGTTCTCTGCAGTAAGAAGCTAGTGATGACTGGAACTTAGCTCCCAGTGTACTTTCTCCTGGGTGGTGTCTTGATAGGCTGCTTCTGCTACTAAGACTTCTGGGGCTGTTCTTAAAGATGTCAGCCCCTGTAGTCTGCTTTTTGGAGTCTGCACTAGTCTTGCATCGATCTCTATCATTCTTCTCCCTGCTATTTTCATGTATGAACAGTGATTTCCTTCGTTCTGGAGATCGATGATGTTTTTTCTTCAGTGCCTTCATGTCCTTTGACAAATATGAAGACGGAACATAGATATTTGTTCCTTTGGGTAAATATTTGGAGGCTAGTGACACACAAGGCCGACGTGACTCATGCACACCAGGATCTTTACGGTGCTCCTTAACACCTTTCATGAAAGCTTCTAAAATAGGGCTCTTTTCAGACGACACCTTTTTGAGTTTAGATTTTTTTGGTGAGGATAATTTCCTTTCAAATTGCTCTGTTCCAGAGATGGGCAATCTACTTCCTTCATATTTGATGTTTGATTTTTGTGGAGAATCCAACATATGTCTGTCTAAAATAGCCAATTAAAACATACAAATTATGTTATTAAAAATAAGCCACTGCCTTACTTAATCATCAATGTTTAAAATACTGTATTGAAGTTACCACAAGAAAATTCAAACTAATATCTGCACAGTGATACACATGGTAGTTATCAAGACATGGCTTATTTGGCAATAGCTTTAGTTTTATAAATCCTTCTTTTGCTACATTACATTCTCTTGCTAATCCCTATAGCTCTGCTTAAAAGTTACTGTAATAGAGAATCAAGAGTTATTGACTATAGTAAATGATATTTTACATGTAAGAATGCATTCAAGAGTGAAGACTGTCTCGAATTTAAACTATCTTTGTAAAAATAAATACATATAGTTCTGACTTACAATTTTGAAAACTGTTGACTCAAACAAAATTTAGATATGGTATAAAGTTGGCTCCGTCTCTCTCTTTCTCTGCAACAGCCCTTCTCATCCCCGCCCCCCTCCCCCAACAAAAGTATTAGCAGTACGCATACCTTGTTTTGAAGCTCGTTTGAAGAAATCTATAATTGACTGCTTCCTGAAAATAAAAGCATAGCTAATATGGTATCACATAAACAAATAATAAACCTCAATAATTCAGATTAAGTGGAAAGAAAATCTAAGATTTATAGACTACAGGCTGGATTTCACTATATAGTTTAATCAAGCTCACACAATGGCAATTATGCTTTGTTAAGCTGGGCAAGTGTTAAGAATGTAATTCATCATTTTCTGTAAGTTTAAGAAATGAAATCTAGAATATTGAAATGTAAAGATTGAAGTGTGAATCCAGGGCATTGATAAGAGCTCTTGTTGAAATGCTTAGCTATATGAAAGAATGGAAAATGTTGAAAGCCATCTGATCCTGTTATTTCCAGTGATTGATGCAAAATAACATAGAAACTTGCTGAATGGAGATTACAAAAGTGGAGTAAAACTGACTCTCAGAATGTAACAGCAGATGACAGAATGTATGAGCAATCCAGATGATGTGGGGAGGTGGCTGAAGAGGAACGTGCCAGGCAGAGCCAAAAAAATGAAATACTAAGCTCATACTACTAAGATGTTCATCTAAGTAACAGTAAAAATTGGAATGTGCCTTAACTGGTGTTTCAGATTTTTTACTAACAATCCTTAAAGATATTTACAAAAATAACACACCACCTAGGAAAACCAAGAACAAGAACAAAAAAGGAGACTTGAAAGTTAATGAATTTAAAAAAATGGATTAACATTTTAAACTCTGTATCCTAAATGGGCACAAAACAAAATAGAACTGCATGACCAGAATAATTGTATTTGTTCATGTAAAGTTGTCAGCTATAAAAAGGGGGTTATACAGAAAGCAAAAATCACTCGTTTTTCAGAGGTGGACTGTAGAATACCAGTTTTTGTAAAGATTTATCCACTATGAGACTTACTCAGTGAAAACCTGAACAATCCAAATTCTAGGCTGAGCTCCCTGTATTTTGTGTATCTTTATACTGGTTTACTGAGGTTACCATGTTTGAGATGTTGGCAGAAAACCTAAGTGGTTATGAGATGAATGTGTGTCAGACTATCAAAGAATACATAATTTGTTTACAGAAAATAAATTGGGTAAATTAACTTTACCACAGAGCAAAGTAAGAAATGCTAGACAGTCTGCTAAAGGGAGAAAGATAATACCATTACTGGTGGAGAATACTAAAGAACAAAAGCTAATTCAAGATGGGATATTAAATACATCTTTACATTCATTATTAAATGTAATAGTATCTTTCTCAAAGTATTAAGAGCTCAAGCTCCTTTTCAATTAATACATTAGAAAAAAAAAGGCATTGAGTAAAACATCAGTAACCTGTAAAGATAAAACTATGCATATTATCACTGGTGGTACTATTTTTTTTAATTTGTATGCACAGAAATGCCCATTATTTATAATTGTTAAAAAAAAAAAAACAATTTTAATTGCTGCATAGTTATCTGAAACTTCTGGGGCCAAATGTTGTGTTAGAATAAAGAACATACTGGATTTTAGGAAAGGGATGACAAATTCTTTGTGCAAAGCCTCCAATGGATTTGGTGCTGCAGCCTGTAATCAAATGTATTAGTATTTCTCCAACAAGACTTATGAATATTCACACTTAATGGAATAAAGACCATAAACAATCTTCTATTAGTTTTGACTGCCAAATTAGATGTGGTGCCAAAACTTACTAAAACCTTTTAGTTTTCAAGCTTCACGGCTTCCAGAATTAAGGTGACTGTGGACTTGTACCACAATGGAACATAAATTCACTGTAAAACTTCTGTTAAAGCTTTTAAAATAAAAGACAGCACCCAAGTGGTAGAGAATTTAAACATGTTTTATTTTAAGAGGATGTGATTTGATGAATTCATCTCATGACACAGTTCCCGCAAAGTCTGTACAAAACTGGTCTCTTGGAGAGGTAGAAAGTTACTGCAAGAGAAAACAATCACATTTCAAGTATGCATGTTCTTTTAAGTATGAATTATCGTGTACCCAAGACCACAGAGAAATTCTTGGGTTTCTCTCTCGCATCTTACATAATTCCACCTAGAATATAGAAATGGTTCATACTACCACATCACTCGGATCATAACAGAACACCTAAGAAAATTATCCTAATATCCATCAAATAGGTTGGGTCCCAGGCCAAGTTTTCCAACATGACAAAAATCACATTCCACCTGAAGGCAGGCTCTCCGCCACTGCCAGGCTGGTGGTCGGTCCTTCACTAGACCCAGAGTAGCTCCCCAAATACACACACACAAAAAAGAAAGACTCCAACTCCCATAAGGACCCGCGCGGAGGCGGGACGAGAGCCTGCAGGCCCCGGAACGCAAAGGCCTGAGCTCGCGGAGGATGGCGGGAACTTAAGAGCGGCGGTCCGCAGTCCTCCCTCATACCCTTGCCCCCGCGACCCGGCCCCTTCTCAACCCCTCTGCACGGTACCTGTCCCCAGGGCTCTCTGTTCTCTTTCCCGAGGCAGCAGGGGTGGTACTACCGGGTCTCAGATGGCAGCGCGGGGGCGATGACCCCGGGGCTGGGGATGAGGGGAAACCTGGCCTAGCGGGCATGCAGCGCCTTGTCATGTCGGCGCCGCTGGCGACGGCGGCATGAGCTGTAGCTGGAGAAGCTGGGTGCGTGGTTGCCGTCTTGCTGCTGGGACTCGGGGACGCTGTCGGAGCAGAGGTGGGCGGCACCCCCTTCTCTCTTCATGGCGGTTCTCTCTCTTCGGAAGTGACTCCGGTGTGAGCGGGAAGGAACCTGAGGACCGGCGGGGGCGGGCCTTAAGTGGAGGAGTCGGGCCCTGATTGGCTTGCCCAGTGGTCATTCTGGTGGTGGCGCAATAGAAAGCGGCAGCCCCTCAGGAGGAGGCAGGGCTTCGGGGAAGGGGCGGGGAGGAGGAAAACTGCACTCCCCCGCCAGTCACGTGCGCCGAGGGCGCGCGCCTCCGCGTCGGGGACCCGTCGGCCTTGACGGGTGCGTGGGGGTGGGGGCGTGTGGAGAGGGGAGGAGAAGCGGGGGCGTCGTGGGCACTGCGGCAGCTGGCGACACCCGGCTCGTCTTATGCTAGGGATGAGATTTGCAGAAGCGAACCCAAACCTGCAGCTCCCTCAGTAAGGATGGCCAACATTTGGGCCCCCCGCGTCATGACGATGCCCCACTAATCCCTAGTTGTGCATAATTTCATCGTCACCGAAGGCCAACGTGCCATAATGCTGTCACCATTTCCTCTGTAGTCTATCCCAGTCTGAAAACTTGTGTATTTTATGAGGTTCTTGTTAAGTGTTAGGGGTACATCTCTCTGGGTCTTGGTCTCTGTCTCTCTAAGAAAAAAGAAACCCATTGATATGAAAAATAACAACAACAGTTTTCATTCTGTAAAGATGTTTTGTTCTTCTCTAGTTGTTCATGAGGCCCCTGCAGCATGCTCCTTTGGAAATTTTTGAAAGGAACATAGGGTCAGCTTTCAATTAAGTGTGGACAGCATAGATCAGTAAAAGCTGCCAGCTGTCTCCAGTCCTTTGGAAAAGGCTTGTGCTTTGCAAGCTGTCAGCCAAGGATTTCCTTTCTTTATAAGTTGAAAGACTGGTCACAGAATCTCAGCCTCAGTTTCCAAGCCTATACAATTACTCATTTTTCTGCATAATCATAAGCCATAAAAGAAATGTAAATATCTAGATGCTTGCATGTAATTGGTGCTGAGTAAATTATTATTCCTTTCCCTGTATTCCCCAGATACACTGTTCTTGCAGTCAGTTCATTTCTTACAGAATCATCCAGACTGGTTGTGGTGACTCAGCTCAGCTCTGTAATCCCAGAACTCAAGGTTGAGGCAGGAGAGAGAGTTGGAACCTAACTTGAACTATATAGGAAAAAAAAATCAGAACGAAAAAACATCTTCCAAGGATAGGAAAAATACTGTTATATTCGGTTAACAATCGCCAAAGGAAAAAAAAAATCAAAGCAAAAATCTTCCTAGCACAGGGAAAATGTTAATACTGTAATATAATAACTGTTAATAGCCAAAATGCCTCCCTCAAGGGTATGCAAGCCTTAATGAACAAGGATGCTCAATCTGTTGAAAGAACAAAACCCAAAATGAGCAACAAAAATTGGACAAATCTTTCAAGTTTATTGTACTAAGGATTGAACTCACTGCTTCTGTTGCTAAGCCTACCTAAGTGACCAAAAATTCACCTCCTATCTCTTCCATGGCAGCCCTGGGGAGAAAGAATTAGCAAGATTAAAGCGGTCAACAGACTGGCAGAGGGGAAGGTAGAAGGCAAATTGTGAACATACTCTTCTCTGATTCAGCCAGAAAGCTTCTATGTACAGGAAGCTTCTATGTGAGGTAGTGATACTACAAGAAAGGAAATACCAAAATAAAGGACTTTTATTTTTCTAATAGCTGAAAAATTAATGCTGTTGTAAGCATTGTTCCTTACATATAAAAGAACATAACAGGTGCTGAAAATGTGTTGAAATGAATGGCATGAAATTGTTTATTAAGGCCTTTTTCATGTATTCCCTATCCCGATTTAGTGCTTTTTATTGACTGTTTCTACATAAAGAAGTTCCTGCTTCTATAACATTATATCTACAAAACATTTAATCTGATTCATTTCACTGCATGCTCAGTCCATAAAGAAGAATAATGCATAAAAGCATGTTCTGCATGATCAATTAGTTGCTTTTTTTTTTTTTGATGATAGCATTTGAATCATCCAGCCTCCAAGGTATCACTTTAAAGTCTGTACTCATGCTACCTAACAATAGTTTTCACATTTTCTTAATCTAAGCAACAGATTATGGAGTTAAGTGAGGCAAGAAATCCCTTGATCAATAAATGGAGATGGAGCCATAATGAAAACACAATTTTAAAAATCTCTTCTTAACAGGGAAGTAGTTATCTAAATCCTCAATAAGCATCAAGGCTCTTCTTTGTTTAAGCTGCATAGGAAAAATGATAGAGATTTGTGCTGCAGGGTGAAAATACGTTCAACATACTAACCAGAAAGTTGAGAGTTTCTAAAGGTTCTTCTTCCCTTGAAATAGACTTGAACCTCTTTTGTGTTTATACTCCTTTCCCACCCATTCATCCTGTTACTTTAAGGCCTTTTTTGTTTGTTTGCTTTTTGCAGTGCTGCAGATGTAACACAGGGCCTTATCATCTATGAAACATCATGTGACTATCTCTAGAATGGAAAGGCCAGTAACTATGTGCATTTAATCATATAAAATAATATTTATAAATGAACCCCAGGAAATGGAAATGAGGTTTTTCCTTTGTTGCTGTTTTTGTTTTCTTTTTTTTTTTTTTTGGTCTTATTTGTTCATTTTATCTGTCTTTGGAGGGTGGGCAAGGGGCGACACAGAAATGGAGGGACAAAGGGTGAACAAATGCAGCAGTGGTACTCACTAGATATTATTTGAAAATGAACTATACAGTGGGGCGATGGTGGCTCACATCAGTAATCCTCAGTAATCCTCACTACTCAGGAGGCCAAGATCTGAGGATCAAGATTCAAAGCCAGCCCAGGCAGGAAAGTCTGTGAGATTCTTATCGCCAATAAACCATTCATAAAAAGCCAGAAGTAGTGCTGTGGCTCAAGTGGTAGAGCACTAGCCTTGATCACAAAGATGCTTGGGGACAGCATTTAGGCCCAGAGTTCAAGCCCCAGGACTGGCAAAAGAAAGAATGAGGGGGAGAGGAGAGAGGAGAAGGAAGGAAGGAAGGAGGGAAAGAAGAAAGGAAGGAAAAAAGGAAGAAAGGAAGGAAAAAGGAAGGAAGGAAATGAACTATAAAAGTTGTGGATGGGAATGAGAAGGAGAAACTGGGAGAGACCAGGGGAAGGTATAATATTGTCCAAAAAGAAATGTACTTTTTACCTGACTTACGTAATTATAACCTCTTTGTATTTTACTTTTATAATAACAATAAAATAAGAGAAAGGCCAGGTATCTAAAGACCCATACATAAACTCATATATATGCCCATATCCTATATGCAGAGTCCTGTTATTATCTATTCAGTGGTGGAGTTTGTTGTTTTGTAGTTGTTTTAATGTGTCCAGTGACCCAGTATATCAATTTCAAAACCTTCTTAATAACTTGCAGTCAAAGCATGAGAAACTTGACTGTAGTCTGGAATTTCTCAAACCAATATTTCTGAAGGGCTTTATTATATTTCAGATGATAAGCAATATCTATGCCTACCACTACTGGTAAACAAGATGAAATTTTAATCTCTTGCTCTCTCTCTCTCTCTCTCTCTCTCCTCACCTACCTACCTACCTTATGTACATATATTACATAGTTTTGTGTAATACAGAGAAAAATAACAACCCCTAGTAACTGTTTTAGTTACTTGACTTATTTTTCCCTATAATGTTGCTCATCTCCACTTAGACATACAGTATTGGGAAATGCTGTCTTCAGAAACCGTGAGCCAGTTTTACTAAGTACTCCCAAGAACCTTGGATCTCATTTAATGGTATTAAATTACACTTGGAGTTTCCTATGGCCCCTAAAACTAAGTTGATGTTTTTTCCCATGTATCTGCTCAGCAGTTTTAAGTTCAACCTCTGTTTGTAGTTTGCAGTTGTTTTGTGTGTGGATCTTGAGTTAGGTGCCTGGCCATTCCTTTCTTGAGACCCTCACGTGATCTTTCTTTCTCTGTCAAGCTTTCAAGTTAATTATTTCCTGTTTCTCTGTGCCTGTTCTTTATCCCACTTCTCAAGCCACCCTCCACATACTCCTGCCCCCTGCTCCCCAGACCTCCCAACTAATGAGTCTTTGTTTCTTGGTCTACCCTATAGTACCCTCCAAGAGCCTTGGAGTTAATACCACACTGTAACAATTTTAGAGCAAAATTTTGCCAAACTTGTAGAATTAGAAGTTAAAGTCCCAAGCTTTTTAATAACATTCTTTGTGAGTGACCTTTGTTCTCTTGGTCTTTGTGAGCTAAAGTACTATGTGAGCCAGTCAGCCCAAGATGTTTTCCCTCTTTGTGACTGCTTAGAATCTCTGCTATCAGTTGTGTTACTCCTCCTAAGACTCCCACCTTGAGCTTGACTCTCCCAGCACACTTGAACTATTGTTTATGTTAACCTTGGTTCAGTGACTGTCCCCTTCCTTCCCATCAAAGACAAAGCCCTTTGACCTGTTGCTTTGCACAACTCAGGGGGCTAAGATTGTACTGAGATGTGCCCCATAAAAACTTCACGTGCAGAAGCTACTCTACTTCTCTGGTCTTTGCTTTCTTGTCCCCATGCCCAGAAATCTCCCCAAACAAACCTTTTATGGTCAACCAGCCTTAATTTCTCCAAATTATTTTCCAAATCCTGGCTGAGGTTTTGTTTTAATTCTTTAACTTAGTCTTGCTTACAATATTTATCTTCCTTCTCCCCAGCCTTCCTTCAGTTTTTCTCTCTTCTTGTCTTCCCACATGAACACACAGTTCTTTGATGTCTTTTGCCTAGTGTCCAGTTTCCTGGCAGTTTATTTCTAACCCACTATAAATTAAAGCATACAAAGCCCTTACAGAGCATCTTTTACAAAACTTTTACTTCTTTAACTGTATATGCATTTCCCCTGACAGTTATGTAAAAGGTCCCTGCTGTAGACTGGTCACTGTGATAGTGGTTCCCACAACCTGTATTGATGTTTCCTACTTCTGCATGTGGATGCCAGCGAAGGATCTAGGCTTCCTTTGGTCACTCCAGCTGGTAAGGCAAAGGGGCATAACTTAGACACTCCTTCTGCCCTCCTATGGCTATACCCTCCAGTAGCAGAGAGATTTGTGTGGAAGGAGTTCCATGA